ATTTAGTTCTTGAATATTTTCATAATTGAATGAATTATTATTCAATGCGTGTACAGGAAAAGTATGTAGAAGAATTATTAGAAAGCGCTAGCATAAATAATTTAATAAATAAAATATTGAGGCCTGGTCAAAATTAATAATAATTCAAGTCCAGTAAAAGAACAAATGTAGGGAATTCCTGAGTCTATCTCTCACTTAAGCGTTCTATATTGTCTTTTTCGCTGTTGTTGTGAACGCGGTAGTTTATTAATCTAGCAATTAGTTCTCAAATCTAAATAAACAATATTATATGATTTTCATCTAGAGGGGGCACTTTTATTTCTATAAAGCATGCATGCATGCATGTACTATATGCGTTAAATACATACATACATATGTATGTATGTACATATGTATATAATGAGCTCGCAAGCTAGGTGCTTATGTGGGAAATATAAAATTGTAAATTGTTAATTGTTAATCAGGCTCTAGATATGAGTACTTGTATATTTTGTGTCTCATAGTATGCCTTCCAAAATAAACAGTAGACGGATGGACAAATGCTCAGATTGGAGGCAGCTTCTCCGGGTGCCAGGAATGTCTTTAAAGACTACAAAAAGTACCCGGAATACCCGTCAGCTGGAGCTATTTATAAATGATTGTACGGCGTTGGCGTTGCACCATCAGGCGGGGGTCGGCTTCCGATAAATGAGGGAATCACCTCGCTGGCTTCGTGGAGCTAAGCTACCTGCTGTAGTCGCATTTCAATGGAACTTTGTCCGTTTGTATGTACGTGCTGTTTTGGTTATGCTTAATTGCGATTCACTTAATGGATTATTTGGCAATTGACAGCGAATCATAACCAACAAGTGCAGACATTAGTTAATGAGCCTAATGATTTAATTGGAAGTCCAAACACACACACACACACACCAATTGCTTAAACAACAACAACAATTAAAAAACAACAGCCAGAACGACGGCCAAGTCTTGCGTTATCTGCACATCGAATCCATTCCCATCGTATAAATATAAACTCCTAAGTACTACGTACTAAAATTGTCATAAAAATGAAAATATTATGCGCAGAGCGTAGGAAACAAAAAGAATGGCTAATCACTTTCGTAAAAACTGCTATGGCCATAAAGGCATAAAAATCTATAATTTTCCACTAAATTATTATGGGTTTTTTGATTCATTGCTGTCACCATCAGGTGATATGACTAAACAGTAACGCTTCGGATAGGTATTAACACAGTCTTTGTAACAGGTCAATGAAAATTTGATAAATAGAAATTATCCTGTTAATAATTAGGATGTTAGCACCACTTTGTATTAAAAAAAGATGTTTCAACATTGCATGCTTAAAACAATTTAACAATTTTTTGACATCCAAATACTTAACATATTTTTGTGTCGTAAGGAAACGAAGAATAGCTTTAATTCGGAAAAGAAGACGATCTTGAAGTTTAAAAACAAAGATCAAAATCCGTTTGATAACATAAATCACTGTATTTATATTCTAGTATACAATTTTTTGACTAGGATTTCACAAAGAACTTCTGTATACTTTTTTGTAAACTTTTCTTTATTTATCGAATCTTCTCTCTCGGAGACTTCCGATAAGTAGTCAAATCTTAATCTAATATATATACAAGGTGCGTTCGAAAGTAAACAGGACTTTTTGAATCTAGCGCCCCTGGTGGCGCTATCTATTTGTCGACTGGTGCGTTAGAATCTGCTATCTTTATCGATTGTCCAGTGAGAATTGACATGACATTTCATCGATTTGAAATGAAGTTATTGTGCGAAAATGAGCTTCGAACAAAGAGCCAACATTAAATTTTGCTTTAAAATTGGTAAAACTTTTACCGAAACGTTTCAATTGATGGAACAAGTTTATGGCGATGATTGCCTATCCCGTAGCAGATTGCACGAGTGGTTTCAACGTTTTCAAAGTGGTCGTGAGGACATAAATGACGATCAACATGTGGGCCAATCAAAATTCGTGATCACCGGAAATTCCATCGAAACTGTGGGTGAATTCATCAAAAATCAGCCGAAATGGAATTGAACATCTCCAAAACATCGATTTATCGCATTTTGATCGAACATTTGGGCTTACGAAAGATGTGTGCGCGGTTTGTTCCGCACAAATTGACTGACAACCAAAAATTGCTCAGAATCGATCGACGCTTGTAACCGATTATTTGACCAAAAATCACATTTTATCCATTAACCACTCGCCGTATTCACCTGATATGGCACCGTGCGACTTCTACCTTTTCGGAAAATACATTTGCCCATGAAAGGAAAGCGTTAGGCAGACGTAGAGGCCATTCAAAAGGCTTGCACCGGCATACTGGCGGCCATACCGGCCAACGAGCAAAAAGATGTATTGAAGCAGAAGGAGACTATTTTGAATAAAATGAATTGATTTTGCCGCAAAAACCATTTGTTCTCCTTTTTTTTTTTAAAGTTTACTTTGAAACACACCTTGTACATAGATTTGTTGCTTTACTATGAGGACCTAAATCTTTAAAGAGTCAACAAAAAGAGCCATCAAATCAAGCATGAAAACTTTTCTAGGTCTATCAACTAACATAATAAGAGTACTATTACTATAGTAAATATATCAGAGTTAGGTGCGAAAATAAATTATAATTATAAAGGAAGAAAAAGCTTATTTGTTATACTAAATCACAACATTTGAGCTGACACTTCTTTTCCGGCCATAATACAATTGAAATTCACGCAAAGCCTAGGGGACAAGATAACCAGAATTTCTACTTAGTTAATTATTTATTATCAATCTATAGCTATTATTAACTTCTCATTCCACACTTATTTTACTATATGACTATCTACGAAAATTGTAATCAAAGTTCGCCAACAACTGTTTCTATGTCATTTAATCAGTCCGACTATCCTCGGCCAAATCACCATCAGTTAAATTCGTTTAATAAACGAGTTAACCATTAAAATTTCAACTTCGACAATCGATAAGGGGACCGTGATTTACTCAACACATATATACACACAAACGACAAGGCAGCACACAATAGGCACCCAATGACTAAGTAGTATCTTAATCGGCCACAAAGGATTTAGTGAAAGCAAGATAGTGTTCATGACAAAAATGTTCCAAAAAGTAAAGCCAGCAGCAGCTGTTTGCCTCCGTTTCGTTTGCAGATCTTGTGGTTTATAGTTGGCATAAAGCTGTCAACAAAATAAATTAACTTTCGCAGAAGAGCCGCAACTAAACAAACATAAATCATGGCCATGGCCATGGCTATTGACAACTGGAATAAAAACAATAATTGCATTTTTTCACTGTAATCATAAACTTCGAGCGATATTTGCATCTTGACGCTACACCTGATAAGAGATACTGACAAACACTTTTGACTGTGTCATAAAAATGTACGACGGACAGGCGGAAAAATTTAGCAGGTTGGCCAACCTTACGGCTGTTGTGGGTCTTCCATACTTGAATTGAGCTATAGGACTATAATGTACAGTTTTTCATGTGTATGTATATAGATCATGGTTTATTTATCAATATATGTTCATACATAGAGCCTTCGTCTGTCTAAAATTTATTCACTTCACTTCATTTTATTTTCTTAATGATAGATTTGTCAAAGAAGTTCTTTGTTAGAAGTCAATGCCTAATTATCGCGGACTACCTCGAATATCACGTGACTTACACACGGCTTTTCAGACCGATATGTTCTGCACCCGTTTCAATAAATAAATAAATAAATAAATGTCAAGGACAGCCCCTGTGTGTATGTAGAAAGTTCAACCAAATCTAGTTTTATCTAAGAAAATTGCATACTTTGTACTAGTACATTAATTTATAAGAAATCTTCTTGTCGTACTAGGAATTAATAAACAAACAAATAAATAAATAAAATAAATAAATAAACTGAACTTTTCAATAATTTTTGATTATTGATTAATTACTATTGATTATTTTTCATTATTATTGCTTCATTTTGAATTCCTATTGATTGAACATACAAATAGAGTTTTTAAACTAAATTAAATAAAAGTATTTCCCTGAATAATCTGAACAATTTATGTATACTTGTATGAATATATCTTGGAAATGCGTGTGTTTTAAATACCTGCATGAGAAAAAAACGTGTTTTATCATTTTAATGTGCTTTTAGCCCAATAAATCAGTCATAGACAATTGTCGAACAGGTGTATATCATATAGCTGTCACACAAGTTGTTTAGTTCGGCAAAACAACAATTTAAAGTTTTAAAATAAATTTGCATCACTGCTCAACAAATATTTTATGAATAAACCAATTACTTGTGTGTGATGGGAATCCCTTTTTCAGCAACAGGATTCTGAAATATGAATTCTCCCCAAACTCTACGTATCCGACGGATTTTCTAAGCGATTGAAAATCCCACCAATCGCAAAATCTCTGCAGATGTAACTTCTAATTACGCCTACATACTTGTATAGAAAACGTTTGTTAACATCAATGCTACCTCTGTCTTTATTAACGCATCTTTAGAATGCAGCTCACAACAGTGACAGTAAACTCGAATCAGCCACTTTAAGAAATTGACTAACGAAATGGAAAGAAAGTGGACCTTCAATACGCTGGAGTGTGCATTATTTTCTTGTTAAATGGATTTAAACCAAGGAGAAAGAAAGACCATTCCAGTCTTAATAACAATACGGACTTGTTCAAAGGAGGATAAGTTATGGAACTTGAAGCTGTGGTAGTCTTCTTCTTTTTTAAATGCATACAGAGGGACGAATGTTCTCTACAGGTATTTTCTCACACATTTACACACACACACACATATATATACAAGTACATACATATGGAGACTGAAGTTGATTGAACGTTTAGTTAAATGATGTTCTGACAGTTAAATGTCTGCGTAGGCCTTTGTTGCTTTTCCATTTGATGGATGGCGGTCTAATCTTTATTGGTTCAATCGTTATTCAATTCATTATTGTATATTTTGAACGCATTTGAAATTACTTACCAGCACACTGCGTATCCGTTACAATGAGGGCGAAGAGCACAAAGAAGCCGAGAAGGAGGTGCACGGCTCTAACCATGATATGCGTTTCGTCAATTGTTGCACAAGAAGTTGTTCGTATATTGATTTGTAAACAAATGAATTTTAAACGGCTCTAATGACTTTTTGTTAATGTTCGCTAACGATGCTTGAACGCGCAAAATGACTCGATTAGTCAATAAAAAAAACAAATAAACAAACAAAACAAAGTCATCAACAACAGCAGCAGCAGCAGCAGCAGCAACAACAGAAACAACAGAAACAACGGTGGCAACAAAAACAACAACACGTGCACGAAACGTTCAATCGTGCATTTATGCGTTCGGATTTTTGGTTATTTAATGGCCAACACGCGACAACGTCTTCATCGGATATGACTTCTTGAAGCCGGTCATACACGGCGTATACGCAACGCGCTCGTTGCTACTGCGCCTGCGTTCAGTTTGGCGGATCGGGTCGGATCGGGTCGTGTGTCAGGCTCGGCCTCATCTACTGCTTGCACTGCTCGCTCGGACATCAACCGTTTGGCTAGAATTGTTTCGCACAACTAATTAGTTGCGACCAGAGCGCCCCCGTCTTAATAATAAGCCCGTGCGTCGCTTCTGCCTCGGCGGTAGCGGCTGCGTCGTCGTCGACAGCGCTGCCTGCTCTCAAGCGGGAAGCCGACTAGAACGCTATGCTAACGCTGCACAGTGGCACCAATTCAAATTTCAATGATAAAGAGAAAAAGAAATCTTTATAAATAGAGCAGAGAATTGGGAATCAATAATCCGAGAAGGTTGAGTTAAATGCTGTGATCGTTCTTGGAGAATTTAATGAAGATTTTATTCTACTTTTAAGAGACATTTAAATCCATTACGTCTGAAGAATATGTCATGAAAAAGACTACAAAATATATAGACACAAAAAGTATCCTTTTAATATGAAATATCCTGTATTTCTCAGAAGCAAAAATAAGAAAAAGAAAAGAAAAAAAAAGTTTCGCTAGTAACTTTTATTTCAACTAAACAATTTGGATGGTAGAGAATTACAAATAAATTACATATGCAAAGTTAAGTTTATCAAGCTTTGAAATTGAGGGCAGTATTGCCGAAATTTTGTAGCGGGGAAAGAGAGAAATTCGAGTTCCATAGGGACTAGTAGAAGCTACATATGTAGCAAGATTGGTTAATATTGGGTTCAGATCGATTTGTCGCGCTACGCGGATTAATACTTACAGTCTGCACAAATCTAATAATCTAAAAATATTTTTACCTTTCAGATATAAGGTATACAAATAATAATGATATAATCAAAATATTGTAGGGAGAGGAAAGCGAAATTGACCCACTGTGCGCGGCCACCTACAAGTACGACAGCGGCGCTGTCATTATCGACGTCGCTGCTGTATTGACGGTTATATTATAAAGATATCTCTAGGCACTGTCAAGTTAGTCAAGTCAGTTACTTTACGAGTACTTGCTGCTGTTCGTTTCGTTTGGTTTCATTCGCCGGGGACTCGGATTTTTTCGGCTGGGGGCCCATTCCACTCTGCTAGTAGTCGTTGCTTGATTCAGATTTGGAGTCCGATTCTGATTCATTTGTCGTAGTCAGATAGTCGCTCTTGCTGTTGATTTTTGCTCATATGTTGATTTTAAGTTTTGCATTTTTTCTTTCTTACTAGTATATTGTCGGCAGTTGCAAAATTGCAAACTATATATGTGTATATATAAATATATACATAAGTATGTGCGAGTGTCGCTCCCCATCTCAATACGTATTCATTAATTTACTGCCATTTGATAAGCGGGGCGGAAAAAAGAACGATTCCCCAACATTTAAGCAATCTACCTATTGCCGGTAGTATCTAATCGAGAGACCTAGACCCCAGTTGTAGTTATGCATTCAGCAAATGTTTGCACGATGTATGTATGTATGTATATGTGTGGGTGTGTATGTGTCGGTGTTTGTTGGTGCCTGCTGGATACTATGGGTTTTTCTTATTTCGGATGTCGGATACTTTTGAAAAGTCATCGACTCCAACTAGGAACACTTAGCTTTGAATGACATTTAAATAATACATATGTATATGCATAGGGCCTTCACCATCCCACGTGTAATACGAACTTTGCGGTTCTTCTTCTTCCTAATCAAAGATATTTCATATTTTCTTGCTTAAACAATTTGATTACTAACTATTGTTTTTTTAAATTGCATAAAAATTGTTACTTTTGATTTAATTTTCCAAATAGTTTGCTTTTTATATACTTATATATACATATAATTTATATTGTATATACAAGTACTTGTATGTATATATATAGAATCGCCCAGTGAAAACGTTAAACATTACCCCCTTCATTGGGAAAGTAGAGATTTGTTATAAATTGTTTTTAACTATTTATATTTTAATAAACTGAGGGACAGTACATTTGAAAAAGTGCACACAATATATATACATATACATATTTGTACATTTAAGCAAACAGCTTTTGGACTATTTTCTGCAAAGAAAATGGACGTCCTAAGAATATTATAAAACAAGAAAGGAATGCTTAAATACCCTATATCACCCCACAAAAAAAAGAGGAGAATCTGGATACCGAGTTTGGTTATTCTTGCTCTTGTACCTCCTGAGATCCTTGCGTTGATACAGACGGACGGACGGACAGACGGCTCGGCTTGTTATTCTGGTCAATAATATATATACTTTCTGGGGTCTGCCATGCCTCCTTCTGTATGTTACATACATTCGCACAAAACTAGTATAGCCTTTTACCCTTTGGGTACAGGCTATAAAAAGCCTTTGGACCGTATTTTTCAAAGACTGTGTGGTCACACTGCATATTTTTACAATATTTTTACAATATATATACATATTTGTACATTTAAACAAACAGCTTTTGGACTATTTTCTGCAAAGAAAATGGACGTCCTAAGAATATTATAAAACAAGAAAGGAAAAAAGCCCTTGGACCGTATTTTTCAAAGACTGTGTGGTCACACTGCATATTTTTACGGTGCGGCTGTTTGATCTAAATCATGTAATGCACATTCTGCATGTAGCAGAATCGATCTAATGACGCTCACCTAAGCTACTTTGTTTGCTTGTTTGTGTGTGGCCGTTTGTAAGCTGTCATTTATATGATTGAGCAAATCTTTAGTTAGTCCGCATACGCAAGAGCTTTGTTTTTTTTCGCATTTATTTTTATACATTTATCAACACTGCTATTAACGATAAACTAGAAGTCAAATCAGCACGCTTTAGGCCACTTAAGCCATTGCCATTGTTTGTTTGATCGTTCGTCACTTTTTGTGTGTTTCTTTTTCCTTTTTTTTTTTAATACCCTGCTCTGATTGCTGTACGTCATATGGCCTCGAACGACGTCATGACTGTACCTATGCCAGTGCCCGGTCCAACGATTCGCCGAAACAATGGCGTAGTGCCACTGGCAGTAGCAGCTGCTCAATATATCAATATGGCTGCGATAAGCCGGACCCAGGCGCGCTTGACATTTTACTATTTGTACTTATGTATGTATATACATATGCACTTATACATATGTATGTTTGTATATATACTTAATTGTTGATAGACACATGTTGAGTGTGGGACTAACTGGGCGCACGCATACACACTCATTAGATTCAATTATTTTTGTGCTCACATGCTGCTCAGTTATCTGAGCACTTCTAAATACTACTTGTATTTACACGGCCAGGCACCTTCCAAGATTGGCACCTTTGAATCAGACTGCTTAAGAGTCTCAGCTCTGTCACTCAAAATGCTAGATCTACTTTGTCATATGTATATGTACATCATTATGTATGTACAATATGTACATATGTAGGTAGACACCTGCAGCTTTAAGTAAAATGCATGTCATAAATAAATTGCACAAGCTTTCAAATGTTTGGTACACCATTTGAGGCTTCAGTATCGCATCTGTTGTTGTTGTTAATAATAATATGTATGTACTTTGTTTAGCGCAGTCATGATGTGCAGTTTTGGGGGCTTTTTTAAATTAATACGTATGTTCATTTTGGGAACAACAATTGACGCATACACAATACACACAATACAGGCAGATCGATCAAGCGATTTCGTATATTTGACCAGAAACTTATTTTTCTCGTTCCCTTCAAATTCTTATCTATTGGTTTTTAATGACATACTTTACTTGTAAAATCTTAAAATCTTAAAAACATAAAAGTCATGCAGTATTCGGCAAAAATACCTAACTTCATTTAATCGTTCATTTTATAGTTATATTAAGTATTGATAAATAATGAAAAAAAAATCTGAATGGGAATTTTGAAGACTAAATCATGTAGTATATCCTCATCCTCTACCCGGAAAAACCATATATTTTAAATTAATTCTTTGGTTGTTCTCTTCAGCTACATTCTGTTGGATCTTCTATTTAGTAATTCAACTCCTTTTGGCATCTGGAATTTCAAATTTGTTTTTCGAAACATCCCATTGCTAATCGTTACTTTTTTAATGTACTAACTAAGAATCTAAGAACTCGTTCTGTAGTTCCCCAGCGCTTGGACCTCTTTTAGGAAACATGTTAGACCTTCTCAGCCGTCTTTAGTACATACAAGTAGTACATATTAGTATTAGTATTAATATGATAATTATTAAGAATTGTACAGTGCTAAGGCGTTGATAAACATGATATGAAATCTGACGATTTGTCACGAGAGGACTAATAGCTGATTCAAGTGGCCTTATACCTAGAACACTCGTATATACTATATATCGCATAGTATAGGCTGACAGGTATCATATCAAACCGAGCTCTCTAGGGGAGCTTACAAGAGTGGTATTAACTAAGTAGTAACCAGTTATGGAAATAGAGGTGTGAGGTTGTATTTGGCTCGAAGTGTCGGTATGGTCTTTGCCTGATAAGCCTTCGAGCACCCACGCGCTGGCCGAAGAGAGTAAACCTTTGTATTATTTTATAGCTTAAAGATTTAACTTTCCGATTACGGATAATATTGACTTGCATGTTGACCAACAATGACTCGTAAATCAAGCATGTTAATTATAGTAATCTAAATAATGCCATTGGGCAATACATCTGTACAAACATATGTTAACTGTGGGGGTTGTGTGTGGGTGGGTTTTGATTTGTGATGATCGTAAAACTTATTATCGAGAGGTGGTCATTGCGACATGGACCTGATTAGGCAGCTTATATATGGGTACCGACTGTGTGTAATGCACAGTTTTTATATCAGGTACCTACTGCAAGGAACTTAATAATACGGAAAGTATAAATTTAATTAATTTGATAATTAAACTCGTGAAAAAAACAGTCTGTTTCCCCTTAGTCAAACTAGTGAATGCTGTGATATTCTTACTAAGACTATTTCATACTGCGTTTCCTTTCAAATTCAGTTCCTTCTGCTGCACAAACCGCGTTTGAAACCACCAGAAAATAGGCCTTGCCAGAGCCAAGACTATATTTCCTTCAATTTCAAGCACAGTTCGTTAAGCTGAACCTCTACGGAGTGCTCTCTCATTTTAAGGAGCTATTCTACATAATTTTGTTAGTTATACCGGTAACGAAACTAATACAGCGCATACAAAAGAGGCACACTAGCTTTTCATTTTTGAATACAGAAGATCTCGTCCTGTCTGAAAGAGACTAAGCATGAATGCAGCCGAGAATATTAGTTGATAACTAATGAGGGCTGTCAATCGAAGTAAATCACCAGAGGAATTAAATGAGCTAAAGGAACTCACTATAGCTCAGTAGAGGCTGCAGTGGGGCTTTGCCCATATTGGCTGAAAATTCCCCTGGAAATCAGTTACTAATGGTGGTCGCGTCCATCAAGTAGCTGACCGCCATATTTGGACACATGAAACATGCGTAAAACATTTCTGGCTGTATCTCCCACTAGTATATCTCGGTAAGCACTTGTTAGACGTACAATTAACTTTCAAATGTGCGCATTCACACACACGGACTTAGTGTGCTATCAATAATATAAATTATACCCTGCACCCATACATCCATAGTCGTATGCCGGCCGATGTCTTTCAAGTAGCTGCCTTTTGATGTCATAACGTTTCTTATTGACGTCATAAGTGGCATTTTGATTTAATTGATATGGGCCAGCCGGGCAGTCATGCCTTTCGCTAATTTTAAAGTACAAAATGCCAAAGAAATGGGAAAGCTTGATAGCCGTTCAAGTGGACCGCTGAAATTAAAAGTAAGCAATTCGCAGAACACCTGATTGGTTCTGGATGGAAACCTTTACTAAGTATTTAACCACACCACACACATACAAATGTGTATTACAAACAATTTGGCTAACTTGAATTTTGAAAGAGATGCGTACAAATCACCACCACTGGTCCTTCGTCAAATATGCGTACTCCTCTGACTCGATGTTGCAGACGGGCTTCTGCAAGTACATCTCCATGGCACACGAGACGATCAGAAAGAGTACGTAGGTGACGAGACTCAGCCAGCCCACTGTCTTGCCCAGCACGAACTTGGTCAGCAGGAAGGTTAGGTAGAGCATGATGGCCGTAACCGCCAGACAAGACGCCGTTATGGCGAGGCCAGACGAGTTGATGATCACATTCTTATTCAATATCAGCGCTTTCAATATCCACGGCAGACCCAGACAGACCAGTATGTCGAATGTGTTGGATCCGATCGCGTTTCCTATGGCCATGGCGCCGTACCCTAAGCAAGAAGGACTAACAGTATATCAGATCAATATATTATTTGAAAATGTACATTTGTTGTAAATGCAAAAATAATACTTTTTCAGAATTCATTGGCATAACTAATCCTATCAAATAACCTATTAATACAAGTATTTCATTAATCAATCATTAATCAGAAAACTTTTGTAATAGCGATGTTTGTGATCGTAAATACCGAATACAGATAGATATCGTTTACATCTGTGAGGGAACCAAGTTCAAGTGCAAAGCGTTGTCCGAAACCAACTGCGACCAAAGTTGACAACAATTCAAAGCTCTGTTGAACCTACCTTTCTTGGTCAGAATATACGATGATATGGCTTCGGGCACACTGGTGCCAGCGGCCAGTACTGTCAAACCCATGAGGGTGTCCGGAATGCCTATGTTGTAGCCGATAACGGTGAGAAACCAGGTTAGGAGATAGCATGTGGCGCCGATCCAAATGATAGCCATGAGCATCGTCAGAAAGTAGAAGGTTCGCACGCTGGGTATGGTTAGGGCCAGAATCAAGGCGCAAGGATATTTGATGATCCACCAAATGAAGGCACATTTGCCAGATTCCTCCCCCGGCATCCTGCAGACATGATCCCTAAACGACATGAGTGGCGACTCCTCGCGATCCAGAGGGTCCTCAGTCACTTGCGTGGTATATATGTTGTCACCTGTAGAGGATCACTACGATCAGATACACGCCCCAATAGAACCCCTCCCAACTGTGTGCTAACCTCGGAAGAAGCTCTGTATCACTCTATCCAATACCAGAAGTAGAAGATAGCAAAAGTAGCAGGCCAACATCAGGCCCGATTCGATGGCACTCACGTTGGCGTCGTAGAGCACTGCGCAAAGTGCGGCAATAGCAATCAAATACCAGATAATATCGCGGGTTATGGGCCACCAGTCCAGTTGTTCCGACTGCAAGAGAAAACCGCTGAATGAGAACCCTCAGATGGCATTTGGCCACTACTAACGACGCCCGTAAAGATGCCGCAGACAGCAGCGACCGCCAACGTATTGAAAACAGAAGAGCCCACAATGGCGGCAACACCAATATCTCCTTCTGTTACGAATGTGCCCACAAAGTTGACGAACAGTTCGGGCGTGGAAGTGGCTGCGGCCAAGAATGTGGCACCGGCCACATCATACGTCATCCGCAGGGCTATTGAAGGGAAGAAGCATTTCAGTCAAGCAATGAACAATACGGACAATACGGAATCAAGCCGAAATCAATTCAGTTCGCATCAGAACCAATCGAATGAGATCTTCAGCCTACTTTAACGGACGCCTCACTTACCATAGCACAAACGCTCCATGGACGGCACCAGATAATCATTACACAATACTCCCAACATAATAAACAAGTACAAGCTGAATATTCCGCACAGGGTTGGATGAAGTATGTTCTTTTTCCGAAAGAGAGCGGGAAACTCCAATATTGTGGGGACTGTGCAGTTAAGTTCCCAGCTGCGCATACGTAATTCTGAATTATCTATTTAAAATATATATACATACATATATATGTATAAAGGCATTGATTCTGCAGGGATAAGATTTCTTACCGAAACCATTATCTCGGAGCACTTTTTGCAAGTCCACGTCGGTTGCAGAGCTCATTTTTGGTAACAACAACCAACACAAAACAAAAACTCGTCTCACGCAAAAAGTAATTGGTGAACGTATTTTTCTAGGGCCCTGTGATCGATCATTCGTTTAATTACGAAACTTTTTTTCGAAGCCCGCTCTCATGTAACTCACTCAGCTATAGTATTTGTTTATTTGTATTTTATCGTATGTGTGGCAGTTTGCTAATCGGACTACATCCAATACGTATAATTAGGCAGACGTCGCTCTGTCAGTAACACTCCAATCGAATTACGAGTATACATACGTGTTCAAGCCTAAAAAACTCTCCCAGTTGCGATAAAACGAACAAAATATTAAATGGTTTTACAGTGAGATAGTGTATTAGCCTGAAAAAATTGTCAGCCTTGGCTAAATTTATTGAGGGGGGAACATCTGTGATTTGTTGGAGCTTTCACGTTTGCAACCGTTGTAAGTGGTTCATTTTTTAACCAGAGCCCAATGGGTGAAGTGTATACTTAAATTCTTAGCGCCAAAAGTATATAAAAAGCAGGAGGAGGCATCGTAAGCCCCATATTATGCCTGTAAGTAGTAAGTAGGCGGGTGCCTGGCGTTATAATCGCTGTAGACATTACGGGTCTGCTTGTTCGTCTTTAATGTTTGTTTATCAAAACATCGCAAAGTCGGACTTGCTTATAGTATTTACTCTTGTCCATATCAATTAGGAATGAAACACTCTGGTATTTATCTTTGTTAAATCTCATATATTAATCATATAAATACATTATTGAATTTGTTGTTTGTTTGGTTTTTCATCTCTTCACATCACCACTGCGACTGCGATCAAATTTCATGAAAATGTCTACTTTAATAATAATAAAAAAAAAGTATTATTACAATAACAGCATAACGTAACTCAACTATCAAGGTAGATAGAATAGAACAGAAAATACGTATTAATTAATTAAACGACTGCACTCCACGCCGAAGACTCGTTTCTGCTCGACCTGAGCGTGCCTCGCGCCCCAAGCGCACTCATGACCGTCCGCACGTCGGTAGATTGACGCGGAAGAACACATTGAGTTCGATAAGTGAGGCAAACACCATGAAAACCAAATACATGACCAGGCACGCTGTGCCCACCTTCTTGTCCAGCTTAAACTTATTCGTGGAGAACGTCAGATAAAGTAGAAACAGAGTGGAGAGCAGTGTAATGGCCGAGTATTCCAGGCCGGCGGAATTGATGGCCACATAGTTCTGGCCCGGCTGTATTGGGAAGAAGACGGCCTTGATCAGCCAGGGAACACCCAGGCACAGTAGAATATCGAAGGTATTCGAGCCAATTGAATTGCAAATGCCCATTGAGCCATGACCTATTTATTGGAGAAAGAGTGAGAGGGACAGGGAGAGAGTGAGAGATAGAAAGGGAGAAACTGGTGAGATTTTGCGACAAGTCAAAAATTAGTTCTCTTCAACTTACCGCGCTTGGCCACAATCACGCTGGAGACTGCCTCAGGCACGCTGGTGCCAGCGGCGAGGAAGGTGATGCCCATTACCGAATCGGGTATTTTAAGTGTGTCGCCTGTGAGACGCAAACGCAAAGAGATTATAAAATATATATGAAATATTGAGGGATGGGCAAAGAGGCTGGCATATCATACCAATTATGGTGATCATCCACGCTACCACATACGACAACGAGCCAATCCAGACAATGCACATGATGAAGGTCAGTGGAAAGATTTTGTTATTTTTTGCCTTTTTGCAATCGGGTATGGCAATACGGAAGAGCAGATGGATGGGCCAGATGATGATCCAGGTGAACTGTGCAAAGCAGCTCTTGTCCTTCGGATAGGTAAGCAGCGAGTAGCCCTCCTGTTCCTGTTCCTCGGCCACGGCCACTGGTTGAGCCTCTGCCTCGGCGCTGTCAACAATTGCCGCCACCGGCACCGGCAGGGCACCAGGTGGAGCTGTGGGAATCGCAGCGCCACCTATCGAGGCTGCATTAGAGGCGTTCGTGGTGGCAACCTTGGCTTGATCGTTATTGAGGCCCCCATTTAGTTGAATTGTTGCCATGTTCTGGCAAATGCGATTCTCGACAATTTCTGCAATAATTAATGTCATTTTGTAAGTGCATACAACTACGAGTATATCAGGGGAATAGCCAAAGGGGATATTACAAGTAAGTATTGGAAAACGGTTTGTATGATGTGTACGACCCGTTAACTCATGTTATCATTAACGAAACTCAAGCCGTCATGACGTCAACATTGTATCTTATCTCTTAAAAAATAGTTGCCTTAATTAAAAAAGGGAAAAATTCCATTTCCCCATTAAAATGTACAATGACTCGATTCTTATATAACCATTTTTTCAGCATTAAAAAAAACTTTGGTACTCGTAATTCCAAAATACGATAGCAATTTGAACAGTTAATAAATCAATTCTGTATCGATTGTGTTATTATGAGATTTTTACATGAAATCGCAGTGTAATTTTTATTGGAACTTCTAATTGTCTGTCTAATGGGCGCAATTCAAACGATCCTTCTATGGTCATGGCACTTTGTGGACCTCGTACATCAATAAAGCAATACAATAATAAAACTTTTGCAATTTACTCCTTCAACTATTTTTTTTTAAATTTAGATTTCTGCAAACCAAACTTTGGAAAATGATAATTCATACATCTGCTTGGTTCCTTGTAACAACTACACTCATTAGGAATTCTATTTTTTTGTACACTTTTAAAGTGACCGTGCCATCACCAGATATATATATCAAAATATGTCGTAGGAATAACTATAAGAAGGGGTATAATTTGTTGATCTATATTTATCCCGATCCCGATCCCGATCGTTCCTATGGCTGCTATGTTTTATGGCTGGTGCATTAAAAAAGGAACGAATGGCCTATTTAGATCTATTAGAAATATTTCTTCTGTGCGACACATTAACCAATTTACAGTATACATTTTAAAAGCAAACTAATAACGCTAGGTGAAGGCTTTGATTCTTGAATTGATTTGTGCTAAGTTAGTTAAGTTATAACTGTCTGCGATGAGTTATCGGGTCTAGGTATACCTGGTTCCTTCTCATTGCTGTTCTTTGTGTGGATGCTGCAGTTGGAGGAGCGGCTTCGCGAGCGAGCTTGTTTAACGCCACCTGTGTGTGTAAGATGTGAGAGTTTTGTTTCTTTGTTTGTATGTTGTACCAGAAATGAAGGAGCTCTAAAAATGTTTGGGTGTTGTGGGCTGTTGTGTTAAGGGATGAGAGAATGTGCCCAGCGTTCTGAGGCAACCAATACCCACCTTTGGCGCACTTCTGGAACGTCTTGTCGAAATACATAACCGCCAAATAGACCGCGTACAGGGATACCAATATGAGCGCCTCATACCACTCCACACGCTCGTCATGCATCACACAAATCAAAATGGCCACTGTCACCCCGTAGGCAATGCTATCTCGCGTTAGTGGCCACCAATCAAGCGGTATGGTCTGCAACGACATTAAACATCCGTTAAATTTTGCAGAGCATTTATGTATGTATAAATGTGAAGATACTTGCCATGCCAGCGCCAATGCCACAGCAGGCGGCCACGGCTAATATGTTGAAGACGGCCGAGCCCACAATGGTGCCAACCCCAATGTCGCCCTCCGTGATGAATGTGCCTATCACATTGACAAAGAGCTCTGGTGCTGATGTTGCGGCGGCCATAAATGTGGCGCCCGCCACATCGTTGGACATATTGAGTGCTAAAGGTGTGGAATATAGATCAAGTTGGCGATCGAGTGGATACAACTGGGATTAAAAATGATGTGGAATAGAACAGCACTTACCTGCACATATTTTCTCAACTGCTGGCACAAAGTACTCATCACATACTACTGCTAATGCTACAAATAAATATAAACTTGCTATTACATGAAGTACAACAGCACCGGACTGTCTTTGCGCCTCCGTGAATAAATCTCTGGGGAAGTCATCAATGGCGGGCTGAGTGCAATTTATATCTGTGAAATAAATTCAAAGAGAACCTGTTAACAGATCGGCAAAAACATCAACAAATTAGTTTCGAGTTGCGAAACCAACTCCCTTCGGTGCTATGAAAATTAATCCGAACAGTTTGGAAGTAACTGGGATAATGACATATACGCAATATTTTAATCATAACAATTTCTTTTTAATTAACCTGTAAAGTGTTAAGATGCACACAAACCAAGTTTAATTGAATTTCAAACCGAAATAGAAACAAAAACGAAGTTTAATAATACTTGTAGATTAAGCAATTAATGAGGCATACAAATACCGTTGCCTACTTAAGGGGGCCCTCACACTTAACTTCGCAGTGCAGGCCTCTTTCAACATTAAAAAGCTAACATAGAGTGGTAAACCAGTATAATATAGATGAAGTTGATCATATTTGAAGAAATGGTTAGTTCCGGAATATTTTTATATACAATTCTCTAAATACTCTAGAAAACTAACAACATCAATGACCCTTATCGTGATAGTATAAATTGGTATTAAGCGATCAAATGTTCTCATTAATAAAGAAAGATCAATGCGTTTCTTGTAATGCTTCTATGCTTGGAGCTAACGATCAAGTTTTCTGTACTACAAAGGCTTATACTTGTATAATCAAAGCAGTCTTCTAATGCTGCCCAATCATTAATAATATTATCTAAACTAATTTGCGCAAACAAAAATAAAAATGATTCATCTATTCCCTTACAATTGACCAAACTCTCGATAAATCTTTCCTGTTTACTGAGCACAACAACAGAAGGACAAATTTTATTTTGAATACTTAAAAAAAACCTATGTTAAATAGAACAAATTAAATAAGTCTACCAACTTATTTAAATTTTTTGTTTTACCAAGCTGTGACTAACAAATACAAGCACGATAGCGAAAGGCAAAATAATGTTATTAAAAAATCGTAAATGCAATAACGATTTAATCACACTATTCAGACTACAAATATGAGTAGCTTACTTCGAACTCTAAAACGCTTTGATTGGGAGCTAAGACCTGTATTATTGTAATATAAAGCTTCAAGAATCTTCAAGTAACTCCCTTGCGGGCCAATCCATTGTAGGCCCTTCATAAGTAACCTACAATAATAATATTTTTACGCACATTTCATGTTCCGTCAGCGGCTTTTCACACATATATGTATAAGCATTAAGAAAAAAGAAAAGAAAAACAAAAAACACTTCCACTCTTTTGTATGAAAAACTAATTCTTAAAGAATAATCTTTTTGCGACAGTCTCAAGCGCCGGCAAACAACTAAACCGATGAAGCAGCAACAATGACCACATGACTGGGCCGATCAAGTGCAGGAATAGAAACTATAGCAACAGTAGCAGTAGTAGGCTAAACTATTTAAAAACAAAAAAACCCGAGCAGTCAAAGAAACCCGCCTATTGAGCTGCGTACTTGATCATCGATCAAATATGCGACCACCAACAAGGTGGTGCTGGTGGCGGCGTAGTTGGCGGCGATGTTGGCGACTCTGGCGGCTATCGTGCTTATTGCCTTTTGTTTCTCGCTTTTAATTTCTTCAACGGAAACGACAAATACACTTTGATGTCATCAAATTAAACAAAACAGACGCATATGTCGGCGATCTAAAAACAGACTTAGACTTGAGCCCAAGACCCAGCACCAGCCGCATTCCCATCCCCATTCTCTGCGGATCCATAGCATCACTTGCCAAATGGAAATGAAAACTGAAGCTTGCCAGCAACTAAGCAATTTGTACAATATTTGTTCTTTCTAATTGATCAACCTCCATTACCTTTCGTGATCCATTCAATAGATGCGGAGCATATAACAGAACAGGACAATTACGGTAATCGTGAGTAATACGTTAAATTGTCATGTCACATATATGTATGTACCAATTTGTTTATTAATATCAAGTCTTTGTTAATTTTCTTGAAGATTTGTGGGTCCATAGATGTCTACAATTTTTCTTCGCTACCAAGCCCTATATGTATAGCAAAAGAAAAATTACTTAAATATCTTGTGGGTAAAATTCAACCTATTGCTAGTACTGAACCATTTATCATTTAACATCAATTTGTAGTAAATTATGATGACATGAATGGATACAAGATAGAACAATTGTGGCAGTCGCCCCTTTACCTACGGTCCAACATCCGTGTAAGTTAATTATGAAAGCATTGGTCACTATATGGAGATACATTTTTGAAATGTATAATTTTTCGAATTTTTTTAAGTAAAGTCATTTTCCATAATCATTTCATAATCTGTATTCTGTGACGCTTTTAAAACAATGCTAAAAAATAATTTGGTACATATGTACTTGTATATATGTGAATATATATAAAAATATAAGTAATGAAAATAGTACATAATAATAAACAATTTATTTAATTGCGTTCAAAGCTTGGTTTTGGGAAATTTGATCCAGAAGTGACCAAGTTTCCAGTCAAAGTTTGAATATAACAATTGACATTATGTCAGCTTTGGACCTCTCTCGCTTACTTTCTCTCTCCCTTCTTTTGGAGGTCGAAAAGATAATTATTCGTTTAGCAAGCTTGCTGTTGATTTATATTTACTTGGTATTTAAAAAAAAAATAACATAAATTGTCCTTAAGCCGTTTTTAAACGACTCGAACGTTTCTCAAGAGGAAACAAGAATTAAAAAACGATCCGTTCGCTTCCGCAAAACTCTTAATTTATTTATTTTTGTTACGACAAGCCTCAAGTAAGAATTTCAGGGCTTAAGCAATCTATTGGCTGCTTCCAATATTTAATGAAATGTTCGGAAGGTGTACTGCAATTTCGAAACTAATCTGTAAGAGTTCGTTGAGACACTCGTTTCTAAAAAGCACTCAGGCACAAAGAAACATTCATACGAGTATAAGTAGCATATATGTATGTATAATTCCATTGTGAATGCAAAATAGATATAGAAAAGTTGAAAGATAGTGGAAACACAGTAATAAAGTAATCACGAAAAACTTTCGATAAACAATTGACGGCAATTTTCGTTTGGGTTTGCTCTTCATACGATATAGTATATTATATACACACCTATACACTCAAATACATGCATTAACTTTGGCGTGCTAGACATAGAGCGAGAAAAAATAATAATAGGGAGCACATAAAGAACAACAGCAACAACAACACGAACGAACGCGATGCCACTGGCTGAGGTCAATTGATAAAACGCATTTGTAACTTAACTGCCGATCTGGTCCGGCCCGCATAATGCAACAATTCTTAGCAAACACTTACAGCCTCGGGGGCTGTTGGAGCCGTGCTAATGATAATAAATTTATCGTGGATAGCAATCAGAAAAACATTCAATCACCGTTAATTAAGTTCACTTTAATTTAATAAGTGTCACATATTAACAGTAAAAGAAGTGACGGGTCAAACAAATAAAGCCACATACGTGTACATCGCTCATGCATAGATGTACTATATACTTGTATGTAGATGTGTACATACGCCAGTAAGTATGTACAGAGTGGCGCAATTTTAGAAAATTTCATCATAAAAAGAGATTGAAATTGACGGTCTCAACAGGCTTTCCAACATCGTTATTTAAATTCTTTAAGTCACACATTACGTGAGGCCCTTTCAATATTTCTATAACATATAACATATATAACAGCTTAATAACTTTTCCTATTGGGAATTTTTTTTTTATAAAAAACACATACAACTAATTGAAAGGCGTGAATTTGTTTCTTGCTTCATTCTGGTGGAATTCATGTTGAATATTAGCTTCCACAACTCTCTCTATCTGGGGGTATAAGATTCAGTAAACAAATATGGGAAATATGAACACATTTAAGTTATAAGGCTCATCAAGAAATGAAATGTAGGTACTGTCAAATGAAAAGTGTAAATAAAGCGCAAGTAACACAATAATTTAACAAAAACTGTCTTTGAAAAGGGAATTAAAAGCATAAATCATCCATAAAAACTCTGACACTCTTATACATTTAAAGGAAAATCCACAAAAACTAAATGCAAAGATATTAAAACAATTGGCTTTTGAAACTGCGAAGAACAACCAAATATTTACTATATAAGTTGAAGGATATATACAAGAAATAATAGGGGAACTCTTGTGACTGGGAGGTTTCGTCCCTTGTTAAAGACAAGCCCCAACCATTAGCACTTATTGCAATTAATGGTCTTTCCATCAACTGATTAAAAACAATTTTATATTAATTTTGGGGGACTCCAACAAAGTATGTTGAGTTCCAAGTGTAAATCCGTTGAGAGAATGAGTCTGAAATTCTTTCAATTCTTATATTTTTCTTTTGAATAGAGATTGTTGTTGTTTAGAGCATGGTTGTCATTTATTTTCTCAGTGTGGTGAGGATTAAAACTCTTGTGATTATTGATTGGGGCACAATCCTTTATTTTTAAATTCCAATTAAATGTGGGCATTACTAATGGAGCGGTAGTCATCACACTGTTAAAGTGTTTGGAAAAAGTATTCATTAGTAGACATACTTTAAGCGGCGAATAGAAGCTGATTAAAAGCTTCTGAGCTTAACGACATTGAAAGGCTTAGTCACCTCAAATATGTAGTTGAACAATCAGCTTTTAACTGAATCAAGGTGTACCTACCGACCACATCAACTACCCTTTCAATTTCTGCATTACTTGCATATAATCGTTGTATGAAAATTAAAATAAATGCAAGATATCAAACAAAAAATTGTTATCATTAATTGTTTTGTAAATATAGGAGAATTCACCGGCTCAGATATATGACAATTTCAATAAACAAAACGCCATTCGAGGATCGACAGCTACTATATACTATATAAAATGGTAACTTAGGTTGTGTAACTCGATCTCGAGGCTTTTGATAGTAATTATATGGGCATAAAAACCAAAACAATATTAATGACTAAACTAAGAGGTCATACAAAACATAGATATGTTCAAGTCTACTCTTGTGTTGACTTTACAAGAAAGTATTTATGCTTTATATACAAATTCAAAAATGTTATTTACCGGTGCTATAAAGAATATCTCTATTGAAATAAATATTCTATTTTATTACTACATTTTCTAATAATCTCTATTACTATTTCCATTCTTTTCACTTTCTGGAAAGTTCTGTTCAATATAGACGAGAATTACCACCTTTTTTTGTATGGAATTCCTGGAATGTTCAGCGGAACATCTGTTAATCTTTTCAAAAATTTGATGATATTTTATACGTTTAGTGTTTATGCACACGAAGCAGTGGCAACGGCTGTTACTTTGGTTACTTTGCAATCGAAAACGGCTCTGTTGAATTGGAAATTGGATATAACGTATACGCCTAGTTGGAGCAAAATGTTTTGCCTCTTTGTTTTGCCAGGCGTTAAGCGTATCACAATAAATGGATATGTAAGTACATACACACTTCCTCCAACTGACTACATACCTTAGTACACACGTATTAGCACGTACACAAACACACACACACACACATACTTAGCTAGTATACTTATATAGAGACATCAGTAAGAAAAATCAACGCGACAATATGTTTTAATATGACTTTTGTGTACCGTTTAAGTTACTTTTTATTCCGATCTCCATATCAAATGTTGTGCGCACATATGTATTGACTGTGTATGTGTGTGTGTGTGTGGATACACATTGTTATAGAGCACACATCCAAGCAGATCATGTGTATGTGTATATGCCAGCCCGTAATTTTTAGTTAGTTAGACTTTCTTTAGACATATTGAGTTTTTATGTGTGCTTCTTTAGCTTTGCACCCCAGCGGGAGATTTTTTGTATTATTCTCTAGCTTAGGCTCATACATACATGCAAGTACCCACGAATTGTGGGTGCTTATATAATGTACAGGAGGCCTACTATATTCACATACTCGTATGTAAAAGTGGGCAACCAAAATAGCGAAAGCTATTTCATGTTCCACCGATTTCTACCAAATTAACGTTCTTCTAAGCAATTCCGAAGCGTATAATTTATTGTAAGAGAGTATTGGTGCATTTAAGGGGGAGACAAACGTATTGGAAATAGCACTTCAAGGCTGTTGCACTACAATGGGATACAAAGATTTAAGAATGAAAGTATATATATATATATATATATATATATATATATATATATATATATATATATATATATATATATATATATATATATATATACTTTCATTCTTAAATCTTTGTATCCCATTGTATCCCATGAATTGCGCTTCTGCTATGCATTAATGAGCTTCACTTCACAATTAATTTCGGATCTCAGAAGTAAGATTACACTTTTTAAACGTTTTTGCCTCTGGCAGTCAAGCTCTATGTGTATGCACTTGCAGAAAAGATAATACATACTAGAAGTATAAAAGACTTTCTAATAAGTGTCTTTTCTAACAATAATAAGAATTTCGATCAGACTCCAAAATATATTACGAATTCCTAACAACCTAGAACTAAAACACTACGAATGAAAAGAGTCTCTTATTACTTATTTTTAAATATTTATCCGGAAGCTTTTTAGTAATGCTTCTTCGAGGCGGAAGGATATGTGATTAAATAAAGCATTTATTCCTCTTTACTTATTGTATATATGTATAAAAAAAAAACAAAACAATTGTATATAAAAATAGTGTATTATGTAATTAGTTTCCCTTTAAATGAGAAGAGCTCGCTGGCCCAAGTACTCGAATTCCTTGATCTTAGATGGAAGATTTATGCTGTTGACCAGATATGTAGGAGCCTAACACTATACCCACCACATTTACCTACCGACCTAGTTTATTAAATTTGGTTTGTATAGTAACTTTTATTTTGTTTGCTTCATCTGAGGTGGTGAAGAGTTCACGCGAAACTGGTTAGCATGTATTTCCGGTACTGCGTTACTCATACGCCACGTAGGCCAGTCGTAATTATTTTATGCTGCAGAGCAGAGTGTTTACAAAACTCACGGGCCATTTGCCCGATTTCTTTATTTTGAACTCAATGCGTAGTTGTTTTTGAATTTTGTTTTGATTTTATGCTTCATTGCCGACTAACAAAGCGCATTTTATATTTGTTTTTCGTTTTATTCTTCTTGTTTTTGTTTATTGAATGGCTTGAAGCTTGATTTGCATTTAATTTAAGGCTGAAGAGTTGGGCACGGGACAACCACCAAAAATCAAAATAAAAAAAACCAAAAAAAAGGGCAAGACACTCTTGGAAAATAGTGTTTTTGCTCAAAATTTACGTGTTCTCCCAACTCCAAAGTTGAAAACATAGTTTATTTTCACTTATTTTTATTTTCCATTTTGTATCTGAACGCAATTTACACTTTCCACTTTATTTATCGCAAATCACTTTTACTTTTGTAAATAAATGAGTGTATCGGGTTTTTTTATTTTATTTATTTTTTTAGTATTTATATAGTTTTTGTATTCAGTTGATTGATTGATTGAAGTGGAAAAGAAACTATTTGTAAAGGTTGACCATTATTGAACAAAAATGTGTTGTTGCATTTTTGGATAGTTTAGAAATTATAATAACATTCATAGATCAACATACATATAGTATGTATATTTCAATTAGATATTACGCATACGCAACGTTGTACAAAAGCGACATCAACAACAAAAATGAAGTCATCTATAAAAATTAGATTTTCAAAAAAGAAAAAATAAATAAATAAATAAAAGTCAATGCTAACACAACAAAATCAGCAACAACAAATCTATGTATAGTGTGCTTATGCGTGTTTGTTTGTGTGTGTGTGCATAGTAAATGTCATTAAGTTTCACTTAATGAGCCAATTTAGACAATTGATCCATGCTTTAGTTTATGCGCACAAACACACACATATGTACACATACAGATGTATATATAGAGGTGCACGCACACACACACACACCACACATACCCACCCACATATGGCGTGTGAGAAGGTGAGAGAGGAAGAGGGAAAGGGATGCTGAGAGAGACAGAGAGAGAGAGAGAGAGTGAGAGAGAGAGAAAGGTGGCGAGCTGCCTAATGTGCAGAAAAATCATTTCATTTCTAATCGCCGACGAGAATGACGATTCGGCCTGGCTTGGCTTGAGCTGATCCGTCGTTAGAGCTTTGCTCAATGACGTCATTAGTCCATGTTAATTTTTTTCGTATGCATGTGTTTGTGGCGCACACACACATACACACACAGCTAATTGCGTTGCATTACGAGCTTTAATTTATTTATCAATTTCAACATCTGCCGCACTGGCGGCGCAACAAAAAGAACCAAGTTGTTTGTATGTTTGTTTATGTGTATGTATGTTATACATACATATGTACATATGTATGTATCAGCATTATTATTCTTGTTGAAATTTTCGTTTTATTGAATTAAGTTTTTTTTTTAGCACTTTGGCACTTTAGCTTTTAATTAATTTAGTGTCACCTATTTGAGGTCCAATCATCAAGCCATGTGGCAGTTTGTCTTTAGTTATAGTTTCTTGGATTGTTTTGAGATTGTTGTTGTTTTTGTTGGATCGTTAATTTAGTGGTTTTATTTTATTAATTAATTTTTTTTAATTTATTTATTATTTAATTATGTCTATTTTTCAGTTTCTTTTGTTAATTATTTGTATAGAGGTATGTACCCGTAGTGCTGCTAAGACCCCAATAGTCTTCCATTGCTGCACGGTGTTGTAGTGGTGATGGACACTCGTAAACTGCGCTGCACCGCTTATGTGAAGCGCAATCTCAATCTCAATCTCTGGCACTTCAAATGGTGTTGATTTGGTTTTAAGATGCGCGCGACGCGACGCGACGCAACGCAACGCTACGGAACGGAACGGTACGCTCGACGATCGACGCTCAGTTCAGAGCCCCACCACTGGGATGCTGGAAAGCACACAGCAGACACACAAGTGTATAGAATGTCTTTGTGTGTGTGTGCATGAACTGAAGTCAGCAGTTATAGCCTATAGCTATAACTATAGTCTATGGTATGGCGGCTGCTCAGATAATATGTAGCATGCCCAGCAGTTGGAAACGCGCGTTATTTCAATTTCAATTGTCGTGCCGCTTTGAGACACAAGGCGCGCCGTGGCGTGGCACGACACTTTACACACCGAACACACAGGCACACAGCCACACAGCCACACAGCCACACACACACACACACACACATACACACACACACTGTAACACACGCAACGACCGCAACAACAAAATGTCTCACTTAATGCATTTCGCGTCGGCTACTTTAAGGCATAAATCAAGGGGCAATCATAAAAGCCGCTCAAGCTTCGGCTTTGGCTTCTGATTCGGCAACAGCTTCGTCTTTGACAGCGACAGCGACTGCGACTACGACTGCCACGTCGTTATTTATGTATGTATGTATGTACGTACTCGTGTGTATGGGAAGATATAATTTTATTATTTTTTTGTCACTTGTTTATCACACACACTTTATTATTTTTTACTCGAAATACAAAGATACACACGAAAAAAAAAGAATTGAGAGAAGAAGAAAATGAAAATCAAACAGCCAGCGCAAGCTTGTTGGCTATTTTTCGTATTTTTCTCTGCCACAACAATGGGCAATAGTATGTACATATGTGGGATGTGGGTGTGTGCGTTTGTATGCTCAGTTAGCACATATCTTTCGCATTTTATTTCCCACAGTGTCTCCTCTCTCTGTCTAGCTGTATCGCCGAAGGCAGTGCTGTTGCCTGTGCCTGCCTGGAACTGAAATTGAGACTGAGAAGTGAGGCTGCGGCTGCGGTTGAGGCTGAGGCTGAGGTTGAGGCGAAGCTGTTCTGGGCTGAGCTGAGCTGCGCTGAACTGAACGGAATGGAATGGAGCCTTATGTTGATCGCCTGGCTATGACTTGCGGCTTGGCTTGGCTTGATTTTTAGTTTGGTTTGGGGGTTTTCTGTATTGTCTTGATACCGCCGACGTCGACGTTAAACTGAATCGGTGTTTTGAACGATTTAGTCGAAACTGAGCGTAAAATTTGTCGAGCTTGATTTTTCTATAGAACACATTTGGTCTGTTATTGTTGTTGCTGCAATTGTTGTTGCTGTTTGTGTTGTGTGCGCTCATACAATTGTTTGTACCGTACGTTCGTTTAACTAACTACACACATACACTCATACACACATACACATGTACTTGTAAGTACAACAGATTGCATGCTACTAGCCGCACACTCCCTCCCAAACATACTCGTGCATACATACATATATACGTTTATATGTACATACATACATATGTATAGTACGGTATGTATGTCCATTGTCTGTAGACTGTAGTTATCGTCCGACGTCGTCGTCGTATAGTCTCCATTACTACCCGGCCATTTGGGCATTTTAACGAATTTGAGCATGGACTACGGCTTCCATACCCCCATACAATATACATATACAAACATACATATGTACATACATCTTTAAATATACATTCATAAGCACATACATATGACAAAGTTATGCAGACAAAGGTCAAGTCATGGTAGAGCGATCAACTAATTGCCCGACTCGTGCCACAAATTTGAACATGGCAGCCAGAATTAAGGTGCTGCGCATTGTCACGTATGGCAAACAATCAGGCAGACCGACAGCAAAATATCAACTATCCAATCCCATTTGATTGCCAACTTCAGCTATCAGTGTGGATCGTATCCACTAAGGCTGGCCTCCAATTGGGATATTTGTGCCATTTTGTATTCTGTTATTAAAATCAAGTTGTAATTCTTTTTTAGTTCGGCATGTTATCTATTTCAACGCAACTTCAATTGGCCACTCCCTGTTGACTGGCGAAATACGGAAGGCCTCGCTTTAATCTATGTACCTTTTCTACAGTAATTTTAACTTCTAGCTATCTCTCGGTATTGTAATTCCTCTATTTTAGAACTTAACTTTATTAAATCAAGCAACAATGTCCAATGTTCAGCTCAAAGACGATCAAATAAAAATGGGATTTCTGCTTTTTTCCATTAGTCTACACCATGAAAACTGGAAATTATATTTTATTTATATCACTAAGTAAATGGGTATTTCACAAAATACCAAACACTAAGCGAATAACAGAAGAACCATTTAGCTCGAAAGGTATTCTGAATTCAACCAAATTAATATTTTACAAGCTTTAAATGATTATTTACTTGTAAGTTGTATTTATAATAAGCCTTAAAAATTGCTTATAGATTACTCATCTATTTCAAAGTTATTATCAAATTAATACCTGTATACATATTTACTTGTACATGTCACTCCCACGGTACTTTAGATTATGGGTAACTTTTGGGCTTGGTTCCTATTGTCTGAACGCTTCAATTTCTGTTCCCTAAACTTAACAGAGCAATCAAAACCACTCGAGTATCCTACCAATTGCCAGACACAATTTCAGCTGCATATTTGAAATTTCTTCAAACAAATTGATGATCGGAGCAGTTATGGATCTTCTAGACCCTCCTCTGTTATCGATAAAAACCAGGATCTGGTTTCTTATGGTTCAACAATAGCATAAACATAACTTTAAGGTCCAACGAGTACCCTTGGAAATGTACTTCTCCGCGAAAGCAAAACACCTTTCTTTTTAAAGTGTGTTTTATTTGTTTTCCAATTTTTGTTTGTTTTCCAATGTATCCACAAATCCCAGAAATCTTTTCATACAATAAAAACTTTCTTTTTTTTTTTGTTTTAAGTAGGTGTAAATTGTTCAGGTCATAAGAATAAGGTTAAAAATATTTTGGCATTAATCTGACTTCCATTAAAATTTAAGAGCATACCTTAGTGGTATTATAGAAAGAAGCTAAAGTGTGGACAAGAGAGAATTATTTAAGAGAGGCAGCGAATATATGTAGCTTAGTAGCTTAGAAGTAGTTATGCAATTGCTATCCCTATTTCGTAAACATTCTACGTACTACCAAGGAACAGACTCGTTATTTAAAAGCTATCTTGATTTATTGTTATTAATTTTGCTTAGAGACTATAAAGCCTAAAAAGTTGGCTTTTTCTTTTCTTTACTGTATTATCTTCAACAATTTTCAAGAGGTTTCGTAATATTCATGACTGGACTTTAATTAACATTGCGGAATTTTATTGGACTTAACCATGTATATCTGTTAATTATATCTCTTTTACTGAATTAACAAATTATTTTCCACTTAACATTCGCTTTAATTTTAGAACATTTGTTTGTTAACTTTGTACAAAGTTTAATCAACCAACAATAAAGTGGTGGTATCTGTTGAAAAATAACGTGTTTGCCAACTGACATTGGAAATCTATATAGATAATAGCATTCAAATAGATTAGCATGATGATTGCCACGTTAAGTAGCCACACACATACATACATATTTGCTATTATTTGATTTATACTTCATATACTCGTAGAGCATTGAAAGTAAACTCTTCAAATACAATCGACAGAAGTTGAAATTAAAATTAAAATGAATTAATTAATATTCAGTAATATTTATGCATGCCATCTTGTCCAATCGATTACATTTTATAAAGTATTCACATATTTATTCTTAATTAGCAGCGTTTATCCAACTCCCGTCCATTTTTGCACTACTAATTAACTTCTACTGATTTATGACAACTTTCAATATTTCTTAACCAACTTCTATTGACTTTTGTATTTAATTATTATTTAACTTTTTATAGGTCTACTAAGGTCCCTCGCCATATTTATTGCTCCAGCTGACTAGAAAGTACTGCTCAGGTCGAATATTACTTCATGGTAGTCAACTTGGCCCTTTATATTTCACTGCGTTTATTGCTGAACTCCCTTCTATTCCTTATATTGTCACATTCCCGCATACATAAGTCCTTCACTGATGTGAAGCCTATTTTTTCGAATTCAGACAAAAAGGAACTTTTTGCCTCTTCTGCTCAACAGATGTAGGGAATTAGTTCCCTCCTGCACAATCCTTTTCGGGTGTTATGCTCAAACTTTATCGAACTATCCCTCTCCTCATTAAAAGAACATATTTTCAGCTACTTCCGAAAGAATCTGTGAATCTTGTCGGACTGGCCCCTACAAATGATTATCCACTATTCCTTTCTAACCAAATTTCTAACTAAGATCTTGGGCATAGCGTGCCGAGTCATCGGAGAGACTATCACAATAATTTGTTTATTTCACCAGATCAAATACCCGCAGCTCTTATATACCCTGAACCCAATTCCAATAACAAAATATATATAAAAATAAATAAATTAAAATTTCTAAATTTAAATTATTAATTTAATTCTGCCACATACGTTTACGCATCAACAGACATCGGGATTGCGCTTATGTGGATCTATTTGTGTATAAGCATATTGATCTGTCAAAATTAATACTTTGTTTTATGAACTGTGTTTACAAGGACAAGTGTGTAGATTCTCCTGAAATCCTTAGACTAGAATATATTATATACTTTTTGTTCTATTATGATTTATTTAATTTTTAATTAAATTATAAAATTAAAGAACTGTAAAATATTTGAAGTGGGTGCAGTGGCTCCATTCCATTATTGTCCTTTATTGTAATTTTAAAAGGGTTTTATTACTTTTCATTCATTGTTCATTTTTATGTTATGTACATAAATTTTCCTTAGGACAGTTGCGAGGGGTGTTACAGGGGGTTAATCCATCCGTCTCCAGCAGGCCATTCTTGTGTTATTTTATATACTCGACGATGCAATCATTAGACTCTTAGCTTTACAACTTAGAAGAGCCCGGCATTTGTGATTACGGACCATCATGTTGAATCTTGATGTAAGCTCGCTCATCACCTTTAAAAAATTTGGAAGCTTAAACTGAAGCAGATTAATAGATAGACTAGATCAATTGAACTTGTGGCGATGATCGATTGTTTATGTATCTCTTAAAATGGGTTCCACAAGCCAATCCCCAATACGGCAGACAACACCGTAATACATAATTAATAAATCTGGTACTACACAATTTTAGTCATACTTATAATACTATAACACAAGATCTGTCAACCTCTATACAGAAATTCCATTTAAAAATTTTAATTCAATTGCGTTTCAAGAATATAACTAAGAACGAAAAATTACGAGTTCCCCGCTTATCACAAGGAAGGTGATAAGCAAACACAAACAAAATTTATAAACTTGTTTTCATATAATATGCATATACATATGTACACATACATATCAACAGAATTTTACAATACAAAGAAAATCAATTTACCTTTCCGATTTGTTGCTTTGAATCTAAACTGCTCACTCAGTGCGGATAACAATTATATCTAAGTAATTTAAACATTTCAAAACGCAAAATTTTCATATATACACAAGGATAATGCGTGACTAAAAACAGAGCGTAAGATTAAATAGTCACTTTTTGTTAAAAAGTAAGTCAGATATAGGAATAAACTTAAAGGCAACAATTTATCTAAAATCAGCAAAGCAAATATATAAACGCAGAAGAAAAAATTTTCAAATATTTTAGCCAAATTTGTTTAACTAAATATTGCATGGCCATTAGAGTTATCAATTGGGCATGCCCAATCCTTGCTGAAAGGTGAGCGTCTCCTGTTGCTTTTTTATTTCATCCTGCATTTCCAATGCTAGTTTCTTGTACTTTTCAGCCTCCTTTTCGTTCTTTTCGATGCCATCACCGCGTGCATACATTTGACTCAAGTTTGCACAGGCGTACATGTTACGCAATTCGCACGCCTTGTATGCGAACTGGAAAGCTTTCTTCATATCCTTTAACACAATGAAATCAGAGTCTTTGAGTCCTTTGCTAGATATATTAGAGCCTCCCGTTGATTGACCGGCATCTTCAGGTTTTTTCTGTACGCCAGAGATGTGCATGCCGGATAGATAAAAACAAGCTGTAGCATTGTTCATGTCACAGCTTTTAGTCAAGAACTCTAGGCCCTACAAAACAATAGATTGAATAATATTGAATGCTGATTGGCTGAATACTGTCCAACTCACCTTGGCCACGTTTCTGTCAATTTCTTTGGGCATCGAGCGCGAGACTAGCAACAATCCGGAATGCAAACACGCATCGGAATCATTTAAATTGCAACCTTTTTCATAGTATTGATAGGCAATGCGCGGCTCTCCTTTGGTCCCGCTTTTGCCCTTACCCAAAAAGCTATAGTTTCCATATTTGTAGCAGGACTTTGCGTAACCATAATCGTCACATGTTGATTTGTATACTTTGGCCGCTTTCTCAAAGTCTTTCTTTATTCCCTCCAGATAATCGCCCAATAGATGGCACACTGCAATAAATGTTTCAGTTTGTAGTAGATCTGCGTGTTTTTGACATATAATGTATTCAAGTATGTTTTGTAATTAAATTATAGGGGCAAAAACCTAGGTTAGAGCTGCTTTGGTTTTTGGTGTAACAGTTGCCCTCTCTCTGCCAGATATTGTATTTTACCTTCTGGTTTTTTTTCTGAATAACAGCCAAATCGATATTCGATGCCTAACTTTTCAATGTATTCCTTCACGTCTGATTCCTTCTTTAAGTCGTAAGCCATTGTTAAGTTAATTCACGCCGTTTTACTGATAGTAAATATTAGCAAAGCTTCTATCTACCCTATATGTTGTGTTGTTGTCGGCCTTTTGCTGTCATAGGGATGTAAGTCGGCATTGGCCTATCGATACTATCGCTGCATATTATTTTTGGAAGTATGGAAGTGCATCGATATTTATTTAACTATTAAGGGTATTCTTTTTATAATAGCTATATTAGATTAATTCATATCAAAACACTTTATGTTTTTCGTTATTTTCATACAAATTGCCAACTGTACATATATGTTTATATGTGTGATATATGTATAACACAGCTGACTATCAGCTGATTAAATAGAATTAAAATTAGCTATATAATCAGATGAACCAGTGTCAGGATGTATGGAATCAAATTTCCAAGCATCCTCTAAAATGGGCCCCTACACATTATCTTATAGTGGACAAAGTATGTAGATTGTGTATTTGAACAAACTTATCGATAACAAAAATAGATATCGGCGCCCGTCATTTTCGAAGTGAAAGAAGCACCGCTTTCAGTGATATTGAAAACATTACCTATTATAAAATGCAAGATAAAATGGCCACTAATACTTGTGATATTTGTGCACAAACCACCGGCATTACAGACGAGGTCCTTTTTTATGGCGAATGGATGAAGAAACAAGACATCACCGTGCACTACTACTGTCTGGTAAGTAAAGTCACACCATCCTAAATTTATGTATATAAATCTAACCTACTTTCTGATTTTGAAAAGCTTCTGTCCACAAATTTACCACAACGGGGCGGCGATTCTTCCGGCATTCTTGGATTTCTAATACGCGACATTCGCAATACTGTGAACTTGTCAAAGCGCTTAAAGTGTACTTACTGTGAAAAGCCAGGCGCCAATATTATGTGTTCTGGATGCCGGATATATTTTCATTTGGTGTGTGGACATACTCATCATGCTACCTTTCAGTTTTGCCGTGAGTTTCGCAGCTTCTGCAGCAATTGCATTCCACTAGACGAATACAAGTTGGAGTTGCTGGCCAAACCACCCAATGATCCAATTTGCGACATTTGTCTTCAACAAATTGGCGATTTCACATTGCCAAGAATTGTCTATGGTGATTGCTGCCGGAAAGGATTTGCCCATCGCATTTGCATGCAGCGTTATGCACTTGCTTCCGGATACTATCTACGCTGTATTTGGTGTCGCAAGGAGGAGTTCCGAGACCTAATACGTCTGCAGTCTGTCTTTGTGCCAGATCGTGATGCAACGTGGGAACGAGAGCGGGCCGCATTCAGTGAGCTGTATTACAAACGAGTTCGCTGCGATTTAAGTCAGTGTAAATGTCCATATTCACGCGACTACAACAAAAATTCATGGACAATTTTAATGTGCAACTTGTGTGCAGCTTCTGGTGCACACCTAAAATGCATTCCAAGTCGAAAATGTTCCTCGCAAAACAACTTCAAGTGCCCCATATGTCTTGAGGTTGAAAGGAAATTGCCACGCAACAAAGGAAATAGCAACATTGACCAGAGCGATCGTCCTTCTACTCCTCGTTCGCATGAAGACCGCATCGATTCATCATATTATGTCCAAAAATCATTCGACAATGATAAGTCGGTTTCTCAGGCCCAATTATCACCTATGTTCTCAGATGATGACACCACATCGAGTATCAGCCAAATAACTGTCATAGCCACTCAAAACTATGACCCTGATATTATAGTGCCCATTGAAAATGTAAAGCCCCGGCTAGTGCTCAAGGAATGTTATAACATTAAAAATGAGCCGTATTTCTATGTCGAATTCTACGAGTTTGATAATCAAACTGGTGGCTGCATTGGCACGTGCACTATGCGATTTTCAGAGACAGATGAGCGTGTCAGGGACCACTCGCAAAAAGCCTTGGAGGAAATACAAATTACTGAAGAAGATGTTTGGTCGAGGGACTCTAATCGCGGCATCTATGAGGAGATTGATAAATTCATAGAAAAGTATTATCATTAAAAAATGTCAACAATATGTATTATACTATGTATATCATTTGAGTTAAAAGCTATGCTGTTGTTTTTGAGTTCTTTCTGAAGTCGAAGAGTTTCGGTATCACATCGCCACACTTTGCAGAGATTTTGATATCTGCCAAGTGATCCGCACGTGTCTCTCCAATATTTACAATCGCCACCGGCAGCTTCAGGTCCTTCGTCTGCAAAACTATGCGATAGCCCGAGAACACTAGCAAACTGGAGCCAAGGACCAACAGCCCATCGCTGTCGTATACCATTTTGGCAATAAGATCAACGCGCTCTTTGGGAACGCTATCTCCGAAGAACACAATCTCTGGCTTCAGGTTGTTGCTGCACTGGGGGCACGGAGGTATTTGAAAATTGTCGATATATTCTTGTGGTATATCAACATCACCGTCTGGTCGTATCATGGCAGGAGCATCCTTGAATGCTGGATTCAATGAAGAGAGTATGTTTTGAAACTCATGGCGATCGATGCGGTAATCGCAGCTAAGGCACTTGACCACATATCCACTCCCATGAAGCTCTACAACATTCTTACTACCCGCTTTTGTGTGCAGCCGGTCCACATTTTGTGTGACCACTGACTGGACACGCATTTCGCGTTCAAATCGTGCAAGCGCATGATGTGTGCCATTGGGCTGGGTAGCAGAAAAATTTGGCCAGCCAACAAAATTACGAGCCCAATAACGTTTGCGCACGTTCGCTGAATTTAGAAACTCTATGTGCTGGATGGGTTTATGGTTGGTGCGAGCATAAAGGCCAACACCTTCTGAACGGTAATCGGGTATGCCTAAAGAGGTAGAAGCAATTAAAGCTTATGTATACATATATGTATGTATGTACTGATTCTACATACCTGATTCTGTTGAGATGCCCGCACCAGTGAGAACCAAAATGTTGGGCTTCGAAAGCAAAAAATCTTCCAACCGTTTGATGTCATCGTCGAACACTGGCTTGTGCTGTGGCACATATTGCTGTTGAACACTGCGTCTTTGGAGCGCGGTGCTTTGAAGCCGAAGCAAAAAATTAACACGCATTATTTAATCAAAAAATAAGTAAACATTAAAGCTAATCAACAACATATCACATAATCACAACCAGCAATAATACCATGAAGGTTATCGGATAGCCAGTATAGTAATCGATTACGAGCGCACTCATGTGACTGGCAAAATATTGCATCTCTTGCTAAAGCGACTCGATACCTGCGTCCTCTTGTTTTCCACCTCTACGTATCAGCGGACGCAGTGCGAAAAATTAAAGTGGCTTATTTTACGTGTGCTCTTTGCACGCGTTTTGTTGAAATCACACTTTTTTAGAATAGGCAAGCTAGGATTAGATACGGTACAAGATCTCTTTATCCGTAAGTTTCAACATACTTTTCTCTAGCTAACGTTTTTACTGAACTCTCACCTAATCGCATAGTACGCGCACGCACGTATTCATTCGGCGTGGTATTATATACATAGGTGTGTGTGTGCCAATAGCTGGTGTCGGCTTAAAAATATAATCTAAAGAAAAATAATAGCTTCAAGATGTCGTATCCACCGCGTCCACCAATGCCACCATATATGAATCCGTCGCTTCCACCACCACATGTAAGTTTTATTTTATTTTTATCATCGCCACTAGCTGGCATGATAAATTTGTATCCAATGTGAACATATACATATGTAGCATTTTTTTAAAAGCTGATGCAGCCCATGGGCAATCCACCACGTAGCTTTCGCAATTCGGCTACAATCAGCTCACAGCCTACAGTCTACCATCGCCCGCCGGAACCACAGCCTCAATTTCGTGGGCCTATTATTACAGTTTTTGTTGGTAAGAACATACCTAGTTTGTTAAACAAATACCTCGGATTTATTTATCTGGTGCTCTCTCCTTCCTAGGCAATATCAGCGAACGTGTGCCCGAGGCGTTGCTCAAACGGATCCTAGCCACATGCGGTATCGTCATTAACTGGAAGCGTGTGTCCACATTCGGATTCTGTGAGTTCGAGTAAGTCTTTAAAACTGTTTAGCAATTAAATTGTTATTAAATTATAAATGTGATTCTTAATTTTTTTGCAGTGGACCCATAGCGGCGATGAGAGCCGTCCGTTTGCTGAGCGAAATGGAGATCGACGGCAAGAAGTTGGTGGCTAAAGTCGATGCTAAAAACAAAACGCTAATTGAAGATTACAAAGAGAAGGAGTGCAAAAATGGCGATGGCACCAATAAGGTAGACGAAAAGACTGAAGATGAGTACGCCATGAGCCAGATGCGTGAACTGCTTGATGAACATAAACACGAGTTTGAGGGATTCGATAGCACTAGTCGCGGTGATTTATATGGCAGCGGTCGTACCAAGAAGGTGCGTCGCGAGGAGGACATAAAAATTAAGGCGCTAATTGACAATGCACTCGAAGAAGAGAAGCGCAATTTGATTAGCAGTGAAATTGGAAAGTTTCGAAAGCGTGCAGAAGCCGATGAGCATCGCAAAGAGCTTGAAAAGGAAAAAGAGAAGGAGAAGCTTGCGGCCAGCAAGGAGAAAGAGCGTGAAAGAAGCGACAAGGACCGAAAGAAACGAGACGATCGCAAAACTAGCAGCAGTAGCCACAGTAAAACCTCATCAGCCAATAATGATTTGGAAGAAGTTGTTGAAATAGATGAAAAGGAGCAAATCCAAAGCACAACAACATCATCGCGGAGTGGAGGAAGTCGCAAGGACCAGATCGTCAATATTGACTCCTCGCCTGTGCGCAAGGAGCACAAGGAACACAAGGAGCGCGGCAGCGATCTTAAAGAGAATCGGCGCCGTCGCACCAAGTCGCGCTCCAAGGATCGCGAGCGTGAACGAGAGCGTGAGCGTGAAATGATGCGCGAGCGTGAACTACGGGACAAAGAGCGTGAAAGAGAACGTGAGAGAGAACGTGAAAGGGAACGTGAACGTGAGCGCGAGAGGGAGCGCGAGAGAGAGCGCGAAAGAGAACGTGCTGAGCAGCGGGAACGTGAGAGAGAAAGGTAAGAAACGATCTTTTCAATGATCGCACCAAAAAAGAAACGTTTTTCATTTTATGTAGTTTTAGAGAGCGTGAAGAGAAAACGGTAAAAACAGTGCGCGATGCACGACGCGAGAAGGAAATGGAAGAAGAGATACGAGAGCGCAAGAAGGCCGAGAAAAAGGCGCGCGAAAAGGAGGCAGCGTATCAGGAGCGCTTGGCCAACTGGGAGATTCGTGAGAAACGCAAAGCCAAGGAGTATGAAAAGGTGAGGGAAATAAATAACTTTGCTAGGATGGAAGTGATTGTTATAAATTATATAATAATTGCTATTGTTGCTACAGTACCGGGTGAAGGAGCTGCTACGTCAAGAGGAGCGCGAAAAAGATGCTAAGCGGCTCAAGGAGTTTGTCGAGGACTACGACGACGAACGCGACGATCCCCTGTACTATCGAGGTCGTGAGTTGCAGCAACGTCTTGCAGAGCGAGTGCGCGAAGCTGATGCCGATTCCAAAGATCGTGAAAAGGAGGCTGAAGAGTTAGCTGAATTGAAGAACAAAATATTCAGCGGTGAATACGAAAATCCATCGCAGGAGTACGAAAAAGCACGGAAGGAGCTTGAAAAACTGTATGAACCACGCATATTAATTAATGTGAATCAGGAGACCATACAGCGTCGTGATTCTGAAAAGTCATTACAGCCAGCTGCTGTCGACAAACGCCGCAAGAACCCAGAAGTCTATGTCGATGAAAATGCTGTCAGCAAGATAGTCTCCGAGGATTCTGTATCGAATGACGAACAAGGCTCCATAGCCGACACTACCTCCAATGCAAGTGGCTACACCCATCTCAAAAACAGCAACAATAATGACAAAACGCATCAGCGGAGCGTCAGTCGACAGAACTCGGAGTCTAGAGATTCACTAGCCAATATTCACACGCCCTCACAAAACGCTATGGACATGGGCTCCAGCAACGAACTGCCCTCTGCCACACCGCCCATAATTATGCCTCTCATCTCTTTAACTTTGGGTAACAATCTGAAAAAGAAAAAGATTGAGGCAACGGGCGTGTTTGTGAATGACGATGACAACGACGAGAACATCAATCCAAGGAAGCGCAAGTTGGTACCACTTGGTAAGTCCATCCGCTATTTCCAATCCAGGCGGGGCCTGCAACTTATTCGTTGTGATATAATTGTAATTTATAATCTATGCCGGTTCCAGACTACGATGACAACATCAGCAACAACACGCCCTCAGCTACATCAGTTACAGACCGCCATAGTTCGGCTGCCAACGCAGCCGCCGCTGCTGCCGCGGCCGTTAATCAAAAGATAACCAACATCACTGGCTCTGGTTCGACGTCAACAAGCGGCGGTGGAAGCGGCAAAGGTAGTGGTAAGGCTGGTAAGCACGGAAAGAACGATGGCGGTGCATCTGCATCCAGCACAGATGCTGCTGGAGCCAACTCCAAAAAGGATGAAAATGGTGCTAAGGTGCACGATGAGAAACGTCGCCATATAAAAAGCATTATTGACAGGATTCCTACTCAAAAGGAGGAACTTTTTAATTATAAGCTAGACCGTAATGAGATTGACAGTGGTTTAATGGAACGCAAGATACGTCCGTGGATAAATAAGAAAATCATTGAATACATCGGTGAGCCAGAACCAACTCTAGTGGACTTTATTTGTTCTAAAGTGTTGGCTGGCAGCCCTCCCCAGAGCATTCTGGATGATGTGCAAATGGTAAGCCGTAAAATATGAACGAGGTTATCTTATCGGATACTCAAATTAATGTGATATCTTTTTTATCTATGCGGCAGGTGCTGGACGAGGAAGCTGAGGTGTTTGTGGTCAAAATGTGGCGGTTGCTTATATACGAGTTAGATGCAAAAAAAAGTGGCATTGGGAGTAAATAATTACTTCAGGAGCCTAAAGTAGAAATGGACTAACACGTTGCTACATTTTAAGTTACACCTACATCTAATAACGCATAATTCTAGACTCTAAAAGTTTTTACAAAACCTTTGTAAATACAGGGCACACACTAATTGTGGTTGGGCCAATATACAAAAACAAATGTATATATGTTTGCAAGGTAATAGTTTGTTTAGGCAGCACTGCCATAACAAATTTGCAAACATTTGGCTATTTGATGCACATAATAATGTATATACACACCCATACACAACAGACAAGTTTTCTTTCGTCTAGTATTTCAGCCCAATTGAGCTGAATATTTATATTTTTTATTGAGGAAATTCCCATCCACAATTTTAAAGCGCATGTCCTCATTTAGACTAAATACATAACACATCGAAATTATTTTAAAATTGTGTTTGCATTTAGATGAAAATAAAATAAGCAATCTAGCTAAGTGTCTGTATGTATGTAGTTAAAATAGCGTACTTGAACTTGCGTTTCTGCTTACCAAGTAAGCGAAAGTATTCTTTTCTGTTTTGGTTTGACATTAGCCTGAACGAAAAGGCAAAACCCAGAAGCGCAATTTTAATTTGTGTTAGGTAAATTTATGCTATCGATATTGAAACGCTTTAATAAATACATTATATAATTTTTGACAAAACAAATACGATACAGAAAAGAGCAGTCAACTATAACATCAGCAGCTACACGTTGATGGAGCTGTGTTATCATTGCCATTGGCTATATCCAGACTATCTGCGCCACCGCCATTGCCGAAGTACTCTGAAGAAACGATCTGCAGTAGAGATACATTAGCAAGTTATTCATGATCAACTGACTGATTAATTGTAGATGGACATACTTTTTCGACAATCTCCTTGAACACATCGCTGACAAACTGATCGCATTTGGCCGATGTCTCAATGAAGAGCGCTCGGTGTTTTCTGGCAAATTTGCGCCCCTCCTCCCGGTCCACAACACGGTCTTTGTCAATTTTATTGCCCACCACTATAATGGCAATGTTGGGGTTATCACTGTAGCTATCCAGCTCTGCCAGCCAAGCCTCCAGTTTGACTAGGGAATCTCTATTCGTTATGTCATAGACGAGGATAGCGCCAAGCGCCTTGCGATAAAAACTTGGCGTAAGGCTCCGAAATCTCTCGGCACCAGCTGTGTCCCAGAGCGCCACTTTGTAATCGATCCCATCCACGTTCATCACTTTACTCTTGAAGTCCATGCCAATTGTGACGTCATGATTCTCATCGAACTTGTTCTCAACGAAGCGTCGTATGAGGCTATTGCGAAAACAGCAAAACAATGATGCAAACTTTAATACTTTGAACAAAATACGAAGCACACACACATGGCTGAATCACCAATACATAGTGTGAGTATATACATACGTAACTACGTATGTATAATTCGTATGTATGCGAGAAATACGCATTAGAGTAGAAAATAAATATAAAAAGCCAATTCAATTGAACCTGCCTAGATTTGCCAACACCACTCTCGCCAATGATAAGCAACTTTATAGCCCTATCGGCCATTCTTCATAAATAGTTAATTCACGTGGATAATTTTCACGATAAATTCATTTACGACTCAACTCAAGTTTGGCTTTAACAAATTATTATCAATATTAGCAATAATAAAATCAGCTCAGCGGGAGTGGGACGAGTTTACTATCAAAGTTGCCACCTTTTCATGTTGTTTACTTCTTCTAGTGCTCAATTATATATCAATACTAAAGCTGTTTGATACGGAACCCGGCAGTTTTGCCATTTTTTGTCAATAGCAGCCAAGAACAATGGGCAACTCTATTAACTTACGCGCATATACATATGTATATTTATATATTGTACCTGGCTAAAATACACATTTTTTTGGACTAATGGCAAATTACAGTAAATAAAATATTATACACATTCAATTAAACTGAATTTTTAACGGCATTCGTATAGTCGGCGCACCTCTTATTGGCGTTCAGAGTTGCATTTTAACATTAACAATAGACCGAAGACAGCTACATAGTTGCTTTTTTGACATTCTCAATAGTAAAGGCGCGCTGAACAAGAAACATGTAGTGACTTATATAAACGTTGAAAGGCCAAAAGAAAAATGTTTGACTATATAAATTCATTTTAAGCTCAAATAATAATGTTTAATATATAGAAATGAAATTTCCAATAGTATATTGATTAAGCAAAAGAGCATGAGAATTCAAAAAACGATTGTGGAAATCGCCGATTTCTAGAACTTACAACCCTAATATATCGTCTTAAAAAAACTTCGGCTCACCTTCGGCTCTGGGTCTTTCTTTCGTAACGCGCACGTCGCATAGAGTAGACGTCGGGGACACGTGTTTTCAGAAGTTGTTCCGAATATCTCTAAAATGGTAGGTGTATCATAGGAAATAAATGAATTTGTTGCAACTAAACAAAAACCACCACCGCTACACCTAAATAAGTGTTCCCTACATCGAACCCAAATGTGTTTAAAAGCAAAAAAATCTGTCGACGTACCGAATCTGCGCCCATGTGTTTATATGTTTGTGTATATGTATGTGTATAAATTTGTGCAGTCAATTCTTAAGCATCCGTTTAAAAAATATTTTAAGTAACAAATTCCAGTAAACAAAAATTAAAAATACTCCATGATTAAATAGAATTTTTGCAGGGTGTCTGTGATCTAAAAAAGTTCCATGTACACTATATATTTACTAGTCACAAGATGGCTCCGACTGCCAGTGCTGCAAAAATAAGAGAAAAGCGCTATAATATTAGCGAACATAATATACATTTTAGTTCCAATAAACCTACAACTAATTTAGCTAATATTTTGTATTTTCCATACAGGTGAAGGTTAAGTGCTCTGAATTGAGGACCAAGGACAAGAAGGAACTCACCAAGCAATTGGATGAGCTCAAAAATGAGCTGCTTAGCTTGCGCGTGGCCAAAGTGACCGGTGGTGCTCCGTCGAAGCTTTCAAAAATGTAAGTGAGAGGTGCCCTTTCTGTCCTCGTTACAAATAACACTAATACGATCCCTTTTTGTGCTTGCAGTCGCGTTGTGCGTAAGGCTATTGCACGTGTGTACATTGTTATGCACCAGAAGCAGAAGGAAAATCTGCGCAAGGTGTTCAAAAACAAGAAATACAAGCCTTTGGATTTGCGCAGGAAAAAGACCCGCGCCATACGCAAGGCTCTTTCGCCCCGTGATGCAAACAGAAAGACGCTAAAGGAAATCCGCAAGCGTTCCATCTACCCACAACGCAAATATGCCGTCAAGGCATAAGGCTGCAGCTCACGCAAGTGTTTTGTATCTAGTGTGCGTTAAGAGTTCTCCTGAGACGGGATAAAGAAAAAATAAAATAATTTTTTGAATGTGATGTGCGTTTTGTTAATCCTCCCCACCCACTAAAGAGGATAGAGTACTGCATTTGCTTTGTTTTTTTTTTTTATTGTGATGACTGTGCTAAGTGGATCTAATCTTCAAACTAACTGCGGAGGAATTCATTGAAGAATACAATTTTTGTTTATATGCCGCTCGCAACCTTCGCATTATTCCTTATATCTATACTCAAACCTTAGCTCGTACGCCTGGAATTGAGCAAATGCTTAAATCAAAAGACCGACGTGCTCATTTGCCTATATATTTTATTTAATATATATATTTTGCTTGTATGCTGTTAATATGCATCAGTATAAATTAAAAATAATAATACATAATATAGTATGAACTACAAATCCTAATACAAAGACTCATACTGAATATGTTTGGCACTTTTGGTTAATACTATTCTTCTGAACAGCATGAAACAATGGCGTGCTGCGTATTACGCCTGATAATTCCTTTGAGTTTTTGCTTTGGTGATAGTTTCTACTTGGCATTGGCGACAATGGTTCGCCCCAGAATTTCAACAATGCAAATAATTTGTAGTAGGCCACTCTGTAAATAACAGAACATCATTTAGTAGTTGACTCATGTTCATCAACAGGTGCGCCTTACCTGTAGTTGCGATTGCTGGCTGCATATATGATCGGGTTGATCACGCTCGAGGCCCAGGCCATCACTGAGGCGATGATATGTAGCCATGGATATGACGTTTTGCGCTCATCGTCCACCACATTAGCAAGCATCAGTGGCAAAAAGCAGATGAGGAAGCAAAAGAAGATTGTGACCATCATGATCGTCACCCGATTGTCTTCGCGCGCCTTCCGTGTGCTCGTTGTCGTCATATAGGAACCGGACGTTGCCTTGCCACCACCAGCGGCGTTGGCAATCTGGAAATTGTCGTGGCTCTTGATTTTTCTCTTCTGATGTAGAACTGTTATGTATATGCAGGAATATGAGATAATGATCACGAGACAGGGCAGCAGGAACCCGATGAGAAATAGTGTTTTCTTTATCGATTTCCCGTCCTTTTTAAGTATTGTGCACGAGAAGGTCGCTTCGTCGAGGCCCATCTCACCCCAAATGCCCAATATGGGGGGGAGCTGCAACAAAAAAAAAAAAAAAAACATTGAAACCGAATAATTATCGCTCTCCGAATTTCTACTCACCAGCAGCAAAAAGGACACTGCCCACACAAAAAGCAACTGCAGTGTTATGAACTTAGGCTTGTAGATCTGTGAGTATCTGCTATGGCAAGCTATGAGTATGTATCTGTAAATATGCGATTTGAATTGTCCATTCTATGTCGGCCAAACCCATCGGCTTACCTGTTTAAAGTTATGCCCACCATACTCAGCAATGAAACTGCCACATTGCCATAGAAAATGACGGGAAATATCTTACACAAAGTAGTGCCGAATGTCCAGCTCTGCAAAAAACATTAATTCATATTCATGTTCGTTTTGAACTGATGTCTGGGGTTTCTTTACCTCTTGAAAGAATCGCACGGCTGTTAATGGTAAACTGAACGTGCAGAAGAGCAGATCCGATATACTCAGCGAAATCACGAATGCTGTTGTCGCATGTTCTCGTATCGTGGGGCTCTTGAGTAGTGCCAACAAAGTAATGAGGTTACCTACAGCAGAATATGTTTTTTCAAAAATTGCTTCTAGTTCCATTTTTAATTCCAATTACCTAATACACCAATTGTAACAAATACGCAGGCACTGATGGCGGCGAAAAGCGTCGCGGAATGTGGGTATATAGAATTAGGGGGGGCGTCCATATCCATGCTGTAAATATTTATAACTGAGGATCAAGATTTTTGCAATGTAAATTGAAATACATTTGTATATATATTGCAAGGTATATAGATGTACATATGTATATAGATATGCACTTTTGAAAAACTCCGTTAAATCTGATTGATTGGATGTCCAACTCCAATAGTCCCTACTTATAGCCAGATCAACGTACGACTACATACATATATAGATAATACCACCATGTTTATTCACGTACACACTAGACACAAAACCTTCCGCATAAAAAAATAATACTTTAATAATGTTAAGATATACATACATGTACATAAAGGTACGTTGAATTTAAAACGGTCTATCCAAAATTTTTTCTCTAAAAATACATTTATGGCATTTAAGAAAATTATTATTAAGAGGGACATGCATTCTAATTTATTTGGTGTTTTGTACCCGAATTCCAAATGTTGCTTATTATATTGCACTTATGGGATAAATAAAAATACAGTTATTCTGTGGGAATAGTATAAGGCATTGCCATAAGCGACAAGGTATTTCAGTATTTTTTTTTAAACTGAATTCAATTTTTATCGATAACACAAATTCCATCATTAGCTGGCAACCACTAGAAGCATACTTATGTTGCTCATAACGGCGCTTCTTCTTTAAAGGGATTGTAAGTCCCAATGTTATAAATATGTTAAAGTTCAGTAGTAGAGTTCACTCTTCTACTGGGCAAAATGATTTAAATTTTTATTAGTGTGTAACAAAAGCATAAAGTGTATTAGATAGGGCTAAAAATAAATAAATATACAATATTACAATGTAAACAATATAAAAATAATAGAGTCAAACTCTGATCTTAATCAGTCTCATTAGAAAATCTACAGTTTTTTATGTTTTATAAACGGACAGCTGAATCTATCTCCGATTTAAATACATTTAAAACGGAAAGCTGCAAAAGTGTTATTTTTTCAACTAACATTCCTTCCAAATCAAACAGTTTTTGACTACTTTTCTCCTGTTCCTAGCCACTCTTAAATGTCAAGCATATTTTGTAACAAACACATAAGGCATCTTTATGCAAAATTTGGTGTCTATATCTTTTCTAGTCTCTGAGATCTAGGTGATCACACGGATCGACTCGTCTTGTCATGCTGATCAAGAATATATATACTTTGTGGGGTCTGCCACGCCTCCTTCTGCCTATTGCATTTTTTAGCTAGCGCAAACCTAATATACTCTTGTACATTTGATGTACAGAGTATAATAATGGAAAACATGGGTCTCTTAAATTAGAAACCCGGGTATAATTCGAATAAATTACAAGGATGATTTTTTTCTTTTAATATAAAACAAAATTGTATTTATATTAAAATGAAGAATATTGAGCCATTGAGCAAACTGGAATTGTCACATCATTTTTAACTTGTGTTTTCAATACGATAATTAATATCTGGTTCACAGATATGGAGAAGCCCCTTTATTGCTTGCTCTTACGTTTCGTATAAGCTATGTTGCTTTTCCCGGCATCGGTATTTGTAAATCAACACCAACTTATGCAATAATTTATGATTCTTTTTATGCGTTATCTTTAATTTGCTTGGAGACACACCATGTAAAACGTTATCACTGGGACTGGTCACTGGTTTTTCGAATGCATTTAAAATTTGTACATGCATTACCAATTGATTGTTTTTCTTTTTACAGAGAAACAGAGAGAGAGAGGACTAGTCCAGTGACAGTACTTTGAGTGATCATTCCATTAATGAAAATGCCATTTCTTGAGACAAGACTCAAACGTACCTTTACTGCTTAGAATACAATAACTGCAGCTTAATTTATTTATCGCACATAAGTGACATTTTTGTTTTTATACTTTTTGGGACTAACTTGCCCGAATCTGAATCCGAATCGAACCTCGCAGTGCGCCACTCAACATTAAAATGTAACACAAAATATACATACATACATATGTAAACGAAATCTTCAATTAGGGCTCTGCTCTGGTTCTTGTTTCATTATTTCATTTTTTTTATTTTGATCTCAGCGGCAGCAACAACAGATCCGTCCCAACAATGATAACAACTACGTCAACTCTTTTGCATGCACACACAATTTAATTTATTTAATGCTTTTATTTGGATTGGTTAAATTAAAAAGCGCGTTGTTACGCATTTAACGGCGGTTTCCGGCGGGCTCTTCTGGGAACCACGAACTGGGAGCTGCAGCAGCAACCGCAACGCTTCACTGCGGCCCAAGGAAGGGGGTGGCCGGCCGGCCCCTTTCATGCATGATCAACATGTGTGCCTTGGTGTGTGCCTTGGTGTGTACAAACATACATACATATATGCATAAGTACGGGTATATGTGCATATATTTGTATTTGTTGTTGTCTTTCATTTTTTAGGGGAGCAAATGGAAATCAAAACATGCACGAGGGCGTGCGTATTATTTTTGTTGGTGTGGTTGCCGTTCCCTTTCACCACCGATCGCACTGATATTACAGATAAACTAGCACATTTATATATGTACATATGTATGTGCCTACACGCACATGAATAATGTATGTTTGTATGTATGTGTGGGTGTGAGCGTATATGGGGGAATGTTAAGTTGTGTTTGTTTTTCTTACAACAAATATGTACAGAAGTATCTATAAAATATTTTCTCATACCGGCAAATGTTCATTGTTAGGATGTATGTATGTATAAGAGCCTTGCAGGAATGTTCATATTTATTAGGGAAGGATATAATTTCCAGGGACTTTATTAACATTTTTAATTATATGTAACCTACATTTCTCAAGTTCAATTTTGTTTAAGTTGTTCAACCTATTCTAAGACATAGACAATAAAGGTATGTATCTTAATTTGTTCAAAATTTTGTTTACTTTACTGTTTTTATGGCAGCCTTTAGTATTCAATTGCTGGACCACAATGTCCTTAGTTTGATTGGATGCTCATCGATTTTATTTTGGAATTAACAAATGATTATACATATATTCCGTTTTCCTTCAAAGCATCTTTAATATAATTTTTAACGTATTAAGCAGAAGCACCTTCATATTTATTTTAAAGATCAATAACAATCTAAACGTTTACAACTGTATAACCAGCTTGTGCTGGCGGAACGACTGACTGATTGGCAATCAATTCACAAGCCAATTTGTAAGAGCCAGCAACCTGTAATCAAATTAAATTAACTGGAAAATTCGAGCTCCGAAGAGAGGGATTCAAAATTTGCGTGAAAAAATATATTTGTCATCTAGTCCGATTTAATAATATTTTAGCTTCATAGTTGGTCTTTTTGCTTGAAACATAGCATAAAAAAGAATCATAGATTGGGAGACACTCGTTTCATAAAAATGGGTCATTTGTTTCATTTTAAAGCAAGTGCGGGCCTCTTTTGCGTATGCATGCGGAACTATTTTATCTGTCACAACTTAATTGGTTCCATACTTGGATGTTCATAACTTTGAAAAGCCAAATGCCCTTCAATGAGAAAAGAATGATCATCTATTTAAATTACAACACATATGTACATACATACATCTATAAAAGTATGCTATCGAAGTTGTCATTAGAAATTTGCATCTAACCATGTAATTCTTTGTTCTATATAAATGTAAAATTTGCTGAAGAAGACGACTAATTATTATTGGGCAGAGACCTTCATACGAGTATTTATTTTCCCCTCGCTCCAGCTTAAGCAGTGAAAATCTTATACATTTGCGCAGTCAACGCGACTTTTTTAATAAACAAATAGGTACATACATATATATATATACGAGTAGTATGTACTTACATACATATATTTATCTTAGAGATTCTATAGTATGCTTACGAAATCTGATAAGCCGCGCAGATATTGCGGGGTCCCTTGTTCCCAGATTTTTGTGAGCCATGTCCGATTTGTATTAGCAGTTTTGATTGTTGAGTTTCGTATCGTATGATCGACAGCTTTTACAAACTAGTTTTAACTCACTAATTAATCCATCGCGGCATAACTAATTTTAAGTTATGACCAAGCCTGGCTTAAGATAAATAAATATATATGTATGTATGTATTTATGTAAAGCATTGGCATTTGGGGTTTCACCGCGGCCTCCTCATCTATACATTTGTATTTACATACGAGTATATGAATGACTCAAGCACTGCATTTTGAAGCTCAAAATTGTTTCCATGTATCACGGCTTGATTCATCAGTGAGTTGCTGATTTTTTTTGTTTGGGGGGACCAATGAATGGGAAAGAAAATAAATGTTTATTACGAACCAACTTTCAATGTTTGGGAGCGGGGCAATTCCATGACTTAAGAAAAATCATTCTGTTACCTACCACCTACATATGTATGTATGTATGTACATACGTACGAATATGTACAAATGTACTATGTATATACAAAAATGTATGTTTGTGAAAAAAGTAAATAAGCAAAATTTAAAACGAAAACATAAGAAGGGGACTTCATTTGGTTGGAGTACGAGCGTTGGTGTGTATGCTTACACACACACTGATAATGAGTAGATTTGGCTGTTTGTGTGTGTGTGCTGTTGTATTAGCTTGTCGCATCGTTGATGGCGATCTTCGGTTATGTGGCTCTTAAAAGAGGGTGGAATTCGAATGCCGTTGCATTGCAGGCAGACAGCCGTTTCTTTATCATGGGCTTTGTGCAGGCCCATGTACATATTACATACATATGTATGTATATATGAACAGTGACAACAACAGGCACAAATGCGTGTTCAAATTACATATTTTTGTAATAAAACAAATTAAGATTAAGCCACATACACAACAGACACGCACACAAAGGCAGCACTCGTTGCTGTAGCTGCTTAATACAGCATTGTTATTATAAATACAAAATAATAGAACAAATAAAATACAACGAATTTGTTAAAGTCTTGTATTATTCACTTACACGAGACGAAAAGCGTGCAGCGAAATGGAAAAGAAATTAATTTACAGCGCGCGCTACTAAATAATATTGAAACGCATGGTGATTTGAACATAACACATTTGTTAAAATAATACGATAGTCGGTATACACAAAAACAAACAAATAAATTTGTAATATGAACCGCTCATAAATAACGTTTCGTAGTGGGGCTGGCTGAGATCGAGCGCCGATCAACCATTCTTGTTTAGTCCGCAAGCGAAAAATAAAGACGAGTGTGACTGCGCCGATGGCTTAACTGCGTTTACATTGGGCGTTTGAAGATCTCGCCTCTTGCTCAACCAACAACAATACGAACCGTGGGAGCAGCAACAACATCCAACAGCGAGTACATTTTAAGCTGTGTTTATCGTGTATATCGATTACTAAGTCGCGATTCTGTTGATATCGCTAGAAAGATGCTATCGAGGCCCACAAATCTATGGCATTTCAACCCCCGCACATCGATTATTTTGTAGTTCATTATTGCGCATCTCTTTTAGCCATTATTTATGTAGTTGTAAACAAAAAGAGCGCGATTTATGACAAAATCGCCGTTAAATATAATAAAATGCACATTAAGCAGGTAAATTTTACGTGAATTTGGTGTGTTTAAATTTTTGTAAAATACATATCACCTTCTTCTTCCGGTTCAGATTATTATACAGGGCTTTAAAAGTTACAAAGACCAGACGGTGGTGGAACCATTCGACAAGCGTCACAATGTAGTAGTGGGCCGCAATGGTTCTGGCAAAAGTAATTTTTTCTATGGTAAGATAAAATTGCAAATGTTTGCCTATATAATATTTCTATTAAATGCATTTTTGTCTGCAGCCATCCAGTTTGTGCTCAGCGATGAATTTACACATTTACGACCAGAGCAGCGTCAGGCTCTTCTTCATGAGGGTACAGGCGCGCGTGTTATATCCGCTTATGTGGAAATAATTTTCGACAATTCGGATAACCGTGTACCTGTGAGTAAACAATGTATATACATATGTATATTAATGTGTGCAGTTTTAATTATTTTAATCAATTTATTTCATAATTACTCAAATGGTACAGATTGATAAGGAGGAAATCTATTTGCGCCGCGTCATTGGGGCCAAAAAGGATCAGTATTTTCTGAACAAGAAGGTTGTGCCACGCAATGAAGTTGTCAATCTTTTGGAATCTGCAGGATTCTCAAGTTCGAATCCCTATTATATTGTGAAGCAGGGTAAAATCAATCAGATGGCAACAGCTGCCGACTCGTATCGCTTAAAGCTGCTGCGTGAGGTGGCAGGTACGCGTGTCTATGACGAACGCAAAGAGGAATCTTTGAACTTGTTACGCGAAACAGATGGAAAGGTGGAAAAGATTTGCGAGTATCTCAAGACCATCGAAGACAGGTTACAAACGTTGGAAGAAGAAAAGGAGGAATTGAAGGAATATCAAAAGTGGGACAAAACACGTCGTACCTTGGAGTATATTCGTTACGAGACCGAGCTAAAGGATACGCGACGAGCTTTAGACGAATTACTATTGCAGCGTAAATCCTCGTCAGATAAAAAGAAAATCTACAGCATTGAAATACAAAAGGCGCAGGAAAAAATCAAAGATGTGCAAAAGAATTTGAAAGAAGCTAAGAAAAAAGTTATGACCACCAAGGAGGAGCGTTCCGTGCTTATGACGGAACAGCAGCAATTGCTGCGTGAGAAAACGAAATTGGATTTGACCATAGTGGACTTGAATGACGAGGTGCAGGGCGACAACAAGTCGAAAGAACGTGCCGATCAGGAACTCAAGAAGCTGAAAGTCACCATAGCCGAAAAGGAGAAGGAACTGGATGATGTGAAGCCCAGATATGAGGCTATGAAACGCAAAGAAGAAGATTGTTCCCGTGAGCTTGCACTTAAAGAGCAAAAGCGTAAGGAACTGTATGCCAAACAGGGTCGGGGCTCACAGTTCTCCTCCCGTGAGGATCGCGACAAATGGATCCACAACGAGCTGAAATCCCTGAGCAAGCAGATAAAGGACAAAATCAATCATCATGCCAAACTTGTCGAGGACCTCAAAAAAGACGCGAACTCGGAGAAGGACCTGGGAACAAAAATTGAAGAGCACTCTTCTGAACTGGAGTCTCTACGTAGTGAAATTGACGGGCACAACAAATACTACTATGAGCTTAAGAAGAAGAAAGACCAACACCAATCAATGCGTAACGAGCTGTGGCGCAAGGAGACACAGATGACGCAACAGCTGCAAACTCAAAAAGAGGAACTATCGCGCGCAGACCAAGCCCTGCGGAGCATGGCGGGAAAACCAATTCTTAACGGATGCGATTCCGTACGCAAGGTACTGGATAGTTTCTTAGAACGTGGTGGCCAGTCGGCGGAAATAGCACGCGCCTACTACGGCCCTGTCATCGAGAACTTCAGTTGCGACAAGACCATCTATACGGCCGTTGAGGTAACAGCAGCTAACAGACTGTTTCATCACATCGTTGAGTCAGAATACGAGGGCACACAAATTCTCAAGGAGATGAACAAACTGAAGTTGCCAGGAGAGGTGACCTTTATGCCGCTGAATCGTTTGCAGGTAAAGATTCATGAATACCCCGACGATCCGGACTCCATACCCATGATCTTAAAACTAAAGTACGACGAACAGCACGACAAGGCATTAAGGTACATATTTGGCAAAACGCTTATCTGCCGTAATCTTGAGCGTGCCACAGAGCTGGCAAAAAGCACAGGCCTTGACTGTGTGACATTGGACGGAGATCAGGTGTCGTCAAAGGGCTCACTTACTGGCGGCTATTTCAATACGTCACGATCGCGCCTAGAAATGCAAAAGAAACGCACGGAGTACACACAACAGATCACCGACTTCGAAAGTAAGCTGAGCAAACTGCGTAATGAGCTCAAGTCCACAGAGAGCAGCATTAACAAGGATGTCTCGGACATGCAAAAAACAGAGACGAAACAAGGGAAGTCAAAGGATGCATTTGAGAAGGTCCAGGGTGAGATACGATTGATGAAAGAGGAACTGATGCGAATCGAGAAGTACAGGGCACCCAAGGAGCGCTCACTGGCTCAGTGCAAAGCTTCGCTAGAGGCGATGAACAGCACCAAGTCCAGCCTCGAGGCTGAGCTTAAACAGGAGCTAATGTCGACGCTTTCGTCACAGGATCAGCGTGAGATCGATCAATTGAACGACGACATTCGTCGCCTTAACCAGGAGAACAAAGAGGCGTTCACCCAACGTATGCAGCTAGAGGTGGTCAAGAACAAGTTGGACAATCTACTGACCAATAATCTGTTTCGAAGACGAGATGAGCTTATACAGGCGCTACAAGAGATCTCCGTGGAAGATCGCAAGCGTAAGCTTAATAACTGTAAGACCGAGTTGGTCTCCACAGAGAAGCGCATCAAGAAGGTGAATACGGACCTTGAGGAAATCGAAAAGCGCGTAAACGAGGCCGTCCAGCTTCAAAAAGAGCTGCAACAAGAACTGGAAACGCACGTGCGCAAAGAGAAGGAGGCTGAAGAGAACATCAACAAGGACTCCAAGCAGGTAGAAAAGTGGACGACAAAGGAAAATATGCTAAATCAAAAGATCGACGAGTGCACCGAAAAAATTGCCAGCCTTGGCGCATTGCCCCAAGTAGATGCGGCATATAGTCGCATGTCGCTAAAGAATATTTTCAAGGAGCTGGAGAAGGCCAACCAACATCTGAAGAAATATAATCATGTGAATAAAAAGGCTCTCGATCAGTTTCTCAGCTTTTCAGAGCAGAAGGAAAAACTATACCGCCGCAAAGAAGAGCTGGACGTAGGCGGTCAGAAGATTCAAGTGCTCATCCATTCACTGGAGATGCAAAAGGTTGAAGCTATTCAGTTCACCTTCCGACAAGTGGCAACAAATTTCAATAAGGTGTTCAAGAAACTTGTCCCCCAAGGTGCCGGCTTCCTAATCCTCCGAACTAAAGACAATGATGGCGAGCAAATGGAGAAAGAGGTGGCAAACTCGGATGCATTCACAGGCATTGGCATACGCGTCTCATTCACAGGCGTCGATGCGGAGATGCGTGAAATGAATCAGTTATCGGGTGGCCAAAAATCACTTGTGGCGCTGGCGCTAATCTTCTCCATTCAAAAGTGCGATCCCGCACCGTTCTATTTATTTGACGAGATTGATCAGGTAATTCCCCCCCTCTATTAGTTAATCGCTGCTTATTATAATTGACTCGTACCCTTTATAACAGGCACTAGATGCGATGCATCGCAAAGCTGTGGCCGACATGATTCACGAGCTAAGCGATACGGCTCAGTTTATTACAACCACCTTCAGACCTGAGCTGTTAGAGAACGCGCACAAGTTCTATGGTGTACGGTTCCGGAACAAAGTCAGCCACATCGATTGTGTTACGAGGGAGCAGGCCAAGGACTTTGTGGAAGATGATAACACACATGCTTAAGACACAAAATCAAGCCTTTCATAGCATTTGGCTTCACATTTTCCTTAAGCCCAGATTTTTATTTTTCTATTTCTATTATCTTTTCATTGAACATGGCTTTCAAATTCTATAATTATTGTCCTTCCCTTCTTTCTTAGAGTTAGTTAATTTTTATAGCTATTTTTTAAATAGTTTAATTTCAAATTTGCTTATCTCATTTCACAGTTGTTCTAATTTCCTGGACACTGAACAAGGCTTTCAAATTTTGTCATAAAAGAGATTATAATAATTTTTCCTTAATTATAAATATTATTTTCTACCTTTCCTTTTTTCATATTTTCTTTTTTTTTGCGTAGGCCTCATTCAAGCTTTTCGTAGTAATAAGGTAAATATATTTTCCTTAACATCATGTTTTTATTTCATAAGCTAAGTTTTATGTTATTCGTATAGTTTGACAAAAAGTTTCCAACTCTTATTATTATATGTAAAGTCAATTGTAAATGTATCTAAAAAAAAACTGGGCTCTGATATCTCAATTTTTCTGCAATAAAATACATAAAAAGCTAATTCATTTTAATTTATTTCATTTACTTATTGTAAACACACAATTTGTGAAATTTGTGTTGCGCATGGTCTCAATGAAACAATCTGTTGCCATCTAAATTATTGTGCTAAACATAAAAACGCACATTTTATTATAGGATAAAGTTTATTTCTGCGAATATTTATGTGATTTTTTTAGAGCGTGTTCGAAAATTTTGTAAAAGTAGCTGTTCGTTTCTTCTTTTTTTTCGCAAGTCATAGAAAAACAATGTGATTTGCACATAATAAGTCATGTAATTTTATAGGAAATGTTTCGTAAACTTTTCAGTCACAATTGCTTTCGATTCCACTTAAGGAATATTAAGGAAAATACAAAGGCCTCACTCATAAAGATGTACATATGTATATGAATGTATATATGTATTATGAATGGATAAATTTTATTTTGATCAACAAGTACATTAAAACTATTACATGTACCTTGATGTGCGTTACAAATGTTAAGCTTAATTGTTTATTAAATGCAATCTCAAAACAACCAAATTACAAACAGGAAATTCCTGCTGGGTGGGATCATCTACTGACCAATGCCTCGGCCAACTCCTGTATGGCATTAATGGCAAATATTGTGGAGAAGCACATGCCCACTGTCCCGATTTCCTGGTGTGTAATGTTGAAATAAAGCGTGAGGCGAATGAGCACGAAATGGTTGAGGAGCACCAGCATGGCCAGGCCTAAGGCCCAGTAGAACTGATCCTCGACGAAAGCAATACGACACAGGCAATATGCGTTCCAGAGCACGCACAGATTTAGGCATACATTTTGCGCCAGCGTTGACTTCGAGTTGGTATTAAAGTTGAAGCCAATGAAGCACTTGATAATGGCCAACAAGAAGAGGCTAGCAGCGAAACCAATGCCTACTACTGCCCAGTTGGCCCCCAACTCAATGGTGGTACGTCTGATGGCAAGCAATTCGCCGACGATCAACGTAATAAAGGCAACGGGTGCGTAGCGGTGTGACTGCTCGCAAACTGTACGCTGCACGATGCCGGGATTTGGATGAGTTTGACGCAAAATGCAAACCAAGCTGTGAGCTAAATATAATCCGTAGGCGTACCCGGCCAGTGTTGAGCTGTTGTGCTTGAGCGCCCATCCTGAAATAACCGCCAGTATGAAGTACAGAAGGCACAGAGATAGCTTGGATGAGATGCCGACAAGGCCACCAGCGCCGTCTCCACCGCTTGTGTTAAATGTCATAAGGTTTAGGGTTTTGGACAAACAAATGAAGTTGCTGATGATACTGCGCGTATTACATACATACATGTGTTCGTATATATGTATGTATGGTACATAGGATTGATTATCTCGTGATTTCAAGTCGCAAGACGCTGACGCTGGATGATCAGTACAAGATGATTATTGTATCTCGGGAGTAATTACTTTTACTTCATTATTATCAACATGTTCCAATAAGACAGCCCATCAGCCCAGGACGAGGCAACAAATTTTGTTGAATAGTGTAGCTGTCCATATGTTTTTCCTGTGTGCAAAGCTACACACCGTATTGCTTGCCGATAGTTTATCGATAAATGCACAATTGTTTTGGTCGTTAACAAATCAACAGATAATTTTATTATTAGCACACATAATAACTACAGCTATGTCGGCTGGTCTACGCATGTTTGCCAAACCATTTATGGTCCACTGGCGATAACCAGCGGTGGCAGCCACTTAAATTGTTTTGTATAACGTATTTTAGGGTGAATGGGTTTTCATTTTCGCGCGCTTTACGCTCTTCGTCAACCTGCATTTGCTCAAGCATCTCCTGGGAGACGACCATGGCCTTAAATGGTAACTGGTTGGCCACCTGTTGGAGGAATCCCTTTACCTCGACGAATTCACATCTGCCAGCAATCTCGACTATTACTCGTCCCGCCCTAATCGGAGTTACATAATGATCGATGGCGCCTTTGCCACCACCCATGCGCTGACCCTGGCCTTTCTTTGTGATTGGTTGCCACGGTGCGGGAACACGCCATGTGGCGAACATTGTATTTACGTTCATCTTCCGACCAATGGTAAGACGCATCATTTCGTAGTGACCCCAACGTAGTCGACCGCCACCAGCTGCAACAATAGCATACTGCTTGTGAAGAAGGGTGTTGTGCACGAGCTCGGGACCACGCATGTAGCGCAAACGTTTCTGCATTTTAGGTGGCCGAATATTGGGTGGATGCTGTGGCTGGCGTTCGACAATTCGCAGCTTGGGACGCTCCACCTTTTCAACATCTGCAATTGAAAGGGTAAATGTATATAAGCCACAAAAACTAATGAACACAGAACTTACTTTCGTACTTGATTGGAGGCGCAAAATATTTGAGGCCGGCTGTATGAACGGCTGTTAAATTTCCAGCTAAAGCGAGTCGGAATTATTAATGGTGTTTATTTAGATCGAGGCTGAACATTATACATACATGCCACGCTGTTTTTAAACAGTTGTGATACAACTTTTATGCACCACATTGCGATTTTTGTTGCCTAGGATCCGGCAATATAATATTCAGTGATGTAAAAAAAAAACACATCGAGGCGTTTGAGCATTTATAGTACCTTTTATTTAGTTGCGGGTGTTATTTGTACATCTTTCATTTCCACCGCTAGATGTCGCTTTATATGAGCAATCCTAACATGGCGTCGCTTCTGCCCTGGCATGGCGTCGCGTCGTTTATTTCTCCGCGCCTTTTAGAGTTCTTTGGATTTTACTCGTTTAACTTAAAATTTTAGAAGAATTATTAAAATCATTGTGATTAAAGCAGTGAATAATAAATACAAAATAATTAAGAATGGTGGGCACGCCTAAGGGTGCACGCCAAATCGGGCAATTTAAAGTTCCGGGGCCGCCTCGTGCACAAAATCAACAGCCACTACCGGAGTTTCCGCTGCAGGATGCCGATGACGCTGATAACTCTGTCAACGTCTTGGACGATGCCCTGATTTTAGATGATGAGGAAGGTGGAACTCGTATTGGGGATATCTATATTCCACCGCCAGTTCCGGCGCACTGCTCTATGGAGAGCACGGGACCGCGTTTGATAATCAAGCGCATTGTGAATCACAATTTCAAAAGTTACGCAGGCCAAGTGATTCTGGGTCCGTTTCATCATTCCTTTACTGCCATTATTGGTCCAAATGGCAGTGGCAAGAGTAATGTTATCGATTCAATGATGTTTGTTTTTGGCTGTCGCGCCAATCGCATTCGCTGCAAGAAGGTCTCGACACTTATTCATCAGTCGGCAAAGTATCCCAATTTGCGAAGCTGTGCAGTAGCCGTGCATTTTGAGCAGGTGGTGGATAAGGACGATGGTACATGTGATACCGTGCCGAATTCACAGTTCGTGGTGGAACGCACTGCTATGAGGGATAATACATCCTATTATCAGCTCAATGGAAAACGCGTGCAACTAAAAGAGGTGGCCCAGCTACTCAAAAAGCATAACGTGGACTTGGAGCACAATCGTTTTCTTATATTGCAGGTATACTAAGACGTCTGTTCAACACAATCTTGCCCAATAGCTTACTAAAGAATTCCATTAATTTTAGGGTGAAGTTGAATCTATAGCGATGATGAAACCGAAAGGTCAGAATGAAAACGAATCGGGCATGCTGGAGTATCTCGAGGATATAGTGGGTACAGAGCGTTACATACGCTCACTGCAGCAGATAAACCATCGTGTGGATCAACTTACTGACGAGCGCACAGATAAGCACAATCGTTGCAAACTGGCGGAGCGTGAAATGAAAGACTTGGAACAACCATACAACGAGGCTGTAGAATTCCTGCGCACAGAGAACGACTTTGTGCGCACCAAAAACTGGGTGACTCAAAAGTACATTAGTTTAAAGAAACAAAAGCTGGAGGAGCACACCCAGGATCACGAAAAGCATGTTGCAGACTTGAAAGAACACGACGAGGGCACAGCGGCTATTAAAAGTGAACGCGCTGAAAAGGAGAAGATTATAAAAGAAGAAGTAGAGGCTTATGAATTGCTATGCAAAACCCGAGACGACCTCAAGAAGAAACAGGCGGGTGAGGAGCGTAGCTACAATGAAATTCAAAGCGCCATGGAGGATACAAATAAGCAGCGCAAAAAGGATAAGGCACAGATCGAGAAAAATGAGAAAGAATTGGAAAACTTACACAAATTGCCGGAGAAAAATGAAAAAGAAATTGAAGAATGTCAAACAAAATTGGAGCGCCTGGAGAAGGAAAAAACAAAATTGAATGAGGATTTGGAGCAAAAGCTCGCCGAAATGAAAGAAAAAACCGAACCGTTAACAGAGAAACGCCTTAAATGTAGCGATGAACTGGTCGGCCTCAAGGAAGAAGTCAATGCTGCAAAGGCAGAGCTACAGGTTCACCAATCTGAGCTAAATATGCTGAAGCAAGTGGAGACGATAGAGAGGCGGAAATACGCGTGTTTCGTTGAATCCTATGAAGAGTCGGAACGCGGTCTGGAGGCAAAACAAGCTCAACTCAAAGAATTATCACAACGCATGCCCGATATAAAAGCAGAAATAGAAAAAAAGAACGCAGAACTAGATAAATATGGCAAGGAAGAACGTGTGTTATCGGCCAAGTGCGCAAAGCTGCGTGAAGAGGTAAGTTGGGAGTGCATGTATTTATCTATAAATTTCCTTTAAAAAAATAAATAAATTGCAAATAAATTAACTTAAATTTAGTGTAAATAATTAAAAGTTATAAAAACGTTTCACATTTCTCCACACAGATCAATGAACGCTCCTCAAACATGCAAATGCAACGTTCTAACAACAAAGTGCTAGACTTTTTAATGCGCCAAAAAATGGAAGGTAAAATACCAGGCATACTTGGACGTTTGGGAAATTTGGGTGGCATTAATGCCAAATATGATATTGCAATATCAACGGCCTGCGGTCGATTGGACAACATTGTGGTGGACCGCTTGGACACAGCACAAGCGGCCATTGCGGCCCTGAAGCAATATAACGTGGGTCGTGCCTCGTTTATAGCACTGGAGAAGCTGGAGCATCATGCTTATCCTATTAATACGTAAGTTCTAAATAGAACATACAATTTTGTGATTAGATCTAATACACTTTTAAATAATCATTTCATCTCCTTGCAGGCCGGAGAACGTGCCACGTCTCTACGATCTTGTTGAAATCGAAGATGAACGTGTTCGTCCAGCATTCTACTTCGCCCTCGGAAACACACTGGTGGCTAACGATCTTGAGCAAGGCTCACGCATCGCCTATGGACGGGTACGATTCCGTGTGGTAACCCTACGTGGTGAGATTATTGAACAGACGGGCACCATGTCCGGTGGTGGCAATCGTCCCATTTGCGGGAAAATGGGCACCCAAGTGCAGACGAAGACGAGCGAGTCAGCCAACAGTTCACAAATCTCCCAAAAGGCGCTAGAGGAAATGCAAATACAGGCTGAAGAACTACAGTCTCGCATCAATTACTGTCAGGAGCAGCAAGGGCGGCTAGAACGGGAACTGCAGCAATTGCAAGTGACGCTCCAACGCAGCGAGTCTGAACAGAAACATCTAAGCGTGAGCATTAAGTCTCTGGAGCAGCAGATGTCCAGCAGCCTAAAACAGTGTGAGCAGCAGAAAAGACGCATGGAGAACATAACCACCAATGCAGGAGCGATAAAAGCCCGTGAAGCTCAAATTACTGAGGCACAAAAGCGTCTCGATAAGGTTTCCGAAAAAGAAATGGCCATGAGCGATCAGATTGAGAAAATTCAGCAAGAATATGACAACCTTCGCAATGAGAATGTAAAACCAGTGGAGGCTAAAATCAAGAAAGTTAGCAATCAGATTGAAAAACTCGCTGCAAATATACGATCTTTGAATGTGGCGCTGAGCACTGCTGAACGCAACATTGAACGGATTAACAAGAACACAAACAATTTGAAGGAAAACATCAAGACGGCGGAGGACAAATTGCGCGAACTGAACGAACAGCGTCAAAAATGTTTGGAATGTAAGGAGTTCCTCGAAACGCGTTTCAAAGAAGCAGAGGAGGGCATCAAAAATGCAAAGTCCCAGTCTTCCGAAATAAAAAAGGATATTGATAAACTCAATGAACAGGAAAAGGAGCGTAATCTGCAGCGGGTAGAAATTGAAACAAAAGTCCAAGAGGTAGTCGTCAAAATTAACGAAGTCAAGTCGGAAATACCATACTGGATAGCTCAATTAAAGCCCTTAACACTGCACGATATACCCGGCGACACAGAACCGCAGCCACCACTTAAAACATATACTGAGGAAGAGCTCTGTTCGGAGAATCTCAAGGCTATGCAATACAAACAATCTATACTCGAGGAGCAGTTGAAGAAAAAGCCCAATTTGCAAGTCATCAGTGAGTTTTGTGATAAACGCGATAAGTATTTAGAGCGAGTCCAGGTGCTCGAGGATATAACGTCTAAACGTAATGAGATGCGCGACAAATACGAGGAGGTTCGCAAGCGACGCTATACAGAATTTATGGAGGGCTTTAACATCATAACGCGCAAGCTGAAGGAAATGTACCAAATGATTACTTTAGGTGGCGATGCTGAACTCGAGCTAGTGGATTCGATGGATCCCTTTACGGAGGGAGTCGCATTTAGTGTGCGTCCACCGAAAAAGACCTGGAAGAACATCTCCAATCTGTCGGGTGGTGAGAAGACACTTTCGTCACTAGCTTTGGTATTTGCTTTGCACTATTATAAACCCTCGCCTCTATACTTTATGGATGAAATCGACGCAGCATTGGATTTCAAAAATGTCTCAATCGTGGGTCATTACATAAAGGTGCGTGATTTAAATACATTGGATTGTTTATAATTGTTTTCTAATGTTGTAGCGTATCAGGTCTTAACTAAACTGTAAACAAATCCCAATTATTTCCAGGAACGCACTAAGAACGCTCAGTTCATCATTGTTTCGCTTCGAGTAAATATGTTTGAGCTTTCCAATTATATTGTGGGCATATATAAAGTAAACGATTGCACGCAGTCCATAACCATGCGAAATTATCAAGTGGAGCAGCCACAATCGCAGCTCCCACAAACACAGCTTTCTGTATCACAACTACCCTCGTACCAGTTTCCATTAACACAACAGTTGCTTTCTTCACAACTGCCTCAATCATCAGCAGCGACATCAGTCTTTCAAAATACATTGGTCCAGGAGGATATGCTCTCCAGTCAAACTACATTTGAGACCGAGACTAGTTCAACCACATGTGGCAGGGAATTAACTTTTGCGCCTACACTTGAAAGCACCGTAGTCTCACATCGTATCACATCATCACTATTAAATGTGAACGATAACATTGGATCTACTCAGAATTAAAATAGTTCAACACAATTGCAATATTTTACGAATTTTTTTTTATAGTATAATTATGAATAAAGTACATTAAACTCTTTAAATAAGATAAGATCCGGACGGAATATATGTATGTACATCGACTTTTGTTGCTAAATTTAAATAAAAATGTAATTAAATAAATTGACAAAGTAAAAACCGGGTAATTGTTGCTGCTAAATATGTAAACGTGCGCTTATTGACGGTGTAGGGTTTGTATAGAATTGGGTCCGGCATTCTTGGCCGTTATTTATTTATGTACATACATACATAGGCCGGTGTTTTGGCACTCACCAACAACTGAATTTGACAAAGAGTTCATTGTAGATTTAAATGCCGCGATCAAGATATGATGATTATTTTGTTACTGACCAAGGTAGGTCCGGCTTAAATGGTCAGTGCAAGTGCACCAATTGTGCAACTACATGTAAATAAGTACACAGGTATATGAGGTTTGTTGTACTCAAAGCCTGGTGGTTATGAGTAAAATTATCGGCAGCTTATTCGCGGATTGTTGTGGTAACACTGGTTCTTTGGGTGTGCTGTGCTCCTTTGTTATCGTTATCGGAAAATGCAACTCCGCCTGTATTATCACTAGTTAAAGTTTAGGATACACTGCATACACGAAAATTATTGTCTAAATAGTGCATGTTTTGAAATTTTCTATATGTATATAACTCTAAATTTAAGTGTATTAAGCATTAATTGCCAGCGATTTAGTGTGTTAGTGTTTAGTGATTTGTTATGAATATATCGAAAGTGACAACATCGCTTGCTGCTCCGGCTGCTGCCGCCGAAAAAGCAAAACCCGAACGTGTAACATCTGCAACAGCAGCAGCCAATTTTAATACAATCAATATACAAAAGCGAAGTAGCGTTGATGATACCGACGATACAAATTGCAAGAAACTTAAAACGGACATAATTATTTGCACGGCAGCGGGTAGTTTGCCCGCCAAACAACGTGCTGTTTCTGCTACTGCTGCAGCATTAGAAGTAACGCCAACAACAACAGCGATTGTACCAACAGGGACTGTCGCTTCCACGGCAGTGGTTTGCAGTGGCTTGGGTGCGGGCCTAGCCAAGACTGCGGGAGACGAACGTATTTTAGTGACTACAACAACAGCAACCCAATCGCTCGCTTTAACAAATCTGCAGTTAAAAGCTGGCTTTGACGATGCCCGGGAGCGCAGGGGAGAGCAGATTATAGTTTGTAATTTTGGGACAAACACTGAAATGAGTGCAATTAAACCAGATGAGGCGGTGGCCGATAATAGCCAAAAGCAAAGTAAATTGCACAGTTTTCCTGTTGGAGGCTTCATTATTTTTTCTGATTCAATGCCCTTGTTTTACAGGTTTTGTTACGTTTACCAAAAAAGATGCTGCTTCTGCATCATCGTCAGCTTCGTCAACGTCCTCGACGGCTTCAATTATATCTATTGAGCCTAACACCGACCGCTGCAACGACCAAAGCGGCAAAACTGAGGAGATTGACTACGTGCTGCTACCTGCCCCAACAGCCGAGATAAAACCCGTGCACGAAACGCCCACGACTGTTATACTAAATACGAATAATGGCGCCAGTCCCGGCACTGGTGGCGCTGGTACTACAATTGTGACGCAGAAGACGGCGACAACCAATTATAATTTGTTCAATAACATAGCAACAACGGCTACAACTGCCACCGGCAGCCAGACGCCGACTACACTGTTAAGGGGAATAAATCTACCGACCAAGCTAAAGGGCCAGCAATTGGTGGTCAACGCTAAGACACTAGCCGAAATGAGACAAAAAACAGCGAAAGTGTCTATCGACAACAAGACTATATCGGTACCGCTGGTAAAACTGCAGGGCGCTCAGATAATGAGTGCCAGCGGCACAACCACTACTGCCGGTGGCGCAACAATTGTTGACAACAAGCAGATGCAAACAGCTCAAGTGACTACAGTGATGAGCGGGCCCGGACAAACAACTCAGCCTCAGCATTTGAGTTTTAGTAAAGTGCTGAATGTAAAGCGAGTCTCTGTGCAAATTAAGCCGACCAACACGAAAATTGTTACGTCAAAGATGCTTAACAAGCGGATGATCCATATCCAGCAACAGCAACAACAACATCAAGTTGCAAATTCATCGCTGGCGCCACCCACGGGAAGCATTGTGACCATAAATACAAGCAACCCCAATCAAACCTACACCATGGTGCAGGATAAATTGCACGACGTGACCGACCAGCAAGAGCACGAGTCAACGTCCACCACCGCATCCACAACGGTACAGACGCGCCTGGTCCCTGGCCAGAACCTCAATTTTAATGAGAACATTAAAAAGATTCTGTTGAACAAATCCAAGAGTATGGAGGCCGGCAACAATGAAGCTAACGACCTAGCCAGCATCAATAGTGTGGTCATCAAGCCCCTAGACAATAACATTAACATCAACTGTACACCCAATATCAACATATTCAAGCAACCGGCAGGTGCCCATCAGCAACAACAGCAGCAGCAGTCCCAACAGCAGCCGCAGTCGCATGTGTTGACACCGTCCTCGGTCTCAGTTTGCAACGAGCTTTCCACCTCGACCGTTTCAGTGTCCGCCATACTTAGTGAGGCGGTCGCCAAGTCGACGGCAGCTACCATTTGTATTACCAGTCCAGTCAGCAGCATGAGCTCGCGTCCCATTATCTCGTTACAAAACAAAAACATATCGCTGCTCCTGTCCAAGACAACAATGGCACATCAAAAGCCCAAATTGCTGACCACGCCGGCCAACAGTGCGACCATACAGATGCACGCGGTCAGCCAGGAGGTGGAAAAGGGGCAGCAGGCTAAGATAAATGTAGGAACTGCAGCAACGGCAATGGCAACCAAGGCACAAAATCCTCAAAACATGATGAACATCAGTGTGTCCGTGGCCGCAAGTAGCGTCACTGATGCCGCAACCACTGCCAAGGAAGTCAGCAAAGAGGATGCCAACGAACCCAAGCCCAATCTGAAGGCTGAGCTGTTGCTCATTAAACAGTCGACATCGATGTCTGCCGAGCTGGAAAACAGCAGCAAGGAACCCCCGACGTCTACGGAACAGGTCGCCGAGGAGATACCCACCAGTTCCAGTTCTGTTGTCGAGAAACGTATTTTGTACACCAACAACACCAATAGCAGTCAGAACGTCAATGTTGCACCCTCGACGGCCCCCAGCAAGGTCGATGACTCGAACAATGTGCTTTTAAAGCAACTGCTCCAAAACTCCAACACAAGTCACAACCTCAACCAGATATCCATCACATCTGCCCACGTGGCCGCTAATACTGCGCCCACGCTCTCTGCCCGCAAGGTAATCAACGTGCGGGCACCCAGCATGGGAATGGTTAGCTCTTTAGAGGCACAACTGGCGCGTCCTGTAATACCGCCCGTTCCGGCCGCACCCAGCACTAGTAGCGGAGGAGGCGGCAGTAGCGGAGGGACCAGTGGACCACCTACTGCCGTCACTGTAGCCAATGCGCCACCACCAACACCTCCGCCGGTATCCACACCTGTGGTAACCACGCAGGCAACAAGTGTGTCCATTGCGCCGCCTGCCACAGTCGCACCCACCATCAGTCAACAGCCAACGGAACCACAGAAGCTAGAGGCTGTGATAAACAAGAACGAGCAAATACCAGTGTTACCTCCGCCACCACCACCACCTGTTACAGTGGCACAACCAAATCTACAACAATCCCAGCCCCACCAGCAACCTCCACAGGTCAAGCAATCGGTGCAGATTGTATCCAAGGAGACATCTTTTATTTCAACACCGGTAGCCCCAACTCTCAATAAGACACCAGTAACGGAACAAGCCCCTCCCCCTCCATACGAGCTGTCATCCGGCGGTGCGCCTGTTTCAAATGTTACCATATCCATTACGACCAAACCAAAGGAGGTAAAGCCCAAATTGGCCACACCGATGGATCACGACAGTCATACAGAGGAGCATGTGAGCTGTGAGCAGAGCGGAATGGCGCGGGATCAATTGCAGCAGCAGCAGCTAAACGAGCAGAGCGCTTGGAAGATGCAGGAGTCGAATGCCAATAGCATGGATACCAATGGGGCAACTATGGCAACCATTATCAATAAGATACCGTACAAAGTGAGCGAGGCACAAAAGCGCAAACTACAGCAGCAACAGCAGCAGCAACAACAGCAGCAGCAGCAGCAACAACAGCAACAACAACAGCAGCAGCAACAACAGCAGCAACAACAACAGCAGCAACAACATCCACACCCACAACACCCCCAAATGCATGCGCCTCCTCAACAACAACATCCACACCCACAACAACATTTGCATCAGCAGCCAGCACCTCAGCATTCGCATCAACAGCATCCGCACCCACATCAGCAGTTGCAGCATCAGCAGCCACAGCCGCTGGAAGATAAGACAGGTCATGGCATGCTCAGTGAAGTGAAAACCGAGCCAGGCTTGACAGTCAATCATGTAGTTACAGTGCCTTTGCCCGATGTAGTCTCTGCGAGCAGTTCTGGCATGAAGCCGCCGCTCCCATCTTCTGCTGAAAAGGTACACCTGATGTCGGCCATCATGAAGAAAGCCTCACAGACGCCGGATCCGCCGACCGTGGAGCCGAAGGTCGGGGATCAGCGCAAGCGGCGCAAACGGGAGTATCAAAAGCCGCGTCGTGCCAATCAGGCGAACCTTAACAACAACTTAAAGGACATGCCTGGCGTTATGCCCGCCGGCTCGATAGTCTCTATGGGTGGCCTGCTGACGGGCAACCAATTCACAGGTGGCCCACTGGCTTCAAGTAACGCCTCTTACAGTGCGGGTAGCTCTCCTATGCTAAAGAAGCGCGTGCGTAAGCTGTCCAAAGTCGAAGAAGACTACGATGCATTTACTGAGAAGCTCATGACTCATATACGTCAGATGCAGTCGCTGCAGGTGCTAGAACCTTTGCTCAACCGAAACTCACTTATTGGGAGCGACGCCGGCGTCGGTGGCAAACCGAAGAGCTCGGCCTTACCGCGCGCCTTTCAGTTGCACCGTCAACTCGATGGGGAGGAGCTGGATCAGCTTTTGGGACCATTCGGCAACGTGCGTCATTCAAGTCTGCCATCGTTATACGATAGCGAGCGTTTCAGCGGCACAGGCGAGGGGACCGGTCAAAGCGGTCGTTCCTCTGGCGGCGCAGCTTATGACAGCAAGCATCTCTCGACCATTCAAAACGACTTCTACGACCAGGAGTTCTCCACACACATCCAGCGGGATCCCCGCGAACGCTTGGTGCGCCATATCAGCGTCGTGCGGGATTCTAATGTGGAGACAACTGATCTGGTGGAGCGCGATGCGCCCGCAGAGAATGTCTATGCAACGCGATCAGATGGCCAGGTTGCCTGGCATGCTATGTCGCGCCCTACGCGCTATCCCGGACTAGTACTGCTTAACAACAACAGTGGAAGTCGTGTCCATGGCCGTATGTCTCCGGTCGCCCAGGCCGAAGATGTCGTCACGCTTCGTGTGCCCGTCTCGCCTCTGCTGCGCACCTGCAGCGAGGAGCTTGCCAAGGCCCAGCAACTGGAGCAGGCACTTGGCGCGGCAGCGTCTGCGTCAACAGCTGTTACATCAACCGGAACAGGAGTGGGAGTGGGTGTGGCATCGGTTGCGGCTTCGGCAAGCAACAACAACAATTACCAGCAGAAGAACCAGAATGTGATACTGTCGCTGCACACGTCAGCGACGGACAACATCGCGGGTGTGCTCCGCGATCTGGCGAACCTTCTCCATCTGGCTCCCGCGCTCACCTGTAAGATCATTGAGGCGGAGAAGGGTTTCAAGCGGCCGCAAGAGCTGCGGACGGGCAACACATCGGCCCTTAGTCATGGTCATCTCCAAAAGATACTCAATGGGCGGCGTAAATTGTGTCGTAATTGTTGCAGTGCTATCGCTGCTTTCGGTCTACGCGTACCTAACCAATTCGTGGCCGAGGGCCAGCCGCCGATCTTGTCGCACCTGGAGAGCTTATTGCCGCCACGGGCTGTGCCGCCGGCATACTCTTACTTCTGCAGTCGGGTCTGCCTCACGCAGTTCAAGTGGCGTGGCAAGGAAGGCGGCACCGAGGTTGGGGATGCTCTGGCAGCGTCCATTCTCGCCGCAGGCCAGAATGTAGGCTCTAACGAGTCGATACCTGTCGATCAGACAATAATCAAGGTGGAGCCCAAGCAAGAGATCGACAGCGAGGATGGTGCACCACCAACTCCAAAGCCGTCGGCACCGCCACGCAAGAGCATCATCAAGTGCTTTAGTCCTGATTGCTTTGCCACCGAGCTGCAGGCGCGTTCCACCATTAAGCTCGAGAACGAATTGTCGCCCAACAATACAGTGTGGGACAGGGACCTATGCTCAGTTAGCGTCCTTGTGGAGGACACACGTCAGTGTGTATTCTGTAATCAACGTGGTGATGGACATGCGGACGGACCTTCGCGTCTTCTCAACTTCGATGTGGATAAATGGGTGCGTATAACAATAGAATGAACAGATGTAATCAAGAAGTCTCAATTAGAGGTAACAATTATTCTACAACTAGACCTCTCTAGCCTTGTTGTCGTACCTAGTACCTAGAGCTTTCAGTTTTTCAGTAAAGCTTTGTTTTGGATGATATACTTTTGGACTGAGTCCCTCAATCTCTACTCTTTCATAGTATGGTTTCTGGTTTACAAATCCAATACATTTTACTTGTCTAAACCTTCCCATTTCCGAGCTCGATCAAATTTGTGGAAGAAATCAAATTTTGTAAACTTAAATTCCAGTTTCTATGTGCGAGCAAAAATGTCTTTATCTATGTTTCTTTAAATATTAATTGAATAATTGCGCCGCATTTAATTCAACGAACTTATTCGAACAATTAAAAACTTGGGACTATTCATGGTATACATTTCAAAATAAACAGTAATTATCGTGTGTATATCGTTATATCTGTAACAACAGTTATGAATTGACTGGTGAAAGGGTATTCTGGAATGTCATATAGAAACATTTAAACCACAACAGGTTGGGGCATCAAACTCTTATTGATGCGAACAACATTTTTATGAATATGTATGTACATATATGAGCAAACCTTGTTAGTATATTTACGAGTTAGTTCCTCAATGTGCCTCAACGTAGCAAACATATATGTACATACGTGTAAGCGCAAGGACGTTGATTTTAATTGAAGGAATGGGGCTTCCTCAGAGTATACAGATGTTATAATTGAATTGAATACTTAGTAAAATTCTGTTGTATTTCATTACCGTGTGCCTTGGTCTCTGCTCACAGGTTCATCTAAACTGTGCCTTGTGGTCAAATGGTGTATACGAGACGGTGGCAGGTGCGCTTATGAACTTCCAGACGGCGCTACAAGCGGGCCTGAATCAGGCGTGCAGTGGCTGCCATCAGATGGGGGCTACCATCAAATGTTTTAAGTCGCGCTGTAACAACCTCTACCACCTGCCCTGTGCCATCAGGGATGAGTGTGTCTTCTACAAGAACAAGTCAGTGCACTGCAGTCTTCACGCGGCAACCAGCTCGACGGGGGCAACATCGACGGAGAACGAGCTGACATCGTTTGTGGTGCATCGGCGTGTCTTTGTTGATCGCGACGAGAACCGTCAGGTGGCCACAGTCATGCATTACTCGGAGCTGAGCAATCTGTTGCGCGTCGGGAATCTAACTTTCCTTAATGTTGGCCAGTTATTGCCTCATCAGCTGGACGCGTTCCACACGCCAAACTACATCTATCCCATTGGTTATAAGGTGGTGAGTAGTCACTAGAAACCGCAAACTTTGCCCTGTTGCAGCTGCTAAGTACCTTCGATCTTCCAGTGCCGCTATTACTGGTGCGTGCGTCGTCCAAACCGACGTTGTCGCTACATCTGCAGTATTGCTGAGGCCGGTTGCCGTCCCGAGTTCCGCATTTTCGTGCAGGACCCCAGTGGTGCAGAACCGGATCGCGAATTTCGTGATAGCACACCCTCGCTAGTCTGGCAGCAGATCTTGCAACCTATCTGTCATCTGCGGAAGGTCCACAAATGGTTGCAACTCTTCCCACAGCACATAAGCGGCGAGGATTTATTCGGGCTGACGGAGCCCGCCATTGTACGCATACTGGAGAGCCTGCCCGGCATCGAAACGCTTACCAACTACCGCTTTAAGTACGGCCGCAACCCCTTGCTTGAGTTCCCGCTCGCTATAAATCCCTCTGGCGCGGCTCGCACCGAACCTAAACAACGCCAGCTGCTGGTCTGGCGCAAGCCCCACACCCAACGCACCGCCGGCAGCTCTAGCACCCAACGAATGGCAAATTCGGCATCCATTGCCGGTGAAGTTGCGTGCCCCTATAGCAAGCAGTTTGTCCACTCAAAGAGCTCTCAGTACAAAAAGATGAAGCAGGAGTGGCGCAACAATGTCTACTTGGCGCGGTAAGTACTCCGAATGAGCTATACATAATAAGCATTATGGGGCAACAACAACTTAATGAAAAGGGAAGGGAAGAAAATTGTAGGAACTTGTGAAAATATCGGTTGATATCTAATTGGTTCACATATTAGGCCGTGCTTATATTGATTTAGCAGGTATCAAAAATCGGCTAATCTTCTGTTAGGCATAATATGTTTGTGTTCTTGAATGGGTGTTAGGTACAGCAACCAACCAACTTTAAGCCATTTGGACAAGGAGGTGATTACCGGACCTGCTTTTGCTCGTGGCTAAGGTCTGCATTCAGGGCTGCAGGATGAGTCATAGACTAGATTCTGTAGCGTCTCAATGCAAAATCTATATCTATGCTCTAGTTTCTCCATTGTGTATCCATGTTATTGGCTTTGAAATATAATTTGTGCCTGTTCTTTGCCAATGCCAAATGTCCTCGACATTATAATCGTCTTGTCGTCCAATAATTGCATTCTCATCCTTCCGTTCTTCCAGCTCGAAAATTCAGGGTCTGGGATTGTATGCGGCACGCGACATTGAGAAGCATACCATGATAATTGAGTACATTGGAGAAGTCATACGCACGGAGGTCTCTGAGCTCCGTGAGAAGCAATACGAGTCAAAGGTTAGTAAGCATGTATGATAATGAATTTGTGTAATTGTTTAACATGTACATATGTGCCTTTTCTCTTTGTAGAATCGTGGCATCTATATGTTCCGGCTGGACGAGGATCGTGTGGTCGATGCAACCCTCAGTGGAGGTCTCGCACGTTACATCAATCATTCATGCAATCCGAACTGTGTCACCGAAATCGTCGAGGTCGACCGTGATGTACGCATTATAATATTTGCCAAGCGGAAGATATATCGCGGTGAAGAGGTACAGTATGAGCCATTTCAAATACAAATTATCCATCTAATCACATGCCGCACTCCACAGCTTTCCTATGACTATAAATTTGACATTGAGGATGATGCACATAAGATTCCGTGTGCCTGCGGTGCTCCAAATTGTCGCAAATGGATGAATTAAATAGATGTTGATTCATACGGTCGCGTTGATGGTGGAGGTTTCCCACACTTACACACACACACAAACACACATAAATGTTAATATATATACCTATATATACATATAATAACACTGACCAACTACAGCACAACCTGTGGAGCATTTTCTGCGTCCCAGTGAGAAAAAAGGAAGAGTTGTTAGATATCAGATCAATGTAGCATATTCTATAAGCAGTTTAAGCACAGACATGCATATATACCATACATATATATACATAAATATATATTTGAATAATTAGCATATAGTTTAGTAAGTTGTGTATATGTGCCCACGAATGCGCGTCGCTGCCACCTTGTAGCTAATTTTTATTCTATTGCTCTTAAGATTAAAGTGTTTTTTTAGTTTAAAGTTTTCATTGAACAATACATGTGTATGTGCATATATATACAATATACCTTTATATATGGATATATATACATATGTATTTAAAAATTGATAGATCGAAATGTGCACTATGCACTTCTTTATTCACTCACTGATGTATATATGTATTTATGTAGATGATGATCCAAAATCATCTGCTAGGCGCTCGCTCATTCGCGGGCACACAAACATGATGAATTGTCGAATTGTAGATCAAGAGGAGGACGAACAAGAAGATGAGGATGGGGAGCAGTTAATCCAGGTTCGGGCACTTTTCGTTATGCGTGTGTGCCTTCGTTTTTGTTATCACTACTAGACTAAAGAAAAGTAAAGAACAGGAAAGTGAAGGATGAAGACCTTCGAAAACAAATTGTTGTCTAAGCTAACCAACTCTTTTTACAACAGTTAATAATTTAATTTTTAAATATTGGTATTTTTATTATAATTTTTTATTTTACTTGTCGTCTGCTCTGATGTAATACACATCAAAATCTAATGATCACACATTATACACACCCAAAACACATATTTAATTAATGCCGCTTAACTATTAAGTAAATTTTAAGCAAAAATTTGTAAGCATTATAGTTCGTTTGCATATTGTATATTTGTGTTGCATTCATTTTTTGCACATTTTCACGAGGCCTAGAGAAAATTTAACTAAAAGTCAACAATTTCTGTACATTATTTGAAGCTGTGTTGTTGTTTATTATTATTGTGTGGGTTTCTTTTCTCGACGCAACAATTTCTGAAGAAAAACTTGAAATGCCAGCACCAGAAGTTCCACATTTTTTAGATACCACGATATATTGTACATGATATGCATACGCCTGTTTTTGTCCAGGAACGATTTGTAAAATACGCTCATGCTGTCAGCGGTAATGTCCTGTGAAGCAGTACCGGCATTTTTGTGCAATTGAATGAAATCTTCCTTCTCCTGCAGAAGAATGAAAAGAAAGTTCAGTTTTAGCCACATATGGATTAGAGTGAGAAAGCTATATATTTCTATCTCTTTCTGCAGTGTGTGAATCGATAATAGTGGAAAAAGTACGGTCCGCTTCGAAATTCTTATACCAGAACCAAACATTTTGATTTTAATAGGTTTTTCAATATTGTAAAATATAGATTTTAATTTGGAAAGCATGAGACCAGATTTGGGGTTTAAGATCTTTCTCGTTTGAGGCTTCCTATATTAATCTTTTGGGTTTAGTTTAAGTACATTTTTTCTTGAAATGCTATTTGTGTTGAACTTGTGCTTTTATAGGTGGTTCTTTTACTTGAGCAATATCGATTGGGCTAGATGTAAGCACTCTTAAGTAGAGCTCGCACTTGGCCTGAATTTCAGACGGCTATATTTATATCAGTGTAGCTTCACAAAGTTTTTAAATATTCGCATAAAAAGCTCTAAGCAAGCTCATTCCATCACCCACCTGATAGAAACGTTTGTTGTGTTTTGTCCAGAAATCGTTGTTCCATGCGTCGATTTCAATGCGACGCAATCGTAATTTCTTGGCCAGAGGCGTTTCTCGATTGTTATAGTGGCGTACATAGGGGCGCAGATTAGAATCTGGATCTGGCGGTCCTATGTAGTCGCATCCGACAGATTCTGGGTCCGGCCGTTGCGCAAGACCGACAGTTTGACTCTTTTTCGGTTCATTCTCCACCGCCTTTGCATACCAGCGTGGCCACAACTAAAACAAAACATTAAGTCCGGGCCATCAAGTTATTGAAAACAGTACTACGAACCTGGAGTTGGCCAAATGTCCTATGTGTTGTGCATTTATACATTCTTAATGTTTACTACCAATAAAATGAGCAGAGTTGACAGGGATGAAATAGCCATGGTTGCCACTCATTTGAAATTGAGTATCGATACTTTTGCTACGCAACCGATACGCCAATAGATGGCGCAAGCATTCATATTTAACTGAAAAGTTGAATCAATCTAAATTGTATGTATATTTATAACAGTTTCTACCCAGACCTCTAACCGCAACTTAGCAGCGTTAGAAATCGACTGTAACAACTAAAAATACTCGAAAAATCAATATACTATATAATGTAATGCTAGCAGTCAAATACAAATTAAAGTATTTTGTATGTTTGGGGAATATTTTCTTTTAGTTTATTTATTGAATACATTGAAATGCATACACGAGTTTTTCTTAATTGTTTTTAATCTTTATATTACTTTGTATTTGTTTAAATAAATAAGATACATACGTTTAATCAATAATAGCAGTATTTATCGTGCAAATTTGATAAGCATAATAATTTTTTACTTTGCTCTTTTCTTTCATTCATTTTTTTCTGGTAGTTTTTATGAAATAAGGTTCTTGCATTAAATATATGAAAAAAATATATATTTTGTATTTATTTGTTGTTGTTTTTTGTTTGTTTTTGCATTTTTCGCTCCTATTACTTTTTATTTTACTTTTTCTTTAAAGTAAAAAACGATCTGCGCTTTGGTTCGTCCTTTTGTGAAGTAGCTGGCAGAGTTTGGGATCTGCTTGCTGCAACAGCTGCCGAATCGCTTTGGGCTTTTAGGGAAGATACCCACTGTGACATTTCGTTATCATCGTGGGCTTGCAGCAAGAACTCAGCACCACTGGCGAGCCTAGAGGATTAGAGTTGGGAAATCATAATATTAAATGGGAATTCATTTCAACTTTTTCTTATTAACTTACTTGACTCTTAAGACATGCTTCTTCTTGGTATAGTCACTGGCAATTTCAATGGCGGCGCCCTGCAGGTCGTAGCTTGGTTCTCCGCGGAAGGTCAATTCGGGATTACTCTTGTAACCCTTCTGATCCTTGAAGAAGGAAATGCGACCGCCTCGTGCAGCCATGTAAACCTAAAATGCGCACATAAATCCGATATATTTTAGGAAACTTAATATTTATTTGTAAGGAATACGTACCTTGTCCCACGATCTGTTCGAGGCTTTTTTGGTGGTCGACTCCCATTCGTGTTTTCGTGTCAGATAGCCTTCCTGGCCCTCACCAGGAACAGGTGCGGCGCCACGTTCTAAATTCATAGCAGAAGAAAAAAATCATTTTTAGTGATTTCAAAAATTTTAAGTTACATATGTGTGTAATTTATTTAGTTGCTGTCTGGCGGTCATTGCAATTTATCCCTTTATTAATAAATAAGAACAACACACAAAACCTCAAAACAGTGTGCAAGATTCTAGTAAATATTTAAGACAATTGAGAATTCTAGAATTGGACTGTTTTGTATGTGATGCATATTTTGTTGTTGTTAATAGTGTAGTATGAAGATTATTGACCAGCCAGCAAAACCAACTAGATACGTTAGAAAGGCCGCCAAAACCAATGAACTGATTAGTTTTGGACAAACACAAATGAGAAGAGGAGTTAGGGTCTGGTTAATAGCTGCAACTACGATTATCAATTAATCATGCTTCTATCTACATATGTTAATGAAATATATACCTGTTTGTGTTTCAACAGCCCGTTCGATATCCACTGCTGTGTCGGCAGTGTCTGGTTTTTTTTTTAATAGTTTTTGTTAAATTTGTTAGAACAGTTTTAATTTGATTTGTTTTTAGTTACATTGATTTTTTTGTGGAGTTGTTATTGCATTTTTTGTATTTATTTTAATCCGAGAATTTTCGTGTATGCATGAGTGAATAGGACGAAATGTTCAAGATTTATTTCTTTTTTGTTCATTGGCAAAACGTAGTTTTTGTTAGATGTTGTTATGTACTTGCAATGGCATGTTAGTGATTAAAATATATATAATATATATATTGTATATATGGATGTTAATAGCAATGGCACCAAAACAAACGCGGCAATTGCAGTCGTCGTTTAGATCGGTGAACGAAATAATAATTAAGAGTAGAATTAAATAAAATAAAAATAACGTAAAATTGTGAATTAATATGAATTTGGAATGGCATTTAATCATAAAAATGAGAAAGAGGCGCATTATACCTGCTGTGTCATCGGTGATGCCCACGTCGACGTCATCACGTCGCTCAGCCTCACGTTTGGCTTGCTCCGCCGCTTCGGATGCAGCCTTAGCCTCCAATTCCTCCTTGATTCGCAGCCGTTCTGCTTCTTCCGCTAGTTCCTGACGCCTCTTCATTTCCTTAAGCTCAAACTGAAAAAAATGCATAGTTAAAAGGGGACCCATAAATATTTGAGGTAACACCTACTGTTGTCAAACGCTCAAGTGCACTGAAGCGCTCTTCCTGCGCGGCTGCAGATTTCTCAAATGCTTCATGTTTCTTTATCAGGTTCTCAACTTCGTCGATTGTGTGTCCCAATTCAGAAGACAACAGGTACGGCTCCTGTGCAATAAGCCAAGCCTCCGCAACGGCAGCATCTCTGGCGAACTGATAGACCTCCAGGACTGTAAAAAGCGAGCATTAGTATTAGATGGACATCGAGTGTTTATTTTTCAAAACTCACTTAATTGCAGGTTCTCCCATCGCTCCTCCCAACGTCTGAGCAACGCATTGCGACTATTGCTTAGCTGTAGAAGACGGTCCTTAATATCAGCGGACGCGTAATGGTTGCGGGTAAGCAACTCCTTGCCCAAGGATATGCATGCACCGAAGTTGTCTTCTCGCGTATCGATTTCGGCCTTTAGACTCTGATGGTTGTTCATCAACAGTTCGACGCCGGAAACGTCGCGCGGCTTCTCCGATGTATTCATCTGGCGCACTAGATCCTCCATCCAAATCATGAGGATGCGCACCATATTGAAGAATCTATACAGATCACCGGTGTCGGCAAGCTTTTGTTTGCGTGCATCGCACATAGCTTGCAGATTGTCCCAGGCATGTAGAACTTCCTGCTCGCGATTGGTTATTTCCTTTGCCTTGTCACCGGCATAGGCGTCCTGCAATTTGGCGGACTCCTCTTGGATCTGTTGCACCTGCGAGTAGAGTGTGGTGAGGTCCTGCAGGAAGTTGTAGTGTTTGCGCTGAAGGGTCGAGACGGAGCCAGCATCGCGGCCAAGTTCATCGGAGACGCCATGTTGCTTCTCGAGAATGCGGCCGAGCACGTCCTTGCAGTCGTGGAAGAATTTGTGAAGCTCCCTTGATGCGGCCAACATCTGAGTGCGAGTTTCGATAAGTTCAAGCAGGTCCTGCCACGATTCATTCAAGTTGTCCTTCCATTCGGCAATGGTCGCAGAGTCCGAGTGGCCCGCCTGTATTAGATTATCAGCAATGCTATTAACCTTGGCAACGCGCTCGCCACCAACGACTTCGGTATCACGTGCGAATTCATTGAAGCGTTCGGAAAGCAAGGTGACGTGATCGTAGTCCTGTCCCAGCTCCTGCGAGCCAGCAACAACCTCACGATCCGTAATCCATTGTTCCAGATCGTCAACTTCACGACTCAGCATGAACAGTTGCAGGGCCTCATTGAGCCGCGCTCGTCGCTCACCCGCTAGATCCTTAAGACCGGCATACAATTTGTCTAACTGCGATTGTTTCACGGCAACCGCATCACCGCTGGAGACATCGTCGCTGCTAAACTGGCGCGCAACCTCGCCAAGCTGGCGAATGGTGTTGGCATAGTCCTCCACCGATTGCTCTAGATTTTCGTGCTTCTTCATTAGGTTCTGTGCGCTTATCTCATCCTTGCCGCGATCCTCCACCATCATGTAGAGCTCCTGTTCGCTCATCCAGGACTCAGCTTCCTGGGCATCGAAGAAATACTGTTGCACCTTCTCGGACTCCAACAAATGCTTCTTGCGATTCTCGATCGCATCCTTCAATTCTTGCCACTTCTGTGTTAGGTCGCTAATAAGAGCCTCGAACTTCTTAGCATCCTCGTGGCCCTCGTCGATCAGTTTGCGTCCATTGTTACATATAGCCATGATGCGTGGCTCGTGGTTGTCAATCTCTGTGGCCAACGACTGGTTCTTTTTCTTCAGGACGTGGACATTGAACAATGAGTTTCCATAGTCATTTGAGTTTGCAACTGGCAGTTTCTCGTCAATCCATAATTTCTCATCCTCGACATCGCGGCAGAACTGGAAGGCCTCCTTCTTCTTCTCCAGCTGCTTCTGACGCTCTAGCAATGGGGCTTTGATCTTCTCAAAGCGCTCGAGTACGGCTGTCTTTTTCACCACAATGGGTTCGATCTTCTCCTCAGGCACGGTCTTTTGTAAGTATTCAGTTTGTTTGTCAATTTCCTCCACCTGTCGGGCCTTGACGGCCATCTGTGTTTGGATGACTTGTTGCTTCTGCATGAGTATATTGACCGATGTCAAGTCGTTGGCAGTATCTCCGCTGACAATCTGTTTCTCCAGGTCAGTGATATACGAATCAATGTCGTCACACGTCTGTTGGACGAGCACCTCACGGTTGGCGTCAAATAGCATGGCGCCCTTCTCTTTCGTGTGCACTTCTAGATCCTCGAATTGCTTCGCCAGCTCCTTCAGTTTGGGCTCAATAACGTCCTTGAACTCAGGTTTCTCTTTCGAGAGCTCCTGGGCTGACTTCTCTGCTTCGTAAAGACGTTCCTTGTTAGCTGCAATTTCAGCCTCAAAGGCCTGATGTCTTGTCCACTTGGAGTGTATGGTCTTGGCGCTTCTGTAGGTCTCGTCCTGGGATGTCACGTACTTCTCCTGCACCCATTCGGCCAACTCCTCCAGGTCCTGCAGGAATTCATGCAACTTAACCTGGTTCTTCAACTTCTCGTGCTGATCCAGCGCGCGCTGTCGATTGTCATCGCGACGTCCAGTAATATTCTCTGCGCGCTTGCCAATTTTGTCGGCATCGAAGTGTTCCTTTTCGACAAGGGTGTCGGCCACCTGCAGCAAAGTATTAATTTTGTCGTCATTGGCTTCCATGGTGGTGAGGAAGGCTTCGTGACGCTTAAGCTGATTTTCGGCCTGTTCCAAGTTAACAGGAGTGTCATCCTTGCTGAGGAAATGTTCTTGCTGGCTAAGTAATACTTCGGTCTGACGCGCATCGCGATTGAACAGTTGCTGATCAAGGCTCTGAGACAGGAGTACCTGCCGGTTCTCCCACATTTGGTGGAGCTCCTCCCAACCATCCTTGAGCGCGTTTAGACGCTCACGTAAGAACATGTACTGTGGATCGTCGGAAGTGCTGCCCTCAGAAGTCAAACGTTCACCATACTCCATCATGTTCTTGTAGTCCTCGGTGTAGTTGTCGATTTCCTCACGTATCGACTGGTGCTGGTTAAGGAGTTTCTCTGCTTCGGGCAGCGATGTCGGGGTGTCCTCGGAAGCTACATCGGTCTGGGTCTTGGTCAACCAAGTCTGGAAGTGATCCAAATCGCGTAGGAAGCGGTGCAGGTCACCAGCCTCTTCCAGCTTCGAATCACGTTCCTTTAGCATCTGCGTCAACTGTTCCCAGATGAGTTCGATCTGGGCTATACGCTCGCGTATTAGCTGCGCTTCTTCTGGATGCTCAGCCTCAATGCTATCGGCTTCACGACCCAAACTGGACAGTTTGGCTTGGATTGCAGCCAAGTCGCGATCCATTCCGCTAAGGCGACGCTGTAGGGTCATAACACCAGTAAGATCCATTTCCAGGCTATCGGTTTCTGTGAGTATGCGTTTCTTATCCTCGATCCAAGAGATGGTTTCGCGGCACTCAATGTAGAAGGTCTGCACACCATGGGCCGACTTCAGGTCATCCATCTTCGCCTCGGCCTTTTCGCGCAACGTCGACCACTCCTGGTTAAGATGATTTTGACGTTCGAGTATCTCATCGGAGTTCGGATGCTCGACATGCAACAGTTGGCGGGCCAATTGATTAACGACGGCCACGCGGGAAGCATTGGCGTTCATTTCCTTGTCGAAGCCCTCAAAGCGATGCTTCATGATCTCGACATCTTCAATGTCTTTTCCAGGCACCATTGTGTCGAGCATCTTGGTCTTCTCCTTGATCCATTGCTCAACACCATCTGCCTCGGACATCAGTTTGTAGAGGCTAAGAGCGTCCAGGAGTCGCTGCTTGCGTAGCTTGGCGAGTTCTGTCAGTTCCTTGTAACGTGTATCGATCGCCTCCAAACGTTTGTCAACATTGTCCTTTTCGGGATCGTTGAGCTTGAGGGTCTCGGCCTGTTTGTGCAGTGCATCGATGACTTCGGCGTAGCTTTTAAGTTCATCAGCAACATCCTTGTGCTTCTTGAGCAGCGATTGGACATTGGCCTCGTCTCGACCCACATCCTCGCTGGAAACAATGCGTAGCGTGTCCAGCATCCAGTTGTCCACATCATCCGCATCAGCAAACAATTGGAAGTACTCGACTGCATTTTCCAAACGCTGTCTGCGATATTTGGTCAAGTCGAGCAAGTGATCCCACTTGGAGAGAATCTCCTTCAAGCGATCCTTGATGCGCTCCGCTCCAAAGTGGCCCTCAGTGATGAGCTCAGCACCAACCTTAGCAACGTTCTGCAGCTGAGGATCGTGAGATGTGATTTCAGACTCCAGCGCCTTGTGTTTGCTCAACAGCAAATTAACTGTGGTGAGGTCATGACCGATCTCATCCGTAGACACAATCTGCTCTTTCTCCTTGATCCAGTTCTCCTCGTCAGCAGTGTCCCAGTAGAACTGCCACAGTTTGCGGCTCTCTTCCAGGCGACTGCGGCGTTCGACGGCCAAGCGGACCAGCTCTGCATACGCATCCTCCAATTGTTGGACGCGGCTGACAATAATTTCGGGATCACAGGGCTTGTAAGATTCGGGGTCGTCGCTAAGGAACTTCTGCGAGTTTTGTACAACGACCTTTACGCGCTCACCCAGTATGTTAATATCGGCCTCCACTAGCGAGTGTTTCTGGAGCAGATCCTCAACACCCATCAAGTGCTTGCCATAGTCGTCTGTCATCAGCAGCTGTTTGATCTCCTCCATGTTGTCCAATATATAGAGCATTTCCTGGAAGTTCTGCTGCAGCTGCATCGAGATTTCCAAGCGCATGCGGCGGGCACGCAAGAGCTCCAGCAAGTATGTCCACAAACGCATAACGTTGTCCTTGCGTAGCAATATGCGCTTTACATCATGATAGCGCTCTGACTCCAGTTCATCGCAAACGGCCACAACGGCCAGTACGCGCTCCTCGTATGCAAATATATCGGTTTCGATGGCTTCGTGCTTTTTAGCAGCTGCCTCAACGGCAGCCAGATCAAAGCCAAAGTTATCCTGACTGACCAGGCGCTGGTTCTCCGACAGCCAAGTCTCGCGCATAGATGCCTTGCGATCGAAACGAGCGGCCAATTGCTCAAGCTTCTCCTGCCGAATAAGCTCTTCGCGCAGCGCCAGTTCCCGCTCATGCTCCGCTTTCTCCAGTCGCTCCCAGGCTTTGTTGATGTCGGAAATCATTTTGCCCTCTTTAGGTGTATACGGCTTTTGGTTGTTAGCGCGCATTTTCGACTGCAGCGTAAAGAGCAAAACCTCCAGGTTGCCCTTCTCGACAAATTTGGGAGGCTTTTCGATGGTGCGATAGTTTGAAAACTGAGCGAGTTGGCCCTGAACGCCAGCCAGGGAGTTCTCGAACTCACGCTCGCCCAACGACTGTATGGTAGTTTCGATCCACTTGAGCAGGTCACTGGTGAAGTGCTCGTAGTCATGAATCATCTTGTCGTTCTCCATTGCAATGCCCACAACCTTGCCAATGCGCTTACCCTGCACAGTCTCTTGTTTCAGCTTGCTGAAGTAATGATAATATGTAACCACGTACGTGATGATGGACTTCTCGTCGGGATGCTCGACAAACACATCCTCGGCATCGAGCAGCTTGGCCAGCCCCAATTTGTCCTCCGCCACGTCAAATGCATTGTTAAGGTTGTGAATGGCGTTTGTCTTGGACAATTTCTCAAATTGCACTAGGTCTGGACGGTGTTTGTGTATGATGGCGTTGAAGGCAAGGCCGTCGCGCCACGATGTAGTAAAGTTCCTTACGTTAACATTGTGATAGCCAGCGGTCTTCATCTGGCACCACAGCAGCAAAGCATCCTTGGCGGACTTCGTTTCCTTGTTATCGACCTCCTCAATTGTAATATCTTGAATCTAAGCGGTAAAATTATATGTTAAGGGAGTTAAAGAGAATGTAGATATGTTTTAGACTAGTCACTATAATCGTAGAGTCTTAGCAATACAATGTTAACAATCCAAATGGTTTTCAATAATGGTATGATGCAATGATCCGAAGCTCTAATTAGACAACATAACTCACCTGGAAACGCAAAATAATGGTCCAAATGAGGCCCAAGTTAAGTGATGCATTTCCATCGACAATATCGTGGGAGCCAATATTCTCAAGATGGACACGCTGCTCGCGAAGGAACTGCAGTGCTTTGTCGACATTCTCTAGGCAGTGAATTCGCATTTTACCCTTGGTCGGCTTCGGCAATCGTTCGCCGGAAAGGACCTCAAGTAATTTGATTAAATGTTTGCCATCTCGCATATCCACATAGAGATCTGAGATGCGGCAGTTAACCCGACATAGATGCGAGTTGACCCATTTGGTGAAGGTCTTCTTCTGGACACTCTCACGCTCCTCGGCTAGCGCCTTGATACGGGAACGCTCGAACAGGCGTGAACTGGAGTTGCCGCCATCGTATTCGTATTCGTCGATATATTCGTTGCCTGGACCCTGACTAGGGTCCCATCGAACAATTGAAATGTCCGTCGTCATTGTTGTTGTTTGTCAAAATTATCCACAGTATGCGCACTTAATTCAATTTTGGTCTGTTTTCTCTATTTCCTTGTTCACCCGAAATTCGTTTAAAGAATTACTGCAAAGAAACAGCCAAAGCCAATAAAAAATAAACAAAAAATTAATATTACAAGTGCAGCAAGCTTCAAATGAATGTACATAAGCATATAGAATTGCAAAAATTGTATATGTACACATATGTATGTATGTACGTACATATGAACTTATGTATGTATATAGGCCCCACCCGTACTAGCTAGCTATTCCACTCTCCTCCCCGCCACTCAATTTCAGCCCAGTCCATTATATATTATTATGGTCTGGTGTGAATCATAAGACATGTCTGGCGTCACACTTTCTTCATACCATATACAAATTGATATACATTTGTATGTATGTATGTACATATGTCTGCTTGTGTGTGAGTGCAGGGAAAATATAATTATGTCTTTGACATGTCGGCGTGGGGTCAAGCGAAGCCCGATCGTGGCTTGAGCGTGTGATGACATTATTTGAAATGAACGCATTTCTACATATACATATGTATATGTATGTATGTACTACAACTATAGTTAATATGATTACGTCACGCCTACAGAAATTGAAGGCGCTGAAGCGAGGGTTGGGTATATTTTTTTTGTTGTTTTTATATGTACATACATATGTGTGCTTTATGCGAACAAATTTAAATGGCATACCTATTGTATGTATGAGTATGTATGTATGTATAATGCATACAAGCTGACGAACCGTCAAATTACAGGAAATTCAATTCAGAAACCATTGGAATGACCGAAATACCGTTTAAAAATTAGTGAGCACTTTTGTATGGCAACGTATGCCATTTGAATCGGTAAATCGAATACATACATACATATGTATGTGTATTATAAGGTCAACTTTAAGTGCATTAAAAAGATACTTTATCGTGCAGGTAACTTTGTTTGCATATTCAATGAGGCAAACATGCACATACTATACATACATATGTATGTATTTATGTACATACATACATATGTGTACATGTAATTTTCTCTATTTGTTTACACAAATCACTCCACACAATGCAGTTAGCTGCTTTCAATTCACCTCAGCTTTTTTGGCCAATCAAAATTACTGTTTGTGTTCTCAATGAGCTCATTTTACTACATACCCTCATATATACATACATATGTATATATATGTACATACATATGTATGTACATATGTGTGTGCCTAGCTTGCGAATGTGAAACTAACTAATTTTTAGAACAGCACGTCCAACCGCAATAACAATAAACAATACAAACACTAACACATACTCAACGCATGTATAGTCAGAGTGTCATTAAAAAAGAGAAGAAAATGAATTGGCATAGGTTAAAAATTTAGCACAAACGCAGACACAGTTCGTTTCTATTATCTATTACGTAATATTTTTTATTATTAAAACGAAGCTTAAAAACTGGGCGAAACATGAGAGAGCCAAAACCCAGGCAACAACAACAGCAACGCCAACAGTGAGAACAAAATACGCACGCACACAAAAGAGAGTGTAGAGTAATACTGGAGAGTATCTGAGCTAATAATGTGTGTGCTCGCTTTGGGGCGGCGCAAGCATCAAAAAGGGTAGTTTTGAACTCTGCATCACTTTTTCTTTTAGATATGTACATATGTACATACATAGGTACGTGCACACATGTAAAAAGATAAATACACACACTGCATACATACATACATATGTTTGTATGCACATGATCTTGGGGTCAACTTCAATTTCATGCTGGCTCGTCTCAAATGGGAGAAAAAAGAAAATTAACTTCATTTCATGGCAGTGGATGGGTGGGTGGAGCAACCGGAGTTGTGCAATTCTGTTAATTAAAGACACATACACACACATACGTACAAGCGGTGTTTATTGTTGTTATTAGTTTAATTCGCGGTTAAAAATACATACATACATATAAAAACCAGTTTTAGCATGGGCTGCCCAACTTTGATGAAAGCAACTTAAGTAGTCAAAGCCAATGTTTTCGTTTACATTTAGCTCATTTTTCATTTTCAACTGTCGGCCGCACTGTTTGGGGCCGCCACAGCGCACAAACATACAAGCACATGCACATACATACATACATATGCACAAACATATATGCACGTATATTTATGTGTGCGTAAATATTATGCGGCTTTTGTATACCTTTATGTATTTACATTTGATAGCGAAGCCGTTGATTACGTTATTGTAATAAACAAGGTTTGCTTCACTTGTTCAAACACATGCATACAATACATACACTTTTTCATATACACGTATATGTATGTACATATGTGTGAGTTACAAGTGTTTATTATGCGTAGAAGCAAAGCAACTTCAATTCAACTCGTGACCTCTTGGAAGGATTTCCTATTTTTACATGCACATATACACATACATCTGTACACAAAATATGTATGTGTGCGCGCTTTTAAGGTGCGTTTGCTGGGCGCGTGTATTTGTGCACGTAACTGTATGTTTGTACAAACATATGTATGTGTGATGATTGCGTTCTCAAAGATACGACGATTGATATGATTACAATAAAATGAAAATATATGTATATTTGTGTGTGTTTTTGCTGCTGGATTTGTCACTCGATGGTGACGATGGATAAAAGTTACCAAAGTTGAATTCTTCACTGGCTTTGACAAACGTTATACACTGATTCTCGCATTTTGTTTTGGTTTATTTTTGTTTACATATATGTACGTTCGTTGAATGGATGAGAATGTAATTCGTAATCGCACTGTACTAATTCCGTTTCTGTTATTATATTTTAAGTTTTTTTTAGTTCGAACGGCATTCGTTCAATTCGATTAGAGCAGTAACAGCGTAATGAGCACATCACATCCACTTCGAGTTCGAGTGCGGTGTGGTGCGCACGCTCTCACGGACACAAATACAACCACAGATACAAGCACAGACACGACACAGCGCACAGAGACTGAGCTGAATGATGTCATCAACGCCGCCACCGCTGCCGCTATTTTGGCCGCGGCCGCGATAGTCAAGCAGTAGTCAGGCAGGCAGGCAATTTTAATCGATGATGTTTTTAACTATGTGTGCGTATACATATTTATATGTATATATTTATATATATTGCATATCTGCGAGATAATTAATCACTTGGAAACACCTAAAGGGTAGGTAGCACTAGCACTGCAACGAACGATCAACTGATTGGCCCACTTTTGGCTTAAGATACTTTTGATGGCTGCTTTGAATTACATGGCTGGGCGTTGGTCTATAATCCCGACGTTGAATTTTTTATTTGCCGCTTTTCCGGTGAGAATTTTAACATGCACTTACCTACTCGACAATTTAGCTGTTCAGTTTTCCCTAATTGATTCATAAAATACACAATTTTCATATAATTTTCGCATTTAATTAATATTACTTCGCTTATTCTTGCGGATGAACTTCACTTGCGAGTAAAAAAAAAGAGTGACTGCTGAATCTGAATGGAAAATGTATGTATCAGTCAAAACATCGGAGAGAAATCGCTGCTGCCAACTCGATGCGAAAGTCGCAAGCTGACAACCTATGCATTATTTGAACAATATTTATCGACATATTTCGCGTTGCATACCTTTCAATTCGATTAATTCTCGAGTTGAACACCAGCTCTTAGCCCTGATTGTAGTGCCGTCTGCCACTGCTGCTTCGGCAGAATTAAACAAAAAAGGAGATTTCGTGTGTTTTTTTACGGCTATTAAACTGTATCTGCTCAATTACATTGTAACGCAAATGAAATACACCTGTCAGGCTTTTGTAATGCACACACTAGCCTGACTAATCCAGCCTTTGTTTTTTACATAGGCAGAAAACAAAAACGCAAACAGAAACTTATCGAAAAATAAGTGAGAGAAGTTCGTGGGCGCTGAAGATGCCGGTCAAGATGTGCGATGTGACGGCTCGCGTCTTTGCAGCCATGCAGAATCTGGACATAACATCGCTGGCCGGTTATCCACAGGCGGAGATTCGGCCAGTGCTGCCATCGTTAGTGCGCATGAGTCTGTTGTCGCCGCTGGATAACACCGAGTCGTCCATGGAGTCGCGCAAACAGATCCTGGCCGTGCTCATTGGCATTGAAGTTGTGAACAGCATTGTATCGTACCTGCAGGTCAACTACCATGAGCTCGAGAATGAGTTGAAGAAGGAGCTGCAAACACGCCTAAAAACTGTGTTTTTTGAAGGCCAACACGACTATGGCCTGCAGACAGGAATAGCGCTGGGTTTTGAACGGGCCGATGTGGCACGCAAGGTGCGCGTCGTATTATCCGAAATATTCAATCTCCAGCAACAGGTGTCGGAGCAAAAGCCTGCTGTGCACTCAGAAATACTTGACGATGGTATATATTTAGAGGAAGTCGTAGACATCCTTTGTATTGCACTGGCAGAGTTGCCTTCGTTGTTAAATATACTCGAATTAACTGATGCATTGATGCATGTGCCGACTGGACATCGCATCGTATGTGCATTGGTTGCAAATTTTCCCGATTGCTATCGCGATGTAGTCTCTCATGTTATTGCCAACTGCGACGAGGAGGGCGTTGATGGCAAGCACAGACTGTTGCTGCTGATGGCTCTTAGCGAAATGAATCCCACCCAAGCCCTTGCCAACCGTTCAATGTGCGTTGACATGCTTAAAGTGCCTTCCTTTATGTTGAAGCTTACTCTAAAGCATCCCGAGGATTTGGTAAGTCTTTGACAATCTCTTACTCTTATACTTTAATTAATCCATTCTTCACCTTTAGACTGCATTTTTGACTGGACTTTTGCTGGGCAATGATCAGAATCTACGTTCTTGGTTCGCCCTGTATATTCGGTCTAGTCAAAAGCGAAAAGGCGATGCACTTAATCTGGTGCGTGTAGAGCTACTCCAGAAGATTTTACATATCACGAGCAATGCTGCTGAGATCAAAGATTTCAATTTGCAGGGTGCTGTGCTGCTGCGTCTCTATTGTGCACTACGTGGAATTGGAGGTCTTAAGTAAGTGTCACATTGATTTACACGATATAAGGTATATCTAATGTCCTCGTCTAATGTTGACAGATTCAACGATGATGAAATTAACGCATTGTCCCAGCTGGTGACAAGCTGCCCACAGGCCACCCCTTCAGGCGTGCGTTTTGTGACACTGGCTCTGTGCATGCTCATTGCCTGTCCATCGCTGGTATCAACAATACCACTAGAAAACAAGGCCATCGAATGGCTGCAGTGGCTTATTAAAGAGGATGCCTTTTTCTGTAAGCGTTCTGCCACGAGTAGTTCTCTAGGCGAGATGCTGCTTCTACTCGCGATTCACTTTCACAGCAACCAAATAACGGCCATCAGTGAAATGGTGTGCTCCACACTGGCCATGAAGATACCCATAAGACCTAATAGCACTAATCGCATAAAACAGCTATTTACACAAGACCTCTTCACCGAACAGGTGGTTGCCTCACATGCAGTGCGTGTGCCAGTTACACCCAACTTGAATGGAACCGTGCCGGGCTACCTCCCGGTGCATTGTATCCACCAGCTGCTAAAGTCAAGAACGTTTCTGAAGCACAAGGTGACTATCAAGTCGTGGATATTTAAGCAAATATGCAGCTCCGTACGACCAGTACATCCAGTTATGCCCGCACTTGTTGAGGTCTTTGTCAATACTCTTATAATACCAAATCCCACAGGCAAAGTCAACATAGACCACATGCATCGGCCTTTTACAGAAGCCGAAATTCTTCATGTCTTTCGTACATCACAGCTTACCTTCATTACTGAAGAGTTCCCCCTGCCAGAGGGCGATGAGCTTGCTCAGGTCGAGGTTAGCTGTCCACTGACAGCACAGTTACTCATGATCTATTACCTTATGTTGTATGAGGATACGAGACTGATGAACCTCAGTGCTCTGGGAGGTCGCAAGCAGAAGGAGTACACAAACAACTTCCTTGGAGGCTTGCCCTTAAAATACCTATTGCAGAAGGCTCATCAATACCACAATGATTATTTGTCGTTGTTCCATCCGCTGTTACGACTTATTATATCTAATTATCCTCATCTGAGCATGGTGGATGACTGGCTGGAGGAGCACTACAGCTTAAGCAGTGCAAGTGAGGCGAGTAAAGCTTATGAGGTTAAGAAGGAACTCCTTAGCCAAGCACTGGATATGCTTAAAACAAAACCCCACCTAGCTATAAGAGTGTTTAAGCGACTTCTTCAGCTGCCACCCGAATCGTTGGCCCAATACGCACAACTGTTGGTAAACCACATGCCAGATGTGTTTGAGAAATCTGTGCCGAGGTATATTAAAGATCTCTACAACGACTTGTGGCTGCGGTTGAATGCTGTGCTGCCGACAACGTTTTGGGTTTTGTCCCTGAAAGCAATCACAAGTACTAAGGATTCGATCAGCCGAAAAACCTTTGTCAACGAAAGTCTGTTAGAGCCTATGGAAGTTTTAGGGTAAGTCGTTCAACACTTACACCCATTATGTTTTTTCTTACATAACTCATGTTTAAAACCCGTATTTTCTTCATTTCTAGGTGTCCCAGACATGTCTTCTGCTCGCCATATATGCTTGTGATACTGTTACGCATATTGAAAGGAAGCCTAGCGGCATCCAAGACATACCTCAATGTTCACATGCAACAGAAGCAGGTGCTCGACAAAAACGGACTTGTGCAAACGGATGCGGATCGAGAGGAACTAAAAACCACGTTGATTGCCTCACAGGAGAGCGCTGCTGTGCATATTCTGCTCGAAGTGCTCGAGTATATGGCGAATAAAGCAAATACCCGAGTTGCCAAATTGGAGTTGCGGGAAATACAGGGCATTATTGGTACCTATGTGCACCAGGTATTTATCTCGGAGCCATCGCTGGCCAAGCTGGTGCACTTCCAGACTTATCCAAAGTCCATAATACCAATGATTGTGGCGAGTGTGCCTTCAATGCATATTTGTATTGATTTTGTGCACGAATTTCTGAATGTAACTGAAATGGATAAGCAAATCTTCACGATAGAACTAACCTCACATTTGGTGCTTAATTATTCAATACCGAAGAGTCTCGGAGTTTCCAAGTTCTGCATAAATGTAATTCAAACCACACTCTCGCTGCTAACGTCATCCGCCAAATGCAAATTCTTGAGAAACGTGCTGCCTGCTATTGTGCGCTTTGCCGAAACATTTCCCATTCTTGCCGATGATTGTGTAAACATTTTAATGAACACCGGTCGTAGCTTACATTCGCAATCCTCGTTGGGCGTAACAACTATGCAAATGCCGTTGACGGAGAGTGCGAAGCTGTGCTCGTATCGTGACGCCCAGTGGCATATCATTATGATTGAAGATGCTTTCAAAGCACTTGTATCTGCTGTTTTGCAAAAGGCTGAATTATATTAATGTTTATGCAGGAGAGATGTAAATGTAAATTTGAGATATGGGTGAATGCGATCATATGGCCTGTAAGATTTCCTCTGTTGTACATAGGGAAGAACTAAATAATGATGATATGATATAAGTGCGTAGTATTTGTACAATATATTAAATTCGAATTAAATACACATATGTACATATAAGATAACTTGACCAATAAAAAACCGTTTCTAAGTTCATACGATATGTGTATGTACATATGTTTGTAAGTGCTGTGCTACTTGTGGTCGATTAAATATAGATAAAAGGCGATAAAAATAAAATGGAACTTTAAGTATTTGCGTATAATTGTTTTTTATATCTATTAATTTTAACTTTTCCTGTTTTGCTAAAAATTGTCTAATTGTTCATTAACCTAAATTTTTAACGGGTTTCCAAAAAAGCTTTTAAAAGTACTTGGTTCGCAACATTAGTCGATAGACCGCTCGACATTTAACCCGATGCTATGGTGTTTAGATATCGATAACATCGATGCATCGATGTACTTCTTACATCCCTGTCTGCCAAGTCGTTGGGTGCATTTTGTTTTTAGTGATAGTTTTTGTAAAGTTATTGAAGCACGGATGATGAACATAGTTTCATTTATTCAATATTAATATAAAGCAATAATCAAACGCATTGAAGCTGTGCAATATTTGTGAGTAAATATTCAAGTGTTTAATACAGAACTACTAAACAGGAAAAGCAAATCGCTGTTTACGCCTAAAATTTTTCACTTGCGTCGGAAGTTTTTTTTATGTTTTACGATGCTGATTCGTAATTGTCTTCTTGTGTATGTCGGGTCGCTCTCGCTTATTCGCTCTCTCTCTGGCAGCCTCTGTGCCCGTGGGTCTTGATGTTTTTGAGTGTTTGTGTATGTGTGTTGATACAGACTGGTAGCTTGTTGGAAAATAATTAAAGCAAACTCCAATTTGTTGCACATTTCACATTGTGGTTAATCTATTAAAAAAAGTTGCCTACATCCATATGCCATTTAATTTACTTTAAAATGTCCCAGTAAAAGATTGGTACATAGTATGTATGTATGGGCTTTGTGTTTCAAAATACGATGCACAACATACATATGTATGTATGATGTATGTACATATAATCTCTACATTAAATTGGTCTTGGTCGCGGTTTTGCTGTAGAGACAGAAGCAATATTACAATAAAGTCAAATTACAACAATATTGCTGTAGAAGAGGCTGCCTAGCATCCATGATAGTAAGTCGAGATAAAAAATCAAAATCGGTCCAAACGACCGACTTCAGCTGAAAACTCAGGTCGTTTCTTCTTTGCTCGGTCGCTTCTTTGTGCGCAAGTGCAGGTAATCCGGTACGCAGTTGCTGATATGTGCGCCGGAGAGAGAGCTAGTTGCAGAAGCAACGGTTCTGGTCGTGTCGGCAACAATCTGACTTGATTTTGTCTGGCAGCTGCAGCTCAATGAAATCTCATGTAAACTATGGTCGAAGTCGGAGTCCGAACAGTAGCGATTCCCAGCTGGAGGCCGCTACAAACACCTCTCCCCTAAATGTAAAGCTCCCTTTTAACCAATTTTTTACGAACACAATCAGGAAAACGTACACCAAATGTACATCTGTATGTATGTATGTATATATTTGTATTTATGTATCTACGTACATATGTATATATGTGGGGTAATTTGGACAAGGGTCGGTGTTGCAGTCGTCACTCGTCTCGTTATCATAGTTATTGCTATTGTTGTAAAATGCAGCCCGGGAATGTAGTACATACATACGGGAAATCTGTTGCTGGAACACATGTCTGATTCTGCGTGTTGCAGGCTGCAGCTAGTCGTACACACATACACACCCATACACACAACCACACGTGTTTCGAAAATGGATGCATGTATGCATGTTTTTTTTTGTGCAATTCTTTTATAGCCGGAAAAACTCAATTAAACTTTAAGTGTTGCTTTATTGAAGTACACACCCACAACAACCACACACACGCACTGTCACATTCAAACAAACCCACACATATGTGTATGCGCTAGTAGGACTTTTTTTTTTCATTCACGACCAAAATTATGCTCCAAGAAGAGAGCAAGCTGCAAATAGACAAAAGAGCAAAATAATAACAACAACAGCAGACCAGCAACAGCAACAAAAATGCACCGTCAAGTTACATTGCCACCAGCAAGCGCCACCAACACCCACCCACATAATAGAATCGCTCTCTTGCGCCCCGACTCTGCACCTCTCTCGCTTTCTCTCTATCTCTCCTTTCTAACTGCGTCCGAGTTACTGCGCTGAATGAGAATGCCGTTGTTTCTATCGTGTCGCCATCCTCCACTGTGCCTTTGAAGCTAGCAAAAGGACTGTTGCAGATATTTTATTTAAAAATGTTGTAATAGTAAGGTATCGCATTCATTTAAATTGCTTTTAATAGCCCCCAACGTTCCGCTCAAGTGCACGAAGACAATAAACCAGGAACTCATTCCAAATCATGGCGATTCTATAGGAGTAAGAAAACTTTTATAGTCCGCATCCTGCAAGAAGGAGACAAAAAAAAAAAAAAAATGATGTCCGACAGACGTGCGGAAATTTATATTGCTTGCGCCGGCCAACTGAAGGCAACGGCAACTTTTGTCCGAGTAGCGCAGTACACGCTCTCCCGATATGTTGGTTGCTGTATTCATTCGTGGATGTATCCGTGCTCCAACATAGCTGTGTAGTTGTTTTTGTAGCTGTTGCCGTTGCCTTATCGAGTGTATCTTTTGCTGTGCTCGGGGGAAAAATTCGATATCTTCGCACTAGTTATTTACAGAATTTACACAAAAATTGTACTAACATTTACATGGTCTGTGGTCGTCTTCTTTGTCTTCTTTTGGGTCTGAATCGTAAAGGTGCGTCAAGATGCGTCAATTCAACATTTCGGTCATTGGACTATCCGGGACCGAAAAGGACCGCGGCCAAGTCGGTGTCGGAAAGTCATGCTTGTGCAACAGATTTATGCGGCCCATGGCAGACGATTACTTCATTGATCACATATCAGTGCTTAGCCAGAGCGACTTCAGCGGTCGCATTGTGAATAATGACCATTTTCTGTACTGGGGCGAGGTGCGTAAGACGACCGACGAGGGCGTTGAGTATAACTTCAACATTATCGAGCAGACAGAGTTCATGGACGATTCCACATTCCAAGCGTTTAAGGTGGGTAAAATGGATCCATATCTGAAGCGATGTACCGCCACAAAGGTCTTCTCAGCGGAGAAACTTATGTACATATGTAAGAACCAACTGGGCATCGAGAAGGAGTACGAACAAAAGGTAATGCCGGACGGCCGGCTTAGTATCGACGGGTTTGTGGTTGTCTTCGATGTCAGTCCAGTGCCAAATCGCAGCGTCGAAAAGCAGGTGGAGTTCGTTCAGAATGCCATTGCCCACATATTAAAAAATAAAAAACCACTGGTCCTTGTGACGACTAAAAATGACGATGCGCACGAGTTGTATGTGCGCGAAGCCGAAAAGATTAGTCAGCGCAAGGATTATAAGAGTACGGTGCAGTTGATAGAGACATCGGCACACGAATCGATCAACATTGATCTGGCATTTCTCATGCTTGCACAAATGATAGACAAGGTTAAGAACCGGGTCAAGATCATATCATATCAGGAGTCTGCCAAATCGCGCAAAGAGCTATTGGATACACGCTCTGAGGCGGTCACAAGACTCATTCGAACTCAAATCACAGACTATCACATATTGTGGTCGCAGGGCTCGAAAATGCTATCGCAGTATCGTGAATGGAATGAGTTCTTGAACATTTTCGGACATGAAGCCGGTCAGAAGCTATTTCGTCGCCACATGAAAAAGTTACGCGACGATCATCTCAACAAAAAACTACACCAATACTTGGACAAGTTCGCATTAGCACTCGAGTATTTGCTGCCAGATATTAATGCGCTCAATCTCAGTGAAGATGATGCCTGGGATTGTGCCCGCAATTATCTGCAGAATCACGTTGAGTTCGAACAGTATTTCTTTGAGTGTCCCCAGGCCTCTTGGACCGAGCTGGTGGATATGGAAGAGACTGAAGATGAGGCGCGCATACCTTTCGATGTGCTTGAAACCTCGGAGGCCGAAACAGTATTCCGAAACTATTTAAACTCTGTGCAACAGGATAAGAAAAAAATTGGGTGAGTTTCTTTCTAAATTCCTTCGGCTGTTCTTAAAAGCCGTTTTTCATGATTAGTGATTTTTGTTTTTAATATTAAATGCCTGCTTTTCACAGCTGGAAGCAACAATTCAAGATGCTTCTGGAGGAGTCAGGCTTTGTGACGCCCGGTAAGCAATTGTCCGAAGTTCGAGTGCTCTTCATGGGCCGTGAATGCTTTGAGGCTTTGTCCGAACACGATTGTCAGCAAATCTACGACATACATCAGGACGAGATCATTGAGAAGAGCAAACAGAATTTCGTGGAGCTGTTGTTGGAGCATGCCCAATACTTTTTGCAGTTTAAAAATGTCGACATTATCACGCAAGAGGATGTCAAACAAATAACAGACGTCATTCAAGAAGACTCGAGGTAACCTTCATCATCTCGAGAAAACATTATATATGCTTTATTATTGTATTTCTATTGCTCCTTTTTCCATGGTAGATATAAAATGCTGGATCGCTTGGACCAGGAGCGACGTGTTATGCTCTTTCAGCATTTGCGATTCATACACTGCCCCATACGCGATCATTGCCCGTTCTTTAGCAATTGTGTTGACAACCTGATCGAGGAGGTGCTCTCGGACAAGTCAAGCAATCACAAATCATCCGGCTGGAAAACCGCCGGCAACGGCACAGACCGCACACTCAATCTGCTCATAGTTGGCTCGGAGCACTTGGCAAGCGATTTGCTCAACGATATTCGCATTTGCACCGGCAGCAAGGGGGAGTACATATATGAAAATCAAACGTATTATCTTAACTATCGCATTGCTAACGGTGATATGGAAGCATTCAAGGCAATCGATGTCTACTCGAGCGGTAAGTTAACCTTCAGACTGTTCGCTTGCTTGATGAACCATTAATTAATAATTAAATGTGTATATGTACTTGGCTATCGGTTTGGCAGGCCTAATTTGCGTCTATTCGAACCAGCAATCGTTTGAAACGCTTAAAGACAATCTCGAGCGGACATTACTTTGCAATCTTGAGCTCGAGGACAAGTTTGAGAATCTCCCAATTGTACTGGTATATCAGCCGCAGGATTTGAAAGAGAATGAAGTGGACTATCTGCGAAGCGAAGGGATGCGCTTGTCTGAAATGCTGCACTGCGACTTCATCGATCACACACAGAATCATCAGAAGTATGTTTACGACATACTTAACATTGTAATACTCTCGCTCAGGCTAACCGAAATGAAGACCTATGAGCCATACCCTTCGAACCACACTGATCTACGCATACTTGTCGGTATCTTCTGTGGCGACCAGTACGACATTGAGAACATTGTCCAGCCGCTGATCGCCGAATCAACGCTGTGCAAGGCCAATGAGCACAGCATCATAGTTGATGTATTCATCGGGGATGCGAAGCGTCGTGTCGAATTCATATTGTCATCGTATCATGGCACCAATCAGTATCGGGATGAACTCATACACGGATACATTTATTTCTATTCAGCCAAACGTCGTTCGTCCCTCGCCAATCTCAAGTATGCACTATAGATCATTTAATCTGGCTTAGCTAAATCCCATCAATCCGAATCTTATTTACAGCATATTGGCTGCGCAAAACTCCAACATTCCATTGCAGATGATTGCGGTCACAGAGAGCGGAGGCGTTAATGCATTTTTCAATAGCGAAATCTGCCAATATCTTATAACCGAAGGCAATGCGCTAGCAGATCGTTTCAAGGGCAGTTTCATGACATTTTCAGCCGATCAATATGTTAAGTGTATGTTGAGCTCCTTTTCCCCACCCTTTACTAACCTTCAAGAAGTTATATGATATTTAAAATTGATTGGTTTATTGTTTTTCAGTTGCATTTTATAATCCATTCCTTAAAACTGCCTGGGACAACAAGTATGAAGTAGAAAATCTGCATGTCGAGGAGTCAATTACTTTAGATTCGGGCGAGGGTACTCTGGAGAACTCGGTCAATCAGTTGCCGCGTCCACCACCACGTCACGAGAGCTACTTGCTATCCAATACTCTGGGCACCGACGGTTCTGGCAGTGAAAATTACGAAATGCTTCCTACACGATCTTTGAATTCATTAAATGGTAAAAATTTTAAAGAAAAATAGTATATATAATGATAATATAATGGATAGATAATTTGTAAACTGGGGCTTAACTGGGGTCTGGGCTCTGAATACCGTTAACATTAGAATCGTATCTATGTATAATTGGTTCATGATCTCTCTTTTAATCCACAGAAGAAAGAGATATATCATTAGATGAAATCTATGATGACAACAACGAAAAACCAAAACACCTGCATCAAAGTAAGTCTCATTTGCCATCCTTTTGTTAAATCAAGATACAAACAGTATAGCCATATTACATACATAAGTCCATCAATATTGAGAGCGAATAAGCCCATGAGGTTGACCAATGCTCAATTTCGGATAACACGCCCACATACATACAAAGACCATACAAACAAAGAAACATTTGTATATGTGATTATTCAACATTATAATGCGTACATAAGCATTTCCTTATACATATACATAATACCAATAATACATATTAATTAGTATTATTATGCCATAAATATTTTACAATGATTATTATTAACGATTAACCATAACAATTTCTTAACGATTTATCTCTGTGTGTGTATTTGTTGTTGTCATTGCCTTTTGCTAAAAATAATAATAACATACCATACCAAACGACAAACTTAATACTAAACAAACAAAAAAAAAAACAAAAAAGGATTCCAGATATTCCCTCCTCCAACAACTCCTCCAGAGCCAGCCCCTCCAGATCATCAGCTCATTACATGCACATATAAGAGTCAATTCGTTTCGGCTTCAGAATCAAGTTTGGAAGAGATAACATGTAATCTATCTATTTGATTATTTTCTATAACATAAATCCCTAGTCATAATAATTTGAATTCAAGTTTTATGTTCAAAAGAATGTTTTTTGTTATCATTATTCCTACTTATTATGATTTCGTTATTATATATTCAGACATTCGTTTACAATACTTTTTTGATTCGTTTGCCATTTTGTTGTATTTTTGATATTAAGTAGTCACATTCTTGCTATATATTTAATACCCTGTACTGCATATGTACATACTTGTATAAAAAACATTCATATACAAACATATGTATCGGATTTCGCAACTTGTTTTGGACATTTTTGGTTGTGTATATATGCAATGCTTAATCAATTTCGTTATTGGTTGGTTAGTTGATTCGCTTTGTTTTTTCAACAACTTATTTCTCTAGAGATTTTCGAAGCGTGCCGCCGAGTCATACAAGTTTTACGTATTTTATTTGATATTTTTCTCATGCATTTCATAAGCAGCGGATGTCAGCGGGTCTAAGGATTCATTGGCCACCCATGATGCAGGTTATACTTGTGTTCCAATTATATCTCTACCTATCTAATTTAAGTGATATATGTGTACATTTTTGCAATGCATATGTAGAATATAGAGACAGACATGCACACACACAAACACTGAAACTCACACACTCACGCACACTCACTAGATGATCATTCACATTAGGAATTTCACGCCCCATAGCCACTACTACCCAGCATCCAATACTCGTACATTATAATTAATGTATGCCTTGTCCCTGCTTGCGCTACACTTTTCGAGGCTTGTTGTTGTCGCAACGCAGTTATCATTAAATTCATAGAATTACCCTATAGATGTTTCTATGTACATATATGAATAGTAAGCCCTACATACACACCCTTGCATACATAGCAATAATTGTGAGCCACAAATACTTTCAGAATGGTTAGAGGACAAAAGTGAAGGGCGTCGTAACATGAACAAGAATTCCATTTGGAACAACTTTAGCGGTTCGACACATGCCTACACCACAGGTCGCCGACACATTGACTCAAATCTAAATAAAATTCGTCCAAAGGGTCCGAGCCAGACATTAAAGGTAAATGCGTCGGCCCCTCTACCAATACGGAGCACACACATTTAAAAATTAAAATTTGGTGTTCCAGCAACCCGGCAAATTGAATATGAAAAATTTCCAATTGGTCAGCGATGCGGTGGCCAAAATGAATTTTGGTAGTGGCAGCATGGGTGAATCCTATTTGGCTCAATGTGATGCCAGCGACAAAGATGTCAAACGTTATGATCACGCACAACTCGATGGAGAAGATGAGGACTCCGAGGAACTGGCCGAATATGAGCAAATCTATGAAAACGAAGGTAAGTAGTGCCCGCGACATTATATTTAATGAAAAATTAAGAAAGGGAGCAACATAATAGAGAATGAAATTGCTCTCCTGTTAAAACTCCCCTTTCATTCATTTTCAAGTCATGGTCCAGTACAATTGTGTGTTTGCAAAGGTGTTCTGGTGTTCTGTTCTCCCATTGTTATCTGCTCTTATTTTTAAGATATACTAGTTCGTACATTGTCTATTGTCTATTTTTGTATTAATTCGTAAATCATGCGCCCTAGTTTGAGCATTGGTCTGCATTTCTGCAGTCTAGTCTTTAGTCAGTTAAGACTTTTTGAATAAGCAAATGTTAAACATTTTTCGCGTTGATTTTCTCATCCTGAACTAGACTGCACCGAGTCGGATAGCTGCGCCAGTTCGACAGAACGTCGGGTTCGACAACAGAATGCGTATTATAAGGCCAACAAGAAGGCGGCACCCACCAAGAAGAACAAGAAGAAAAAGGTTGCCATCCCGGTGCAAACGCCAAGAGTTCCACCATTTGGCGCCTATGTCAGTCCTCCGGAAATACCCTTGCATTATCAGCGAATGGCTGGTGCAGGTGAGAAAAGTATGTGTCGTTTTTTTCTCTTCAGTTTCCTTGGTTTTCTTCGACTCGTTTATTGCATGTACTTAGAGTGTCCATTATGAAATGGCACATATACAAAAAAAAAAAGCATCTTTCCATGTGTATTTACTTCTATGCTTTCCCTGTTTAGAAAAATCAGAGGCTGGTGTGTCCGATTTCATGAAAAACGACAAGTCTCCCGAGGTAAGTTGACATCTCAGCCCTATATGGCATGTTATTTAGCTAAACTCAAAATACTACTCAAGCAGTATTCAATGGTCCCCGAATTGGCTGCCACGAGCATATTTGTGCCGGAGAGCATGCCTGAGCTCAATATGAACGCCAAATGCTTAAAGGATTTGGAGAAATTGGAGAAGCGGCGCATCAAGGAGGAGACAGCTAGACTGCGAAAGCTGCAGGAGAAAGAGAAGGAGCAAGAAAAGAAGCTAAAACGCAAACTGAAACAGAATGCTAAGGGTCTCGCCGAGACAACCGAGGCGCAATTTGGCAAGCTTATGATCTCCTCAGATAAAGATGAAATACCCATATTTTTGATAAAGTGCGTTGAGTTCATTGAAAAGGAAGGCTTGGACTCCGAGGGTATATACCGAGTCCCAGGAAGCAGAGCGCATGTTGATATGTTGTTCCAACGATTTGAGGAGGGTAAGGAGCAGTTTCTTTATTATAGCAACTTTAATTAATCTAATTTTCCATAAATATTAACTATAAAAGCGATTTACAAATAAAAACAATACACATAATTTCTTTAAATTAACTTTAAAAAAAAAAATGAATATATAAATAACCCATACACATTTGATTAATTATGATTTAATTACTGAACTGACTAATATAATGTCAAGAATCATAGCCAATAGATTTATGTTATACTATTTGCATTTGTTTCAGACGTAAATACAATTATTGATGTGTTGGACATACCGGTTAATGCTGTGGCGACAGCACTCAAGGACTTCTTCTCAAAGCGTCTCCCGCCTCTGTTTAGCAAGGACATCATCAAGGAGCTGGAGGAGATTGCAGGTATCTACGGTCTATGTCTGATTGATTGCAGTTTTCAAATGTTACCCCTTTTTATGTACAGGCTCTCGAGGTGTGGGCTCTTCAAAGTTAAATGTGGAAGTCAAGACCGATCGGAGCTGCCGTTTAATAGCTTTAAAATCATTGCTACAGAAATTACCACCAATTAATTTTGCCATACTCAAATACATATTCCAGCATTTTGTGCAGTAAGTAACAGATACTTTATATATATATATTATAGATTTAACTGCAATATAAACTATACATCATGGTCGAGCAATGTTATAAGAGAAGATGAATTGCTATAAATATACTTGTAGTTATGTTGTCTTTGGATAGATTAAACATTGCATTTAGCTTATAGTTTTATTTCGTTCTGTCTCTATTAGGGTTGGGGGCAATCAGGAGAAAGGTTTTTCATTGATTAGAGTTGAAAAGTTGGCAAATGTTGAAAGAAATGGAAATTAATGATATGTTTGTAGGTCACGAAGGCGTTTTATTTTAGGCAGTTCTTGGCGGTCAAGGCTAAGGTTCTACTGCAACTTAATCGTAGTCTTAAACGGTACATTATAATTAGTTGCTATATAAAGTATATGGGAGATTTGGATTGCTCAGTTTAGACTTCATTATACATCTAAGTGATTTTGTGCTTTTATTCGATCCTTGTGTTCATAATGACTGTTTCTGCATTCAATATTTTACAGCGTCTCGGACAATTCGAAGTTGAATAGCATGGACAGCAAGAATCTGGCTATTTGCTGGTGGCCAACACTAATACCCATCGACTTCACCGACATGGGACATTTCGAGCAGCTGCGACCATATCTGGAGGACATTATACAAACTATGATCGATCAGTTCCCCTATCTGTTTTGTGGCAAAGATGCTTTTGTTATGGTTTAAGTGATGTTAGTGCAAGAAATTGCTTTTATAGGTGAAAAGATACATACATACATACATGTGACATACGCCTTTGTGTGTGTGTGCGCGTGTGTGTATGTGTGTGCGAATGCGAGTGGGTGTATGCGTTAAACTCGTTTTTGTTTCATTGAAAACGGGCAGGCAGTGGAAACAGAAACATAAATAGACTGGCAGCGAATAGCAGTTGTTGGCGTAAACATGAGAGGGGGGACGAGGGGCATTTGAGATGCAGGTGGAGCGGAGAGCATGGATCATATAGGATGTTGAAGGAAAGAAAGAAAGAAAGAACCCATCGATCGATTTATAGATCATTATAAACGCAAAAACGCTGAGCAAGAAAGTTTCGTAAATAAACATTTATAAGCGCGGCAGCAAGACGGCATATACTATATATAGTATACATATATGTATTGTGCATGTGCATATATGAATATATACATATATACATATATGTATTAATGTATATGAATATATGTGTGTGGCACGTGTGTAAAGTATTGACACTAGATAAATAGGGTATATTTATTTTTTTATATGTGTATATCGCGATATATCTATATATATATTTTGTATTAATGGCTTTGTTGTGTTTCAGTGATATATGTAAACGCATAGTGGTGTGTGTCGTCGTCGTCCTCGTCATAGTGTTGCATTGCACATTGTCAGACCCTGTCCCTACCCCAAACCTTCGACCCAAACCATTAGTCCTTTTAACACAAAACAAAAGGTAAAACGGGCCGCCAGCTCAAGGCATTTACATATATACACACATATGTATATTTATGTATGTATATATTTATATACATGTATATACATATATATATATATATACACATATGTATGTATATTTGTACAATGTACATTGCTGCCTTTGGCAAAGGTCTAGCAAGAGATGGCGTGCACAGAGTTATATAAATTAATTATGTATTGTATGTTATATTTAATGTTAAAACATAATGACTAAATTAAACAAAATGAAACGAAAAAAAAAAACAAACAAAAACAAAAAGAAGGAAAAGTCATGAGGCATCTTTAAACCTTTGAGCTACTAAATGTGCATCTGTGTGCGTCTGCGTGTTTTATGTGTATGTATGTAAAAGTAATTATATATATAATGTATGTCTATATATGTATGTAACTATACACAGCCGCAGCCATTGCATAAATATTTTAGATGGGTGCGGGCCTGTGTAGGCGGATCGGATCTGTGGAGCAAGGATTATCGCACACTTTGATATTTTCGTTCTTATTCAGCTATAATAAACTATGTAATGCATAAAAAAATATACATACAACAGCAACTTCTATATTATACTTATATTTTAACTATTACAATTCAAATGAAACAAAACAAAAAAACAAAATATACAACAACAAAAAAAGAGAAAACAGAAGAAACAAAACAAAAACGAAAAAATGTAGGCAACATAAGCGTAAGTGTTATTTCTTGTATTTGAACATTAATTTTTTAATGAACTTAACTAATTGTGTATTTTGTGTCTGAACGGACCTCAAACTTAAAGCAAAAGAAGTAAAAGAGAGAACGAACAAAAAACGCGAATGTTGCGAACTCTGCATGCAACAGAAAAAAAGAAGAAAAAAATAATAATATAACAAATAACCATATATAGCATAATTTGTATAGATATGTGTCTATTGCATTATTTGTATACATTTATTTATATACGCGTACTACCTAAAAATATGTATGTATGTATCAAAAAGTAATTGACGTGATGTGTAATGATATTTTTAAAAGCAAATTTTATGCCAATGCCAATACAGAGACATGTAATTGTAACTGAAACTGTAACGGTAACGGCAATTGGAACGGTAACTGCGCATTCACATTGCCGGCCAGCCATGTCCATGTCTGCTGTGCTGTACTGTGCTTTGTACCGCCAACAGCAAAACACCAACAATTCCACTCTCTCACACACACACAGACACAGCCCAGCCCCTCCCCACACATGAGCTGTAGCTGTACCGCCGCACCTTAAATGCCCTCGCCATTGCCATTGCTATTGCCATTGACAGTGACATTGACATTGACTTTGGCCAAAGGTCGTCTTCGGTCTTCGATATTGTCTTGCGACATCGTAACTATATACATATGTACTAATTGAACAGACAGAAAAGAATGCACGAGAGCAAATAAAAGTGGGCATTTTCCAAATATTTGTGAATCATTCCACTGTCGTTTTATTGCACTCCTGCGATTGCACTGGATGGGTGGGTCTACAAACCTTGGATCCTAGAAAGGATGATGCCGCCTTTGTGGAGTCGTTTCAGTCAAGGTAAAGCTAGGATTGAATTTTGATGTGCAGGTTTTTGTTTTCAGCTAAAATAAAAATGTAACTCATGTTTTTTCACAACATTTAAATTTTAAAACTGCAAAACAAACTTTAAAAAATTCTGTTTAGGCAGTAGCTACTTGCGATATAATATGAACTGATTGGATGTCCATTAGAAGGCATCGCAATGAAGGACGAATCAATATATTTATGCCTTTTTGTATCTTCAGTTATTGGACTCTATTGTCACTCAATATTAAAGGCTTTCTCAGCGCGTAAATAATAAGACAAAGTTGTCAAATGACGACTCTGTACATATATATGTACATAAACAAAAAAAATATGTAAGAACTATAGAATTTAAGGATGATGGATACATACATTCTGAAATATTTCATCCCCATTTCTTAGTAATTAATTATTAAACTAGTACAGTTAAAGTGCTAGCAAGACTCTACAAACGATTGCAACACCAAACAACTACGGCAGATTTTATTTGCATGATAAAGCATCACGTATACCCTAAAAGTATGCTCGATATACGAGTATGTATACATATGTTTCCTAACCATATAATATACTCTCCTGTAACTCCAAACAAGAAAATGCTTTCAGAATTCGGAATAGGAAACACCAAAGTCCCCTTTTGTCTAAAGATTACTTTCGAGTTTAAGGGGAAATTGATTCTGTTGCGGTGACCTTCGACAAGTATTCTTAAAAAATATATTTCAATATAATGATGATATGATGAAAACTATTAAACCTTGAAAGAAAGAACAATAGAACATTCCATTAATAAAATACACGCAAGAGTCCAATGCGAAAACTTTACGCCAAGTAAATGAACATTTAAATATTGTATAGATCGAAAACAGAGTTAAATTTAATCTACAGCTTCATCGCTGTCCGACCATGAAAAATGCAGATGGTGCCAAGATCAGAATGAGGGCCAAAGCAACGACCAGGAAGGCAGTTTTGGGAGCTTTCAGCTTCTTTTACAAAAAGTTACACAGAAACTTTTTTAGCTCGGGCTGACAACGTCCTCTTATCAGTTGACAATGGGTTTAGTTTGCAGAATGCTTTCAACCAGGATACAATTATTTAAGAGCAAGCCAAATGTACCGAGAATTTTTCCAAAACGATGCCGGTAGGAGGGGCTATAAAAAATAAGAACGGTACCGCACAAGCCCAAAAAGAACATTTCTTCAATGAAAGAGAGAGAGTATAATGCAGAGACCCTCGACCAAGCACCAACCAAAGATTTATGTATAATTTCAAGCTCGTCCATCAGGTTCAAAGCCAAACCAAGCTGCCAACAGAAAAATTGACCACGTCCGACATTTCGAATAACAATGACTGTGCTAATTTCCACATCGCAAAGCGAGACAAGTCACTAGCCATAGAGCGCGGCTGGGAAATAGAAAACGTAATTTATCGTTTTGAGTTATTCGACGGAGTGTCTTACGCTGTGCGCATTGAGAGGGCATTGAGGAGCCTGAAGCCGTGCGAAGCGAACACATAATTAATCTCTACCCGCAGTTGATATTGGAATATGATGAAAGTCTTTAAATTAGTTTCGAGTAATCAATATATTCATATTTCATGTATTGCTTTTCTACAGCGGTGTGAAAAAATAAAAAATCTTGTCTGCGGTTGTTGTTTTCTCAAATAAACCTTAGGCTGTTCATTTTGTGCTTCGGAATTACAAAGCATATAGTTAAATACATATATTAAATCCATACATGTTTAAATAACAATAAGCTGTGCACTTTCTACCTGAGCACAACGACGGAATATACATACATATATAAATAACTCTTTATGTACCCAAAAGACTAGCAGCTATGGCTTCTGCATCCATCAATGTTAGCTTTTGTGTTAACTTTGATTTTTTAAGCGCTGGCTCGTCATAATCATCATCAGTGTCGCCGTTTTCGTCTTCGTCGTTCTCGTGACTGTCACTTGATTGATGACCCGATTTGTTTGATGAACGGACGTCTGCCGATGCATTTGCACCTTTATTGTAGATTTTGTCAGGATCTGGCAGCCAAGACAAGTCTACTGAGCCTTCGCTTTCATCATCTCCGCTTTGCTCGTCTCCATCTTGCTCATCGTCTTGGCTGTCGTCTTGCACCGCCTGCTCTCGTTCAGCCTTTCGTTTGAGTTTTTCCCGCTGCTGCTTGTGACGTTTTTTAACCAGCTCCCTAAAGCGCTCTTTGTCATACTTATCCTCCTCGGCAAGCAGCTTGCCCGAGAATCCAATGTCGATGCCTCCATCGTCGTCTTTGCTCTGTACAACCAGCTTCTTTGTGGCAGCCAGCGCCTTCATTTGATTGCGCTCATCTTCCAGGGTTTGGCCGTCTTCGTCGAACTTAACTTTGGAGTTGACTTGAATATTTTTCTTCATTGCCTTTTTGGCTAATGCCGCCTTAGTGACAACTTTCTCGCGTTTGGGAACCACCAAAGGAACGTCGTTGTCTTCGTCGTCGTCGGTTTTTGTGTCCTTGTCAACGAAGTCATCGAGCTTACAGTCGTCGCTAGGGGCCTCATCAACATTGTGGTCACGTCGCTTGACTTTAATGAAGTCTTCATCCTCCTCGTCTTCGTCGCCCTCCCACCCAAATTTCTTGATTAGTGGCTTTTTTGCTATCGCTGGGGTTTCTGTTTTGGTAGCAGTAGCATCAGCCTCCACAGATCCTTCCACCATTGGTTTATTTTGTTTAAGTCGCCACATCACCTTCTCCAGGAAATTGACGCGTGGAGTTACCGCCAAGCCTAGGGATTGTGCGTATGCATCCAGATCGAGACTCAACACATTAAACAAACGTTTATTCCGCATCAGAAACACAGACTTTAAGTAGGCCAGGAAAGCTCGTTGAGCCGAAGCTCTAAGCTCTGGAAACTGTGCCAAGAACGCTTCAATTTTAACGCGTGGCGAGAACAGTTTCTTAGAATCAATTTGTACACAGCGTATATCTACTTTCAGCTGCTCTTTTATAGCATTGATCATGAAGTCTTCCTCGCTGGGTGTAAGCACAAGGAGACATTCTCCTCGAGTTTTGTTTCGTGCTGAGCGTCCCGCCCTGTGAATATACTGAGACACATCTTCGGGACAGTCTAACTGAACCACCCAATTAATGGCTGGGAAGTCAAGACCGCGTGATGCTACGTCTGTGGCAAACATAACAACTTGGCTCTTTCGCAAAAAATCCTCATAGATGGCGATGCGTCGATCTTGGTGCAAAGTGCCATACAACGCCAAAAGACTTACACCTGGACGCAGCTTGCAGAATATTTCGTATAAATATTTGGCCTGTTTGCAGCTGGCTACGAAAACAATAATCTTCTGCTTTAGATGATTCTTTATAAACGACCACAGTACGGTTATTTTTTCGTGCAGTGGTATCACAACATAGCTTTGCTGTAGTAGCTCCGGCACAGCTAGCTGGGCTCCTGATGTGGCGGCATTCTTTAACCGCTCGCCCGAGCCGTATCCAACATAAACAGGATCGCGTAAGCTTAGTCGCGCTAGATCTTCCACCGTATTTGTTTGTGTTGCTGAGAACAGCAAAGTCTGGCGTTCGGGCGGAAAGTTTTCTATAATTGAGTTAAGGGTTTTTTGAAAGCCCAAGTCCAGGCAGCGATCTGCTTCATCGAGTACCAGCATCTCCATTGTGGTTGTATTGAACAGAGGATTTTCGTCCATGTGTTGGAGTAGTCGACCTGGCGTGCAAATCACAATATTGCACTGATCCATGCGGGTACGTTCAAATTTTAAGTTTTTGCCACCAATAATAAGACCAGCAGAGAAATCATGGTGCTTGCCCACCTTTTTGAGCGTTTCAAATATCTGATAGGCTAATTCCCGCGTTGGCGAAATAATGATGGCCCCCACACCGTCGCTGCGAGACCATTTATTCACAAACAGATGTTCCAATACCTGCAAAGCCAAAATTTAGTCTTCAATAATTTGTGTATTGTTCAACATGTGTCTTTTTACTTACGGGTATTAAAAAGGCCAGCGTTTTGCCACTGCCAGTAATCGCGGCGCCCAGCACATCTTTGCCCTGTAGGGCAGGTCCAATGCTCTGCCGCTGCACCTCGGTGGGAGTTATAAATTTGGCTTCAGTAAGAGCCTTTTGAGTTTTTTTCGAAAGCGGAAATTCGACAAATTTTTTGATGTTGTCCGGATTAATGTCGTTATATCTATCCTGCAGTTCTTTTATTTCCAAATCAAAAGCAGCACGCTTCGACATCTCTTTCTGTGGTTTCTTTTTTTGGTTACCTTTGGTCCTTGGACCCTTGCTTGGTCCTTTATATTTATGTTTCTGCATTTTATTTACTTGGAACTCCTTTCTTAAAAACACGTTTAGTCTCGATAGAACCGATAGACTCGATTTATAAATATTTTGGATTCGAGATGAGCGATATATATGAATACAATTTTGGTATTTTTTAAGTTAATTAGATTTCCAATTAGTTTTGTAAACAGCTGCTCACGAAGCATTCCGTGATTATGGTCACCCATTTTTTCTGTTATCAATTTAAAACACATCTAGGAAAACCAGTATTGCAGCCATTTTATACGCTTACATAACATAAAAACTAGGCTGAAGTACAAAATGAGATGTTTCATTTTGGATTTTTAAAACTGTTGTGTACGCACACATATGTATGTATGTAGGAGTTACCTTTGATATACATACATGCTTTTGTTTGTGTGGCTCGTGACCAGACTACAGCTGTGAATTCGGGATACTCGTTACAAACATGCAGGTACATTTCACTTAATGCTCATCTCTGATTAAAAACAGACAGACAGTTGTAGGAGAATTTTTTCAGGCTCATGTAAATTTTTGGAAATTAAAATCACCCCTACCACACCAGAACTGTCAACAATCGCACGTAAAGTGTCCGCTGCCAATGCCAACAGATGCTGTAGCTGTGCGCCAACCACGTCATGGAAAGTGAGAAGATATTGATGGCTGCAGGAGTTACGGTTGCGGCTGTAGTTGGTGCCTTTGTATTTTGGGGTCCTTCGGGTGAGTAGTGGTGCATGTTGTGGACCTGTGCTTTTGTGAGCATATAGAAAGGAGAACCTATTAAGTAATATTTACCTTCCCAGGATCACGTTTGCGTCAGAGGCGTGGCCAAATCGCTGGACTTCATAACTTTGGACAGACCTGCTTCCTCAACACGTTGCTGCAGGCGCTGGCCGCCTGTCCGCAGTTCATTGCCTGGCTACAATTGTACAATGGCGCCTCACCCGATCGCAAGAGTCTCATTAGCTCTATGCTAAACACGCTTGAGGTGGTGAATGGCACACATGCGACACTGCGTGGCGATCCACACTCACCTGGTGCTGTGCTGCGTGCACTTAACTCTCTGGGCTGGGTCATACCTCAAGAGGAGCATGATGCCCACGAGCTATTTCATGTGCTGCTTTCGTCGCTGGAGGAGGAATCAATGAGACCGCAGCCAGTGGGCTGCTTGTCCGATGCGTTGCCTGGACCAGGCGACAATGAAGACGGTGAAGGTATTGGCACTGGTGCTGATGCAGGGTACCGCCAGGCCAATGTAACCGCCATTACTGGAGCCAGCCAGCGCATTGGTGATCAGCCCAATAGGCCATCAAGCGCTATGCTCTCTGATTTTCTCAACATGGAGTACGACGAGTCAACCAATCTAACACGTCTCGTGCGTTCCGAAGCACACACGCCCGACTCTCCAGCCTCGGTTTGTGAACGCGATGCGGCCGATCGTATTGGACTAATGGATGCAATATCTCCCGGCGCCTCTGTGCTTGCACAGAAACAGCAATTTGGCTATCAGAATCCAATGGCTCTCAATGAGTCCATGGAAATGGATCCGTTGGCATCGCCAATTTTGGGTGGGGAGCGCTTATCGCGCCCACGTCTGCCGCAGTCCCAGCAGTTTAGTGAGGGTCTCAATCGTCGTGTCTCAGCATCTTGCCGCTCATTGGAGCGACTCAATCGCGGTCCCGGACGTGTTTCTATCTGGTCAAATATGATGCCCAGTCAGGTGGCGCATCCCTTCCAGGGCGCCATGGGCGCGCAAATTGTCTGCAACGGCTGTGCCTCTAAGTCTGCAGTGCGCTATGATAAGTTTGAGAGCATCACTCTCAATCTGCCGGCTCAACGACGATCAGGCCTAAGTCTCGGTCATTTGCTAAGCGAATATATTACTTCGGAGGACTTAAGCGACGTTAAGTGCGACTCATGCAATGAGATTACCACGCACACCAAATCCGTAACGTTTGCCAAGCTCCCAGCTTGCCTTTGCATTCACATTAGCCGCACAATGTGGCTACCCACTGGCCAGATTTGTAAGCGTACGGACTACGTGCACTTCCCAGAGAGCCTATCAATGGCTCCTTACAGTTTTGTGCAGCCACATCTGAACAGTCAGGTAAGTCAACGAAATACAACTGTCGATCATCTGAAACAATGCAGAAAACTGCATGCAAACTATAAATATTTATACGTTGTTCCCTTTTTATGTGAGTTTAAGTCTTTATTCAGCAATTACACTATTTCCGTGACACAAAGCTGGATAAATATTTAAACAAATATTGTGCTTAATCGTACATTTTATTAAAAAGTACATAAAAAGATTGTAGAAAATGCAAGAAATTTTATATTATATATAATATTCATATCTGTATACAGTGTGGTAGGTTATTATATCTATATGGTATGTCCATACTTATATCTGTTCTTATTTCATTTGCTTAGGCGGGTACTCCTTGGGGCTCCACCATGTCGCTGTACTCCTCGAGCTTGCCTATGAACAATGGTGGTGCCGCTGGTGAGGCTTTTGGCGCCATGTTCCCCAAGAACCTCTATCGCCTGCTCGCTGTTGTTGTGCACTCGGGCGATGCGAACAATGGACACTTCGTCACTTATAGACGCGGTTCGCTGCGCAACGCACATCGGTAAGTCCAAAAGAATATAAATATGCGCCTTCAACACTCAATAATACTCGTTCTTACCACTACTACCCTTCGCAGCTGGTTCTATACATCGGATACTATCGTGCGTGAGGTTACCATTGATGAGGTCCTAAGCGTACCAGCATATTTACTGTTCTATGATCGAGGTCAGCCTCGTCAATTCCAGTTGCGCTAAACTTAGAAACCGCGCAGTTGACAGGCATTAGTCAGCCTATGGCCAGGGAGTAATTTCGGGGCTAGTCATTTTTCGCAGTCAAGAGCGTGGTGATGCAAATTAAAATCTTTATTACTAATACTTATTAAAAAATGTTTATTACGGTGGCCATATATGTAAAGACACACGCACCACACCTTCATCATATATAGTTATATATAAATACCTATTAAACGATCTACATGCGAACACATTAATAATAAGTACGTACATATATAGCAGAACGGTCTCATGATGAAAATTGCTGCTACAGCAACTACAATACCAATAGCTTCGCCTGCAAGCGAAAGCTACGATTATACCTTTATTTGTTATATAAAATGCATTTACAATCTAAATGGAATTTAAAACTCTGCGTGTGCTTTTAGGTGTCTATATGTAGCAGTAGAGATCTAACCACCAATTGTTTGCGCGTTATTTCCATAGGATACAGAGTTCAAAGAGAACATAAATAAAACAGTCAATAAACTGTACAACAATTTTGTTTTATTCATTATATTAAAGCGTATGCGGCTGGCGTTGCTGCGCCGCGACTGCCATTCTTGTTCCGTTTCTATTTCCATGGCTCTAGATGTGGATGTTCTTTCACGTATTTGCCAAAGCCAAAGTCTTCCTTCTTGTTCCGTTTCTGTGGCTCTAGAACTACATACATATGTATGTACGTAGCTGCTCTTTTTTCGTTCATATTTTTTGGTGGCAAATTTAGAATTCGATTTTACAATTGAATGAAATACTGACAAACCGATGAAAAAGTGACTGTCAAACAAATGAAAATGAGCAGAAATAAGCCAGGAAACAATGGTTGATCGCTTTGACGAATCGAAACGAAACTTCACAGGATCCAGGACCCACGGGACTATTTCGAATATTGCCACAAAATTTGAACAAAATCGTTTGAGCGGTTTCAGAGTCTATAGCGAATATACATACATATATACATACTTACATACATACATATTTCTACATTTATATATGTACATACATGTATAGATTATAAATTTCAAATTTGTATTACTCTTACACATCGGCTCAGCGACTGCGGTCTGGCTGTACGAGATTATGAAAATGTTCTTATACGTACATATGTATTACCTCTTTCCAAGTTAAAATTCTCGTGCCTCTTGACGAATACACACTATCAGCCCTAAAATGTTTGCAAATATTGTCATAAGATCTTAGTATATTGTATATTATGTTTCTTTCGAAAAAGACGGAAAATATAATAAAATAATTATTAAATATTAAATGTGTTAAAACAGAGGTGTTCCCATTTATAGGAAGGAGAACTAGTTGGTACATTTAAATGTAACTGCTTTTAATATAAATAAAAAGTGTGTACACACTTCACCTAAAGGATTTGACCAGTGTACTCACTTGAAGCAGCTTAATATGCTTTATTCAGTCACACTCACGTATTTTTCGAGGAAGTGCCGTGCGCTGGTTCTTCGTCGAGCTGTTTTCGTTTTCAATTATTTATCAAACATTCATTTATGATTCGGACGACAACAGCTACATCGTAGCGTCGATTCATTTTTCTTTCGGCTATAATCTGGTATAAATGTCAAGTAACAACAGTAAAAAACATAATGCAAGATCGCATTCGCGCACCTCGCGTTTTACACCAAAAATAACAGAATATCTCACAGAAGTCGCCGTGGATCGGGAGCTGGAACGCTTTATGGTATTCTCGTCGGCAAGCAGCAGCAGCCTTGGCGCGCAGAGTAGCAGTAATAGCGCCGGCGCGCGTTCTTGTGTCATGCGTAGTAGCAGCAGCCGCTGCCTCGCTGGGGGTGGAAAATTGTTATCGCATTCGTCGCCTGAGGTCGAAGTGGAAGAAACCGAAGCGACAGCTGCCGATGCTGCTGCCTTTGCAGTTGCTGGTGCGGTCATTGCAGCTACAACGGAATGTACTTTGGAAACCAAGTCGGAAAAAACAGATGCTACCCTTATAATACCAATTGTTATGGATTCCGATGGAACACCAGCATCTACGTCAAAATCGGTACAGTGCACATCGGCATCTGCTGAGGATGTGCGGACGCCGCCGCGTAAAATGCTCACGAAGGATACACAGACTCCCGAGTCTGCGTTGAAGACACACAAGCGTCTCGAGTGGGATCCTGCGGCCGATGTGGGATATAAGCGAGCCGCATCCACTAGCAACCTAAGTACTTTGGAGCGTTCGGTGTTGGAGGATCACTTCTACAAAGGTGGAGCTGGCGCATTGCCAGAGCAACACGGTGATTGCGTAAGTCGTGTCAATCATTCGGAGTCCGACTTGAATCGCTTGCAGGTCGAGCAAGAGCAATCAACGCCACCTCCACCACTGGCCTCCAGCACTTTCGTCAATCGAGATCGCACTCTGCCGAAGCCCATTAGTCAGGCCATTGCAGGTCGTTGTACTCAGGGCACTAACACAACGCTACTTAAATATCAAAATCAGTCGGCACAGACGTCGACGCGACGATATAGCAAGCAGGCGCATGAATCTGGCGCCACCTCAAGATATAGCAGTTCCGCAGCTAGCAGCTTTGACTATCGCCACTCGCGTCCATCTACAGCCAACACCATCACCAGCAGCAACACCAGTTCGAATGTAAGCGCTGGAACCGTGCCGACTTCAACGGCGGAGCTGCAGCGACAGGAGCAAGAGTATAGGGCCCAACTTGAGCAAGTCCTTCGCAGGCGGCGAAGCGACAACAAGGAAAATGTGCAGCCAGCTGCCAAGCTAACCCCATCATCACCGAAACGCGATCTGGATCTCGGCATTGAGCTGCTCTGCTCTCTGGTCAACAAGCGCAGCCTTAGCCACGGCCAAAAGAAGCATCTCATACGTGACATTGCCAAGCGTATCGCTTGCCTGGATCTCCTGAGCAGTAGCAGCCGTGATGGCTCGGCCACAAGCGCCAGTCTGCGTCAGTCCAAACAAAACTCCCACAGCAGCGCCAACAGCACAAGCAGCAAATGTCCCAGTCAGAGCCAAGGCCAGAGTCAGAGCCAAAGCCAGAGTCGCAGTAGCACGCAATATATATTTGCTAGAAATCGCAGTGAGGTACACGAAGCCACTTGCGCCGGGTCCCAAGACAGGATGATTGATAAGACAGCTTCAACTTCAAACTTGCAGCAAGTTACAAGTCCTTGTTCTTCAATAGGAGTTGAGACATCAACTGGTAGGTCTACAACAGATATAGTTTCTCGACAAACCGAGCCTGTGCTGAGGGCAGCGAACTTGGATGAAGGTCTGAACCAACGAAGTGTGGTTTCAGCTCCAGCCGTGTGTCAGAAGCAGCCCGTAATGTCGAAGGTTGGTAACGCCGCCTTAGCTACATCCAGTGGCAATCAACTGACCATTCCCGATGAGACTGCAGAGCCAAATACGAGTAGCAGCAGGAGCAGTGGACGCGCCCCCACCACTATATCCGAAGCAGCCACAGCCTCTACGACCAGCAGCAATTCCAACGAACTGGTCACACAGAAGACAAATGTGAAGCAAAAGTCAGCCCGGGAATCGGCTGCCGGAAGTAATACGGATGCAGAGCTAGTGGCCATGCAGGAGTGGCTTAACCCCATGACGCAAAGTGAAATAGAGTACGAGGAAAAGCGGAACCAACAGCAGCAACGGCTCGGCTTAGACACACAGCGGCGCAAGCAGATCGATTGGATTGAGTCTGAGATCGACCGACTGAAGTCGTTGCGTAGCCTGCTTTTTGGCAACGCCCTACAGCCACCGACGCAGGTGTTGCAGATTGAGAGCGACCCTCGCTCGGCGGTGCCAAGTGAGGAGCTCATTCGAAGCCAACCGCTGGTGATTCAGCCCAGCACTTCGGCCAATTCCGTGCCCCTTAGCTCCAGTGTTGAGGTATGCATTGAGCTTCCGCCGCCCACAGAAGGTGAACAAAATGTGCCAAAGCACCAGGCGGTGCAGACCGAAATGGATCAACCACCAGCAGTGCCAACAAGACATTCGCTTTTGGGACGCAGACCAGCACCACCGGCACCACCAGTGACGCCAGAGCCAACGCCACCATTGGCACCACCAGCACAACCACTACCACCGTCACCACCATCTGATCGACCAGCAGGCCGAAAGCAGCGCAGCAAAATGGCCACGCCGACGTCCAGCACAGGACACAGTTGCTCCGGTGGCAGCGAGAGCGTCTGCTCCTTTGTTCAGCAGCGCCAGCGAGAGTTCATCGAACATTATCAGAATAAGCAGCAGACCCAGCTAAGCGCCTTGCTGCAACAGCACCAGGAGCGTCTGCAGCAGCAACAGCAATTCACGCAGCAGTATATGCAGCAGCAACAACATCTACACCACCAGCACCAAAGCCTTCCGTTGCCGCCGCGATATCAGCAATGTGTCTACCCACAGCAACCACAATGCATGCATTATGACCAAACGACCGTGGCTGCCGTCGCTGCCACCGCGGCCGCCACTGCTTATGCAATGCCACATCTAACCAGTGCCGCCTATACCTGCATAGATGATGGAGCTGTTTATTATCAGGTCGGGGATCCCCAGTGTGCTGCAGCATACGTACAAGCAGCAATTGCTACTGCCACTGCGACTGCCACAACCACAGAGGTAACCGCAGCCTGCACCCTTGCCACAAGCGCAACCACATCAACCACGTCGTCCTCATCCCTGCTGTGCATCTCCTCGGAAATGTCAATACCCATGGGCATGGTCAACACCTCAGAGACAGCAACCACCACAACCACGACCCATCAGTATGATGATGTCGCCTGTGCCTCACGTCACATTTGTGGTGCCAAGTCGCGACACCGCCATCATTGCCATCGTCATCATCACAAGCACCACCATCAGCAGCAGCCATCGGAGTGTGCACCACCTCGCCAGGGATCGACAGCCACTTACGCAGATGTGGCTGGCGATGATCCCACTGGCTGGAGTTCTCATCTGGGCAGCAGTCAGCGCACACGTCTCATCAACTGCGTCCAGATGCGTCCGCGTGGCATTGCCTACGTTCTCCAGTTCACCTCCTCCCACCAGCCCGGTGAAGAGGCTTGTCAACTTACCAGCGACGCTCTGTCCCTGCAGGATCACTTGCAACGTGCCCGACCCAAGTTCTGCGCAAAGTCCAAGGAACGCAAAGCTATACTCAATCAGATGCAACTGCTTCGCAATGCCCGTCGTCGGGAAATGGACGAACTTATCGAGAATACCAGCCTAGAGCATTTGGATCAGCGTCTGCGCGAGCTGCCGCCCCCGCCCACATGTATGTGGTCTCCCAACCCCATCTAATCAATCAGTGAAATAATTTGTATTTATTCCATGCAGCCCGTGTGCGCGTCTTTAGCACGAAGGAGATGAAGGCTCTAACGAACAAACGCTGCGAGAGTCTCCCCGAGGTTTTGGCCGCCAAGCGTAGGGAGCGCGAAGAGCGACGTCGTCGCAACAATCGCATAATGCGCGATGTCTTCAATCGGGTAAGAGAGCGCCGATGTTGTTTCTAGCATTAAAGTAAATCCAAGGTGAAGATTCATTGCTTGTTTTTTATTCCCTGAAGGTTGGAAGGGTGTACTAGAAATTATAAAAACGGAAGGATATACCTACATACCATATCTATTTGATCAGCACGACTAGACTGTCTATTCGTCCGTCTGTATAAACAGCGATAACTTTTAAACCATAATAGCTAGGGACATCAAACCTGTTATGTAATTTAATAAAAGGTCTTGAAAGCGTAACAGAGGTGGGGCATTTGGAATTTTGGTAAGACTATATACGACTCGCATTTAAAGGGAAAGAACGGGTAAATAATTTTAAAAATAAATTTGAAGAGCTTAGGTCTGATCTAACCGAATCGAGAAATATACGCCACTCATTGGCGTTTTAACATGCACTTCAAAAGAAACAAATGCTTGAAAAGAAGCAGAATTCTCACTGAGATATTTCACGAGCACTTGGGGAGTGCATTATTTTATATATATTATTATATTAATATATGTATATTAATTTCTATGTACGAGTATATCAAAGTAAGTTATAATATCTATCAAAGAAGAGTGCTTACTTATCTATGCTACGGATTTAAGGCTATCCATTTCTCTCTTTCCTCCTTCTAGCGTTTACAAAATCGGGTGCGCAAGGGCCAGCTATCGCTCAACCATAGCCGGACGGTTATTTAAGGAGCAAAAAAAGGACTTTGACTCGACCTCGACGTATCTGCCAATTTTCCCACCGAAATGTTTTTTTTTTTATTTGAAAATTTTTTATGAGCTAATTATGTTTAAATCTTCAGGTTATATTTCTTATGCCAGTGCAGGCTTTTGCTTTTCCATAATTGTAATTGATGGCTTTTTTCCTTCTGTTTGTCAATAAAAAGCGTTCATTCAGTGAAGAGTGTGTTTTTGTAGCTTTTTGTTTCTTTAATTCGAGATAACATTGTGATTATTAACAATAAATATAGTGTATATGTATGTATATTGATTTAATTTTTTCATTTAATATTAATAGTATATAATTATAATTTAGATAAACTTTTGCAAGCCACTACTCATCATCAGTATAATTAACGCTCGACTTGTATTTTTATTTGGTGTTTGCTTCATTCCCAAGCGAATCTTAAAATTAATAATAACAGGACGAAAATCTATCAACAAGGAAAGACAAGACAACGACGACAAAAATATGTGAATTGTTAACTAGTTGTAAATACAATGCCGAGGCAGGCAATGCAGCTATGCGATAATTATTTAAATGTATGTGTATTTATAATTATAGTATGTATCTGCAGATATTTGCCATTATAGTATATATTTATAACACCCGCTATGCCAAATCAGGTCACAGGTCTCACATTTATTACGTACGCGTCTCGCATCAGGAAACATTCGAAGAGAGAGTGGAGGGTGGAGAGGTGACTGAAGGAATTTCGGGTATTCGATATTCGTAGATATATTGCGAAGCCCAACATGCTATTGTACATATGTTGTATATATAGAAGGTATATATGGGTATATAGTATAGGGGTAGCTGCTATGCGATTCTGATAATTTTGTCTTTTTCTTTTCGGGCGATCGTTTCTTATAATAATTCGGCCCGCTCTGCGCAAGGCACCTGGCCTACTTCCTCTTAGATCCTAGTAATTGAGATTGCTTTAAACGGTGCACTCGCCAAATTTTATAAATATGCATTATTCCTAGGGCCGCTCATTTGCGTGCCACCATGTCGAGGCCTCCTTCTTCTTCCATTTTCGAGAGGAATTTGATGACACGCTGCGACGGTTCGGTCTGACGCGCCATATCGATCAGATCCAGCAGCTTTTTGATGCCAATGAAGACCCTATAAGATACGATAATATTAGTTTAAACCATGACTGTGACAGAAACGGCATTCGATCCGAGCCGAATTTTATAAACTTTCATTTCGAAAGCAAAGACATCTTAAATTTTGAACAGTTTTATCATGAAATATATATGGTGTATAGTATATGGTGATGAGAAATCTTTGTACAAATACAATTTCAATGCAGATACCTGAGAAAATGTAACATACTCGAAAACAATGTTATTTGTAATTGTTAATTAAAAAACTTTTAAATTGTCCTTAGAAATGGCTCAATTTCTAAACAAAACGAATGAAATTGTATTTTCTTCATGGACTCGAAAACGACCAAATGCTTGTATTTCTTTGCACTTAAAACAAATTGGTTTCAAAAGAATGGTTTGAAATAAATGCTGTATACACTATATATTTAAATGATAGGCAAACCAATTTAATTAAAATAAGTAATTGAATGAACTGTGGATCAGTTTTGGGGGGGTCGGTAGGTCTTACGCACCGCTTGCCAGCCATTTTCTTGCCCACGGTATGAAGTTCGCTCTTGCTGAAGATGTCCGTGTCCTCGAGAACGGCCATTACGTGCTCAGGACTGGAAAGATTCGGCACGTGTAGAACCGATGTGAAAGCCGACAGCATTTCCATTTCCTCCAAGACCTCACTATTTTATAAAAAATAAAAAATCGATGACAGAATTAGGAGCAAAAGAGTCCGAAGTTATGCATTCTACTGACCGTCTGCTGGTGGTGCAGAGTATGAAGAGCTTCCTTCCCTTAGGCGGCTGTTTCTTAAACAATACCAGCAAAGCTTGCAGAGTCATGTTGGAGTAGCGCGGTCCAATAGGGCCATAGTCCAGCAGCCGCTCCACATTGTCCACCACAACGCAGCTGAGGGTGGAGCGATAGGCATCGTCGAAGATCTGCAGGAGCATAAAGTTAGCATTATGTGATGGATATTATGTGATCAGAGAAAGCAGGCGCACCTTGCGTATGTGCAGACATTTGGCCGATTCGGTAAAGCCGACCATATCCTCGGGCGAGCAGACCTTCACAAAGGGGAAGTCCGACATCTTGGCCAGCTTGGCTGCCAGCGCACTCTTGCCCGAATTGGGTGGACCGGCCACCAACACCGATACGAGACCACTGGATTCGGGCGCCTTGGCCTGTTGTACGTATAGCATGCCATCTTCCAGAAGATTGGCCACCGGCTGGCCCCAATTACAAATTCCACGGGCCAGCATGTTGTCCAGTATTTCTTGGGCCGTGCCGAAGGCGGCTTTGATGTCATGCTCCAGAGAATGTAGGAAGTCAGCACGATTAACCTTCAGCTTCTCCAGGGCCTCTGGGTCAACAGTGACCTTGGTATCGGCTTTTATCAGGCGATTCATTGCGCTTGACTGAGCGGCGCGTACCAGACCCTCGATCTCAGCGCCGCTAAAGTTCTTAGTGAGCGAGGCGATCTCCTTGCAGTCAACGTCATCGGCCATTTTGTTGAAGTCGCGCATCCGTTTGGTGTGAATGTTAAGGATCTGCACACGACCCTGCTCGTTGGGCAAGCTGATCTCCATTTGCACTTCTAGACGGCCGGGACGAAGCAACGCGTCGTCGATCATGTCCCGACGATTGGTCATGCCAATGACCAGAATATTGTTTAGCTGATCGACGCCATCGATCTTAGTTAGCAGCTGATTGACGACCGTGTCGTGGACACCACTGTTGCCGGCAACGGAGCCGCGCTGCTTGCAAATGGCATCGATTTCGTCGAAAATAATGATATGCAGGCCACTGTTGGGGCCCAGACGTTTTTCTTCCTCTTCGGCGTCGGCAAACAGACGTCGTACATTGGCCTCTGATTCGCCCACATACTTATCCAGAATCTGCGGACCGTTTACAATCTTGGGCTCGCGTGCATTTAACATTGTGCCGATTTGGCGTGCCATCAGAGTCTTACCGGTGCCGGGAGGGCCGTACAGCAATATGCCCTTGACGTGTTTACAGCCCAGCTGCTCCACCAGCTCAGGTGGAAAGACGCGTGAGGCGAACGCACGTCGGAAGATGGCGTTGAACTCCGTATCTAGGCCACCAATGCCCATTTTGCCAAAGTCCCAGTCCGGATTGATGATCGACTGGCGCACCACCTTCCCCTTTGACTTGCCTTGCAGATTCAAGGACGAGTTCTCGGCCTTCTCGAACTGCACCACCGTGTTGCCCAATATACGTCCAAAGCGCACATTCCTCATGGCCGGTTGCTTTCCCTCACTCAGGGACTTCGGATCGATAGCTGGTGGCAGCGTTTGTGAGCAGTTAAAAGTGAACTGTGAATGTGAATTGGAAACATAACCGTTCATCACGTACCTTCAAGCGTCTTCACCACCAGACCAAGCAACTTCTTGTCCTTGAAATTGAAGACCAGAGACTGACCGACGGTTAGCGCGAGGCTAGCAAATTGCATGGTGAACTCCTTAGCCATTTCGTCGGAATCGTACGGCTCCTGAGTGACACTGCGGTGTTGCGGACACGTGAATAATCATAACAACTCATTACATAATCGCCTTCAGACCCCCTACTTACGTCTTCTTCTGCAGAAAATCAGTCTCGAACGAGACCGAGGTGATGACATCGGAATTAGCATCGAACCGGTACGGGCGTACCTCGAGCTCCTGATTAATAGACAGCATTGCCCATTTCCGCTGCACCAGCGAGAAGCCCACAAAGCCACTGGGCACCTCGTTGGTTTTTTCCAGAGCAAAAATGAAGTGCTGTCCGGCAGCTGGAGAGATGTCCGCATACCTGAAAGACATAATGCATGAGTCTTTTGACTGAGGCTAGGCGCTTTAAGCGCTAACTACTTACTTGACCTCGTCGGGGAAATCCTTGACATTGACTATCGCCCGATTCGTGAGCGACAACTCGTCCGTGGGGCATTTGGTGGCCTTCAAACGCTACGCAGTGCGCGGTGGATGGGGTGGCGGTATGTAAGAGGTTATCAGTTTTAACACCTGCTAATTGACATTTATGTAACATTTATGGGACAACTCACGTAAGACATGTTTCTTAATTTTCTATATTTATCTGCCTTGCAGGTGCTCTTGTCCTTTTAAAGTAACGTTTACGTAGAGTAACAATTGTGTGCAGGAATGTGCACGTATTACTGGTTGGGGGTTGTTGTGGTTACAGCCTCCCTGTTTGCGCAAGGTCTGCGCAGTACCGCCTGTGCCCGTTACTAAATATTGCTGCGGATTATCGATTCAAGAATCTCGCTTCGTAGTCACAGCAGTTTAAATTTCGTCTCACTTGACTTTAATTGATGTCTATATCATCGCTAGTTCTCAAGAACTTACGAAAAATATTGGTGTTGGATGCTCAGCTCATTTGTATTGGCAAGAACAAGCTGCTTGCTTTTTGATTGGGATTGTTATGGCAAGTACCGTTATTGATTTCTCGTATCTCTCTACGCGCGTTTGATGTATCAATGTGACCAGAGCCACAGAGAGTGAAAAGGTACAAGTGTAGTTTCCATAAAGATACCAAAACAAATACCACCTAAGCATCGTGGTGAGCATTCAAGTGTGGTGAGTAGGGATGGGCATAGATATAATATCGATATTAGGATGGAAAATTTAAGTAAAATCCTATTTTTATTACGATATATCTCCGAATCTGTTACATTATTTTCCCCGCTTTTTATGTATGTACTTCGTGAAGCTTGTTTGATTGCGCACTTCAAGTTATGTTAAACCTTTATGTATATATTTAAATATTTATTGATACTTTATTTATTTATTTATTTTAACATTTGTAACTTAGAATTAATCCTAAATCACAAAATTTATTGATACTTTTTTGTTGGTTTCTTACAGAATCACCCAAAAGCAAGCCAAAATTTGGGAAATTTTCACAAAAATTCATTCGGTATCTGCTCGATGCAACTTTTGCAAAAAAATAGTGAAAAAGGCTGGTAACACAACCAAACTAAACGCACACGTGAAAACGACTCACAAAGGCGAAACGATTGAGGAGCGGTTGAATGTACAGCCTGCAATTGAAAAAAGTTTTTCTGATTTGCGGTCCTGCCTAATAGGTGGTGATAAGGCAAATCAGATTAATAAATGTCTTTCATACTGGGTGGTTAAAAATGATAAATCCTTTTTAATGGTGGAAGAAGAAGGATTTAGGTAATTCTGGAGCATATGTTTATTGTCCACCCAAATTTTGGAAATGATATACAAATCATTCCACTTTTACGGTCCACTTTGAAAGAGATTTGGAACTCGTCTCCATTAATATTGGTGTGACCGAATTAACAGAGCAGCATATATAGGCAGCACACTTTCCGTTGTTTGCGAAGAGTGAGGCATTCAGCTCTATAATGTTACGGCTGTGGTGACAGACAACGCAGCAAACATGACAAAATCACTCTCCGCTTGTAGCGCACACGCTCAACCTTGTAGCTAAATGTGCATTGCATATTGAATCTGTCAAACCACTAATTACAAAAATAAAAGGAATAGTTAAGTTCTATACTTGTTAACAAAGCTGTGCTGCCATCCGAGAGCTTCGTAAGTGGAATTATACTGTTGGAAATACAGAAGCGGTTTGGGCAAATGGAGCAGGTAAATAAAAACTTCTTAACAGACACTCGGCTTCGACTTTCTTATAAGTTCGAAATGAAATAAAAAATAAGAACATTTTTAAAAGTATAATCTCCCAATTTCAGTCAAATTTTTAAAATTCTAAAGAGAAATATTATCATTTCATTGTATATTTTACTATACGGTCTCAATATTGGCAACGGCTACAAAAAGTATTTTTTTAAAAACAAGCTGCAGCAATAAGAAACTGCCAAGTACGGGATGGAATTATGATAAGGGTACATATCCAAGCCTTGTTGAACAGCCGTACCGTGTGAGAGGCTGTTTTCGACGGCTGGTAGAACAGTGACCCCGATCTGAAACCGCTTAAGCCCCGAAACCGCTTGCCGAAAAGTGATTGGAAATTTTAATTTTACCTTATATACCTTATGCGCGATATTTATGTTTCATCATTTAATTTTAGTAAATTTGACTGCACCGAAGTGAAAACAGTGCCTTTTATCATTTGATCTCTATTGAAATTGTTTCATTACAAATATGTTATGTTCTTTATTATTTTTGAATTAATTAGTTAATTTATTAAACTTTTGCCTTCCTAAACTATAAACACTCAACATTTGCCAACACATTTATTAAAAATTCTTTTTATTTCATAATTTAAAAAAATTTAACGGTTAAATACCGATATTTGACATTTTCGATACGATATTCTATTAGATATTTTGTCCGATATAAATATCGGCATTTTCTTGTCGATATCCCTAGTGGTGGAAGTTCAAACAAATTCTAATTAAATTTAAGTTTTACTTCTTAGTCCTCTTATTAAAAACAATATGTCCGTTTAGTCAGTAATAATTATTCACATTTTGTCCTACAGCTTAATTCTGCTAGTTTCAATTTGACTCGATTTTGGGAAAAACCTGGGCAATAAATAGTTGTAGTTAAGTATATATTTGCTTAGTTAATTGTGTAACCTAAATTGGTATCTGAGAATTGTGATATTGTTTGGATTATGTGAGTTATAAGTAGTTATTTAAATAACTAAGTACTTATAACATATTTAATAAATAAAAACTACCTTAACGCAATCAGTTCAAACATGAATGGTGTTAGCAACTGGTCGCTAGCAACTGGTCGCTAGCAACTGGTCGCTAGCAACTCGCGCGCGTTTTTCTAGGCACATTGCGCTCTTTCGAACGTAAATTCGCTATAAATATTTGAAATAAATATGTAAAGGATGCCAAGAATATTGAAATGAAAATAATTACGAAAAATAGTTATGGCGTAGTTCACTTTGAAAAAGAGTTCAACGCCCAACAGCTTGTATTTATTTTCATTCGTATTTAAAGTTTTGTAGCGAATGGTGCTCGCACAAAATTTGTAAGTTAAATAAAAAACTAAATTCTTCGTTTTTAATAAATCCGCTTCATTGGAATTTCAAAATTCAATTTGAACAAATCTTGGCCTGAAACACCGGAACAGAAGCAGAGCCCAGCGCAGCCCTTTACTGACTGATATAAAAAAAAAGGTTAGTACACAATCAAACATGTTCGACAACACCATCGCCACCATGAGTTTCGTTCGCGAGCGGCACTCTTCGGACTACCGACCAATGTGTAGGTTCGTGGTATCGCAGCGCGCTTGTCTGTTCGCCTATTCGTTTCCATGATAATTGTCAACGTGTTCGTGTGTTGGCCTTTATTTGAATACTCTATAATCGAATCGGATTTTTTTTTTACGTGTGATACGTGTGATTTTAATATTTGTTAAAATTGTTTTCGCGCCTCATGTGAGTGATAAGATATGGGTAGCTTTATGCTTTTTTTTCGTGTGTTTGTGGCAGTGGTAAGGGTATTGCTATTTGGACAGCAAGAGATCCATATACCAAAGATCTATGAACGTCCTCATTTTCGTGTTTGCTCGCCTAGACTCGCACCAATATGCATACTGGAGGTGGTAACGGAGGGGGAAACGGAGGGGGAAACGGAGGGGGAAACGGAGGGTGAAACGGAGGGTGAAACGGAGGGGGAAACGGAGGGGGAAAAGCAGCGACCGCGACCTTCACAACGTGCGAATAGCAAAAGCAAAAAAGTTGCCAGCAACAAAATGACAATGTTGCATACACAAAGTTGCCGCAATTCGACATTGTGTGCAACAACACCAACACGAACTAGAAAAGCAACAGCAACATCAGCCGCTACGAAAAAGAGAATCAAGAAAGCCAAGCACAGGCTTAGAACTAAATATGAAACGACTGTGCCTCACCTGCTATTCTTTACGCTGCTATTATCTGGTCATTGCCAGCAACTGGCCTGGTCCTTTAATTTAGAGCAACGTCTACCAATTGTCAAATATGGACCGAATGTAAAAGCGCATTTTGGCTACTCGGTAGCCACACACACTATTGGCGAACATAATTGGCCCAATAACACGAAATGGTGAGTAAATAGACGGACCCAACGCTAACGGCTGGACTCGCCACCGGTAATCGTTGTCGTCGTCGATTGAAACTGGTTTTGGAATTTGATTGTTTTTTTTTCGTTTCTTTTTGCCGCTTCGGATCTATCAGTTGTACCTTTATAAGTGACTACAAAAAAATATATAGATATAACTTTTTTATTTAAGACACCCATGCATGAAAGCGTGTTTGCTTTTGAAATCTCGTCATGCGTTTGTTTTGCATACGCGCCGATTTGTTGGCTTAATTGACTTTGATTATTATTAATACAACGGCATGCAAAATACACAACAAATTCATTTGGCGGCAATAAAAGTGATAATAACAACAACAGCGACATCAGCAGCGGCTTTGGCATTGGCTATTGCAGTTTTTGTTATTGCTGTTTGTTATTATTATTATTGTTGTTGTTGTTGTTCTTGTTGGTTCAAATGCGCAAAACAAGTTTTAACATTTATTTTCTCAAAAGCATTCAAATTAATAAATACCTACTAATGATTATGGATTATATTTAGTGATGACGTTATACTAACAGTAATAGCTAATACGCTCGATGCTTCAGTGACTTAATGAGCAGCTGGAAGCTGACTGAGCTGCAGTGCTCCGAAGCATTTGACGGATGCGACAAACTATAATTGGGGGGCATTCAAAATTCATAATTGAAATCAGTTGGTTTTTGAATTCAACAGAACTCAATAGGTGTAGGTGCAGATATAGCGATTAAATGGATTTTTTATGCATACACATTATGGGTATACATACATATAAGTGAACCAATTAATAATGGTCAAAAATATTTCGTGTATTATGCAAGTTGACTTATTTAAATGGATTTTTTGCATTATTGCTATGTGAAACGTGTGCTATTTTGATATGAAATTAAAGGTAACTCAATGACATTATTAAAAAGTATAAATATGTTTGTGCAATCATCAACCACAAATAAAAATAAGTCATTGAACGTTGCACTATCGAAAAAAACGTAGCCTTACCAATTAATAGTGGTTAGGGCTCGTATATACTATGTACAATATGTACCTCCATTTTTGATATGTTTCGGCTGATTCTCGATTATACATCGAAAAAATTCTTGTTGTTCAACATTTTTTAGTTCTCGTGTAATAATAATATTCCGCTAATCTCTCCCTCTTGCTCCAAAGATTATAATATGTACATTATAATTAAAATTTTTGCAGCCTTGCGAAATTGCGAACATTTGTGAACATTTTGGCAATTCCCCGGGGTTGCATATTCGGGTTAAGAACTGTGGATAAATAAATAATAATACAAATCAAATTTATCGCGTTTCTCCGCAGGGAAAACGTTTTTGTTCTTCTAAAGTTATTAACATTGTTCAGTATTTGTTTATTTCGTTTATTTGGAAAGATAAGAATATAACTCCAGCTAAGCGGTTTGTCAATATTAAACAGGACGTTCGTACTGTTTTTATGACTTTATTCCAATGTTCGCTCCTCGTTATCTCTTTCTTCAAAATAAATAAAGCATTTGGATGTAACCAAAATTTCAGAAATTCGTTTATACTTGTACTTGTTGTTATACTGTAAATTTACCGTTTCTGCAAAGATTAACAAGAAAGGATTGCTAAAGTTGGGCGGGCTCAACTCTTAAATACCCTGTACTCAGCCCACAAAAAACAAAATAAAAAAAAAATTAATTAAAAAAATGAAATTCATTAATTAAATTAAATATAAACTATTCAACACTTGCATACATACATAAGTGTTTATGAACAATTTCAACAGAATAAATTTACATCAGAATCGTGTACTTGTATGTATGCGGAAAAAAGTTGAACCAAAGCATCAACAACAGCTGCGGGCAGAGATTATATTTATTTTATATTTATTTATTCATTTCATCGACAAGCAATGCAGTCGATGTAAAAGAATATATAACAAATCAATGCAATACTAAATAAAACTAAAGAAATAAAAAGGCCTATAAAAATGACAAAAATGGCTATTACTTTCTTCATAATTTCACCTATCATGATGAAACTTGGCATACAGACACATAATCACTGACGGGATGTAGTTACCAAATTTTAGTTGGACTTGGGAGAATCTGGATACCAAGTTTGGTTATTCTAAGCCTTATAGTCTCTGAGATTCTTGCGTTCACCCAGACAGACGGACATGGCTATATCGACTCGTCTTGTCATCCTGATCAATAATATATATATGTACATACTTTGTGGGGTCTGCCACGCCTCCTTCTGTGTGCTACATACATTCGCACAAAACTAGTATAGCCTTTTACTCTTTGGGTAGAGGCTACAAAAAAATATGAACATAAACAAGAACTGAACTTTTTTGACTGAACAGAGCAGAGCGTTTTCCCAAAGTGCCCTTCTAAGATGTATTTTTAATCGAAAATCAATATTACAAGAACAAGTACAAGAAATAAAAGCCTAAAGCAAGTTTGGATGTTCAATTACAGCAACGAAATAAATGGTTAAAGTTGGCGGCAAAATAGCCAAAACAACAACTCAGTGCCCAACATTTTTTTATACATACAAGTAGTATGTATTTGTTTGCCATTAGTTTCTTTCACATCCGTTTGCCAAATTGAGCTGACAAATTTTAGTTGTGCTTGTCCACTGCCCAACGTCCATTCCATACATCCATACATCCATTCCATCCACCCATCCGTTCATACCGACTGCTTATGACTGTTCGGGCCAAACAAGGCATACAAATTTGCATAAAAGGCAAAGTTCGACGCGCGCCTCGCGTCACGTGCTGAGACACGATGGCTGGATCGATGGATGGTTTCAATATTAATATGAACATACATATATGTATGTGACTGCCGGACTTAAAAACTGTAATAATTTCTGCCACAATCCTTTTGAATTTCAGTATAAACATAATCATGTTAACAGTGGCAGTAAACATTAATAACAGACATACTTGTATAACAGAAAAGTTCGCTGTTGTAAAGGAATAAACAGATTTGGTGCCATAACCGTTTCGTTCAATTTCCAATATCAGTTCTGCCATCATTGCGCAACACTTGTGCTCATAACCATCGAGGTTCCTCTGCCAATGGTCACCTGTCAATTACAAACAAATTACTCTGCTGTGCTACCGGGCGTTGCAGTGCAGTTGAATCTGCTTAAATGGCAACAATAACAGCAACAACCAAAACACACTACTGGTAGAGTAAAGCAGCAACAAAAAGGTGCCGTCTAACTGTTTATACGACTGCTTGCCTTGCCTTGTCTTGTCTGGGCGGACAGACCGATTCGGCTGAACGAGAAAGCTCGGCAGACAACTTGGAGCCAAAAGTTTCCTGACACACAAACGAAGACAAAGACAAAGCCGAAGAGGCTGACGACTATGGCGACGAAGGCGACGACAACTACAACAACTACATTAACAAAAATAGTAACAACAATTGCAACCATAATAAAAACACCATCGATAACGACAACAACATTGACAACGACATCGACACTGTTCAATTGAAGCAACCGCCATGCCAATAAAAATACAAATATGTATGTAGTTGTAGTTGAGAAAGAAAATCAAAGTAGATAGACAACACGCATATATGTACATATGTATGTAAGTATGTATCTATTTGTACACACACATACGTACTATATATTGGGGTGAGGAGTTGGAAACGCTAAGAAAAAAAAAATGGCAAAGACGCGTCTTGGCTTATTGAGCCATAAAATGTGATACAAGAGCAAAGCGTCGCCGTCAGCGTCGCTGCTGCTATCATTGTTGTTTTTGTTGTTGTTATTGTTGTTGCTACCGCTGTTGTTGTCACATTTCTTTACCCATGTAGTGGATGGCAAGTTCGCGACCAGCTTTGTGGGTCAATCCATCTTGCAGTGGGTCAAACCAATTAGACCAGTTGGTGGGCTCATTTGAAAGGCATGGGCACACTTTGTCCAAAATGTCTGCACACATGCATATGTACATATGTGTGTATGTACATATGTACATACATACGCAGTAGCTCCCTCCTATTCATGCATTTGCAGTCGAGTTATACAAAATGCAATTTGGCTATTCTGCAATATAATTTTTCTACCGAAAATGAAGAGAGAGAAAAGAAAATCTAAATTAATTAATTAAGATTCGGCTCCAAGCTATTCACTGATATTTCCGCGTTATTTTATACATATTTACAATTATATTATAGAAAGATATGAATACGAGTTCTTGGCTATTCTATATCTTTTCTGCCAAAAATGAAAAACTAGAAAAGAAAATCTAAAGATTAACATTCGACTCCAATCTTTTCACTGATATTTCCGCGTTATTTTATACATATTTACAATTATATTATAGAAATATATGAATTCTTTAATAGGAGTTCTTGTCTATTCTATATTTTTTCTGCCGAAAGTGAAGAACGAGAAAAGAAAATCTAAATATTCGGCTTCACCTTTTTCACTGATATTTCCGCGTTATTTTATACAAATTTACAATTCTATAACAGAGAGTGATGAATTCTTTAATAGAAGTTCTTTGCTATTCTATAATTTTCTGCCATAAATGAAAAACTAGAAAAGAAAATTTAAACATTAAGATTCGGCTCCAAGCTTTTCACTGACATTTCCGCGTAATTTTCTACATATTTACAATTATATTATAGAAAGATATGCATTTTTTAATAGGAGTTCTTTCCTATAAATGGAAGTGCATAACATAATAGTATATTTGGATACGCTTGCGTTCAAACAGGCGGACATGGCTACATCGACTCGTCTTGTCAGACTGGTCAAGAACATATATAGTCTGTCACACTCACTTCTGTATGTTACATAGATTCGTACTAAACTAGTGAAGCTCTTTACCGTTTGGGTTTATAAATACGAAACTATATTATATATATACTATACTATATAAGTACTAAGTATATTATAATACAAGGCACTTCTTTTCTTTTTTTCTATTGAATATTGCTTCTTTTTAAATTATCCGAGCCCTAATATTAGATTTGCCTTTTAAGCACGCAGATATCAAGACTCAATATCTGAATGGGAAGTGACTGTCTCTCTATATAGTATATTAAATATTATACCATGGATTTTAGATTGCGGTCGCGCAGCTTTAGCAGCCAAAAGGCCAAGCCATGGCTTATCTCCCGCAGTTTGTCTCTGGGCAGCCATGGAGGACCAGCTCGGATTGACCCGGACCGCATCCGCCGGCAGCTCGTGCGGATTGTGGCTCGCATACGTCCGGCATGCACCTACACTGAGGAGCGGCAGGGTAAGAAGTGGATGAAGATAGTGCAGCCCGGTAAACTGATTGTCGTACCGCCGGGACCGATCACCAGTGAACGGGCGCGCTCGATGAAGCCGCCAAACAACATCGAGTTCAAATTCCGTCAAGTGCTCGACGAACGCGCCACTCAGATGCAGGTGTTCAAGGCGGTGGGCGGTCCAGTCATGGATCAGCTGCTGCATGGTGGTAATGGCCTTATTATTACAACGGGTGCTTCACGGGCTGGAAAGACATATACCATGGTAGGCTTAGCCGGAAACGAGCGTGGTCTGGTGCGACGATCGTTTGAAGCGCTTTTCAAGACCCTGGGCGAGAAGCTGGTCGATCGCTATCTTGTACGGCCGACACGGGCTAACAGCTATAGGCTGGTCCCGAGATCGGAAGCCCGTCAGCTGGCGCAGAAAGAGGATCAGCTGGTAAAACCGGACGCTGATTGCCTGAACGAGGCTGAAAGCAAGAGGCTGCCACCTGATAGCATCTGGAGATTTGCCGGCGACTTGGCCACGCAGTACTCGGTGGCGCACCATACACGCTCCTGGCGCCAAACGGCACGATGTCGCGCCGAGCAGGGCACAATTGACAATCGATATGCGGTCTTTGTTAGTCTCGTGGAGGTACATGGCAGCAGTATTTACGACCTGATCGACAACAACGAGACACATCAGCGGTCACAACCCCTCGTTCTGCGCGAGGATGCGGTCGGACGGATGTATGTCCAGCACTCAATACGCTTGGAAGTGCGCAACGTATCGGAGGCTATGGTTATATTTCAGTCGGGCATGCGTCGCCTCGAGGAGCTAGGCGGACGCAGTCATATGGTACTATTCATTTATCTGGCTCATGTGCCCTACGACACGGCGGCCCACAAGTATGTGAGCAATGTTCCCATTTTAAGTAGCCAGCTTGTTTTGGCCGACTTGCTGAGCGCCAACAGCGAGGCGCCACTCACTCGTCTCCAGAACTTACGACACACGACCCTAGTCAACAAGACGATATTCACTCTGCACGCGTGCTTGCGTGAGCTGCGCGAGAACCAATTGGCTATACTGGGGGGCCGTCCACCCCGCCATTGTCCGCCGTTGCGCGAGTCCAAGCTCACTCAATTGCTGAAACACTACTTCAATGTGGCCGTCTCCGCGAACATTGTGTGCATCACCCATATCTCCCAGGCGCAGGCCGAGTTGCGGGAGAGCATGCGAGCATTACGCTTTGCAGAGCACATCCGGGAGCTCGATCTTCATATGCAAAACGAGCTGATGTTCGGATTGGGTGTTTTGCCTAACCAGCATAAATGGGTTCCCGAGCATCTAGATGACTACGAAATCGAATCCGAGTCAAAGCAATTAAAGCCGTTGGAGGCATCAGCCAGGGCAGGGGCACGGACAGCTCAGCCAGTTCAGGCCGCTCCGGCAGTTCAGGTGGAGAGCCCACCGCAACGAGATCATGAAGAGGTACAGAGCACAGCCGTGAAATCTGCCGGCAACTCAGCAAAAAATGAACCACTTACTCCGTCTACTCCAGACGAACAGCTAGAAACAGCATTAGTGACTGGTCAAGCAGCTCCGCCTAGATTTCTAACCTCAAGCTTTGAAATAGATCACGAAGCCATCACGACGGGGCAGAACCTATGGATTCCTGACCTACGGCAATCAGAATCGATGGCCCAGGAGCTTAAAAGGTTAATTTCAAGGCGCAACAATCTTATCAATGGCACAATGGCCACGTGGACGGAGCGCAGACAATTAGAGTTGTTGAGCGTCGCACCTAGTGCGCAGATCAACTGGCGCATAAGGGATATACTGAAGGCCCAGCTAATGGCCATGGAGCTGCTCCAGGTGAGCACTGAAGAACAAGGGGAGTTCGTGGCGCGGCTTAGTGGCTTAAAGGACGAGACAAGTTACAAGGAGTTCGGCCACAGGCTGCAGCAGCACGAGAAGCGAACATTGACCGTGGAGAACATGTTAAGGGCTCGCAATGAGCAGCTCGCCCATTATGGGGAGCTCTTTGGTGTTAGATTGATCGCTACCAGGTCGACGACATCTAGCATTCTGGTTAGCCAATGGGTCAGCGGTCATTCAGCTTTTACGTACCCGGGACCACGCAGTTCGTCTTGTGTTCTAAACCAAACGCGTAGGTGGCGCTACTGACCGGAGCCGGACATGATTTCCTACCAAGAAATTTGTTTGTGAATGCAAGCCTATCCTAGAGCAAGGTGTAAGCCAGGTAAGCCTGGCTATCGCCCGTCTTCTTGATTATTCTTAACCTGTTTCTCCTGTTGAAATGCTGTGTGAACCCACAGGTCTAGTAACGGAGCGTTATGAAGGCTGAGGAATCTCAGTAAATTTTCAGACTCGCATGCTTTGAGAGTCGTCCATTTATTATTACTTAGTATATACTCTTCTCTAGTCTACAGGTGAGCTTTATATATAATTTTGTTTGCTTCATTTCACACTTACAATCCAAGTCCACAGATAGTGTCTGGCTAATCCAACTCGTATGTACGAAAACTAGCAAAGTTTAAGTGAATTCTTTGCATGATTATATACGCATTCAAAACCTTCTGAGGCGGACAGAAATTGGAAAGGGTGCAGATAATATACAATGCTCAGATCATATTTTCTTTGCGACCAAATATATGTACAAATTGTCTGCAAACAAAGCATTTTTATTGGTATCTGTTGACTTCTCTCTTAAATGTGTTTAATTAAATTATTTGTGTATCAGCAAGCAGACGCGCTGCCAAAATTCAGAGTTCCCGAATACTCCTGATCGTTGCCATATGACTGAGCGACTGTTCTCTTGCTGATGTAGAGATTAGATATTGTGATTATGGGTTTTTAGAAATCGCGAATCACTGATGAATTATAAAGACACAGATTTTCAATCGTTTGTTTTGGCTGATCATTCTGATGTTAACTCGCATCAGTCGCTTTCAACCTAAAGCCGGAGGTTAGATCAGATAATTCGATTATAATTGGACTCTAGTCCAATATGTACTTATAACGTCTTTGAATCAGGTAATACACTCTAAAACAAGTAATACTTCAATGAAATAATTGTGCACTAATGACAAGGAATACTCAACTGCAGTTGTTCTAGGCCTATTGCAGGAAATAAATTTGTTTATTTCCAATATTTATTTATTTATATATTTATCTATTTGATTTTATGGGATTTTAATGCTGGAGTGGCTTTGCTTAGGTGCCTCGTATGAGAAGCGCAGAGGAGGACAGTCTTTTAAATTTAATTTTCAACAATTATTATTGATTTGATTTGTAAGTCGAATAATTAGCGGAAAGTCGATATTTTTTTTAGTTCTATACATGTGTATATGATATCCAATTTTAAGGAACGATACATAATATACATATGTAGATAATTTTACTTTTTCGCAAAATATTAATTTATTTTATGCAAATGTGGCTAAAACTAAGAAATGCCAATTTTCAAACAAACTTTGGAGCTCGCCCAGGAAAAATTATGAAAAACCAAGTATGCAGTGTTTTTTAAATTCTTTCATAGATTACACAAACCAAGTTTGAAGCTAATCAAATGAAAGTTGCAGATTTTTCATACAGTCTTTGGAGACCGTTTTCTCCCCTTTGGCGTGCGAATTTTCTATATGTACAAGTATATGGATTAATGGGAAAACATCAATATTAAAGGGAACATATTTATTTCACTAAATACTACTTATTTTAAACGTTCTCGCATTATAATAGCAGGCGCGAAGCAAGAAATTTGTGTTCAGAAAGGAACTATTACTATTACTTAGTACTTGGCTATAAAAAACATTTTAGCAAGCCTTAAATTAATAGCGCTTCAAGATACTTTAATATTTCAATACTTTTTCCCTTTAAACTGGTTCCAAATATTGATGTTTTGATTGATTGATTATAGTTTCAGCTATTTTATATAAATACATAGTAAACATATTTAAGAGATGGAACAGAAATGCTTGCATCACATGCATTTAGTTTTCAATTCGTCGCACGCGGCGTATGCGTAATGTGTTGTGCCGCACCCCTGACATCACCTTTGAACATCCTTGTGGTAATGTAAGTTGTATTTGTTGGTCACGGGGCCATTTAAGTGGAACTTGACATGTGTTTCACAGCTTTTATTGTTATTGTTTTTATGCAGTAGTTGTTGTTATTATTACTGTTGTTGTTGTCGGTCACCCGTTTGTTTAAGTTCGACAGCAAGTCTTGCATTTTTAATTAGTCCCGGGCATTCGCATTCGTATTCGCATTCGCATTCGAAGCTTGGAAGTTGCATTTGTCATGCAACGCACACACACACACACACACACGCACGCAGTGGTTGTTGTTGGAGCATTTATTGTTGATTTTCTTGCTGCCTTTGTTGGCAGGCGGTAGCTTTTGACCATGGATCAAGGCTAATAGCTCATAAAATAAAACGGAACGCATATTTTGTTGTTACTACTGTTGTTGTTGCTGTTGTTGTTGCTGTTGTTGTTGTTGCTGTTGTTGTTGTTGCTGTTGTTGTTGTTGCAGTTATTCTTGCGGCGTCTGCAATCAAAAAGCCATTCACACGTTCAGCGCCTGTCATTCTGGCCGTTCCACTCCCCCTTTTACACTACACCCCCTCCCACCCTGTACTTATGTATGTTGGTGCCTTCGTATTAATACCCTATTCGCCAGAAAGTCTTGTGATTTTTTCTCTGATGTAGAAACATTTGCATCGGAATTGCAGATGAGGCTATCAATTGTTTATACCAAACAGAAAAGACTTCCCTTTGAATATTTTATGCAGCCCTAATATTAATTAAAACTTTCGATTTCTAAAAAAAAGAAGAAGATTGTTGCGAATGTATACGAATGTGGAGAGATAATGCCATAAACTACACTCTCCAAAAGAAAATTGTCTGCAAATTTCTCATTATGTAAGTTTCAATTGTTTATGCCAAACAGAAAAGACTTCCCTTTGAATATTTTATGCAGCCCTAATATTAATTAAAACTTTCGATTTCTAAAAAAAGAAGAAGATTGTTGCGAATGTATACGAATGTGGAGAGATAATGCCATAAACTACACTCTCCAAAAGAAAATTGTCTGCAAATTTCTCATTATGTAAGTTTCAATTGTTTATACCAAACAGAAAAGACTTCCCTTTGAATATTTTATGCAGCCCTAATATTAATTAAAACTTTCGATTTCTAAAAAAAAGAAGAAGATTGTTGCGAATGTATACGAATGTGGAGAGATAATGCCATAAACTACACTCTCCAAAAGAAAATTGTCTGCAAATTTCTCATTATGTAAGTTTCAATTGTTTATGCCAAACAGAAAAGACTTCCCTTTGAATATTTTATGCAGCCCTAATATTAATTAAAACTTTCGATTTCTAAAAAAAGAAGAAGATTGTTGCGAATGTATACGAATGTGGAGAGATAATGCCATAAACTACACTCTCCAAAAGAAAATTGTCTGCAAATTTCTCATTATGTAAGTTTCAATTGTTTATGCCAAACAGAAAAGACTTCCCTTTGAATATTTTATGCAGCCCTAATATTAATTAAAGCTTTCGATTTCTAAAAAAAAAGAAGAAGATTGTTGCGAATGTATACGAATGTAGAGAGATAATGCCATAAACTATACTCTCCAAAAGAAAATTGTCTGCAAATTTCTTATTATGTAAGTTTCAATTGTTTATGCCAAACAGAAAAGACTTCCCTTTGAATATTTTATGCAGCCCTAATATTAATTAAAACTTTCGATTTCTAAAAAAAAGAAGAAGATTGTTGCGAATGTATACGAATGTGGAGAGATAATGCCATAAACTACACTCTCCAAATGAAAATTGTCTGCAAATTTCTTATTATGTATGTTTCAATTGTTTATGCCAAACAGAAAAGACTTCCCTTTGAATATTTTATGTAGCCCTAATATTAATTAAAACTTTCGATTTCAAAAGAAGAAGAAGATTGTTGCGAATGTATACGAATGTGGAGAGATAATGCCATAAACTACACTCTCCAAATGAAAATTGTCTGCAAATTTCGTATTGTGTAAGTGTATTTAAAATTCGACGCGATCCACACAGTTCTCGATGTAATGTTTCTGATTTGTTTGTCGGCTGTTTGTTGGATCGTCCGGCGGCTGTCCGGGCCCTGCACTCTCCATTAAAACGTGCACTTCACGCGCTTTGTGGGGTCCGGTTCGTGTTCGGAAGAAGAAATTAAAGCCGCCGATATCTGTATTTATGTGCATGTGTGGGTTTTGTGCAGTTTATAATTTGCCTTCTGGCGTTGAGTGTTAGTTTGACGAGTCACGCGTGAGCCATAGGTGAGGCACGTTCCTAATGCGTGAGCTTGAGCTAAGGCTGAATGAAAAGAGTGGAGAAATGCACAAACAGACCAGAGTTTCTTGCATTCTAAGAAGTTCAATTTCAAGACGAAGCTCGACAGTATACGAGAATGTTTACTAGCTTTCAGATAAGCTATATATTACAGACCTCGAGTGAGATAGGTATTGTGAGATGTGTCTGAAAGAAAACTGTTAAATATTTCTGGGTACAGTTCTCGAAGGAAGGAAATAGTACACTTTTTATATTGTACGGGAGTTGGGGGTATGAAACGATAGCCTCTTTTATAAATAAAACAAATATGTACTTACTTATGTACAGTGAAAACTCCCTTAATGGACACCTCTGTTATCCGGACACTTTTTCTTAAACATTCGATCGGTGTATGAAGTATTTAAGTATCCCCTTAAGCCGTGAGTGTCCGGCCAACAGAGTTTTCACTGTATACTATATTTTCGCTATTGAATCCAGAATGACATGCGCGTTCTGCATAAGAATTGGGATTAGATTCGAATTTAATAGCCATCTAGGTTCTCGAAAAGATACTTTGCTTAAAGTGTAGATAGAGCAACACCTTGTTAGTACTGAAAAGTACAGCTGTGCTCAAAATAATAATAGTAGTCTATTTCATAAGTGTAGTTCGATCAAAAATGTATGAAATGGTGTTTTAATGAACTTAAAATAATAATTATTATTAAGTATACTATATATATACTATAGGAATAACAAATTCTGGTCATATAACAATTGAAATAATTTTTTACCCAAAACATGTTGTCGCTCAGAATAATAGTAGTGTTTCTGTTGTTGGCCTCTTATTTGTCCCAACTGATCCAAATAATACAAATGGTAGAACTTTTGAGCACAACTGTATATATGGTTAGGGGTTAGGTTACTTTGATTAAGTAAGTTGAATCAGAAAAGCATATATTAAGCCAGTCGAAACCCATGATTAATGGAGAGGCCTATGAGTGCAATCTGAATAATTGACCACATACCACTAACCCGATAACATGAGTTCTTATTATGCACCCATAATCAGCTGCAAATGTTGTCAAAGCGGAACTGCGGGGCGTGACTCACATTATAATTTCGTGCGCGAGTATAATCGGATATCGTGTAGTTTGAAAGCGGAACACCGACATGCTCCACTCTACAAGTTCGAGTATATAGTATAGTCCAATCACACTTTCTTGCGAAGCAGCCGGGTGTTGGGCGGAACAAACCTTAATTGCATAAAGCAA